CGGACGAAAAGCAGGGATATAAACGAACTTGACAGTGTTCACCCTTTCTCTCTCCATTGTAACCGTATTTGAGCGATGTTGTATCCACCCTAGTAAATTTTTGACCCCTTAATAATTTTGTTTCGCATTTCCTTCATTGTCTAAAAGTCTGCATGTACATACGATTTAATTTTATCGGGTAGAATTCACTTCTGGTGCATGTTATTTAGTCGTTGACTCCTATAATGTATATATATATATAGATGCAGCAAATCAATTGCCATTGTGGAGATGAGGTATTGCTTTTGTTGAGGTAAATAGGATCCGACAAAATTGGGACAGGCCTTATCTAAATGAGATGTTGATGGTGGTTTAGGAAGACCTTTACGTATAACCATTCGATTGTTGAAACCAAGCCAAGAAGGTTGCATGAGATGCAATTCGAATAAAACAACAACATTGACTTGTGGGTTACTGAAAAAGAAGCGAAAAGTGCTATGTTACATTGCAGATTTCCCTATATGTTGACAAAACTTGCAGTATCTGAAAAACGTTTGGAAGAGTATAGCGTTTGGAAGGTAAAGCGTATTGCGTACGGGTGGGCGAGAATTGACAATATTTAGCAGTTCCTCCCCTCCGTATCGGATGCTGTCAGGCGGCTCAAAGAGTTTAAGATGGGAGAAGTAAATTAATATGGGAGCTTTGAGAACGCTGTTGTAGTCGGCATCCAACATTGAATTGATGAACACAATCTATTTCACAAGAGAAATTTAATTTTCACAAGCTGTGAAATGGATGGGTTGCAAACCACTATTCTGTCTGACAACAAAAACAAGCTGACCGTTAAGCAGGTCGTAAGCAACGAACTATACCCAATAGACTAAACAAAACTACTGGAAATGGCGTGAGCGCACCGTTGGCTGCATGCAGTCAGTAAGAACTAATGACAGAATTAATAAATGAATCTAAATATCCCAAGTAATCCCTAATGTTTTCTATGTGTACCTACTTTTCAATTATTCAGATTAATCGGATAAATCGAGGGATTAAGCAGTATCTATTACTATATACACAAAGTATTGGTGTATTTAGAACAAATAGACAAAATAGGTGATGTAAAATAAATTAGTGTGCTTTCAATTTCATGGATTGTAGTCCTCCGCAGGCGCTAGGGAGCATTTCGGGCGATTTCTACCCGCAAAATATCACCGCCCGCCATATTTGCCCGAAAAAGAGCCTGCGGAGGAGGCATGATTGTAGTTGTCCTGAATAAAATACACAACAGAAAACTTCTCGACGTTTCGATCGAACTACTACTGGGAGCCTCCGCCAAATATAACTCGCATGAACAGATTTGATTATTCGATATTCGAAGAAGCATTCACTTGTTTGTCATTCGGGTTGGAGGGTGTTTTCAGTATTTTGTCGAAGTAGCCTTCTTGTGAATCCTGGTTTAAAAGTACCGTGCGCTTTTGTTCAAAAACCCAATACTATCAATCTTGCATAGATTTACCGTCTTCGCACGTGTGCATTTTTTTTGGGGGGGGGGAGAGGTGGGTGCATGGCACGTCACTAACTGCAGCAGACATGTTGCATTTGTTTCTCAGGTGCATGTGATGACACCAAAGCTAACCTATGATGTAATGTAGATACAGTCTCAAGATACTTGTCCGGTAAAGGAACGTTTAGTTATTAATTGGGTTCCCCCCGTAGTGTGTGCCAAAAAATTTAACCCTTCACGTTCCCATTTGTAATCTCGTTTTCTTGTTAGTAAAGCTTGATCACGGACGGCACTATATTTTTTGAAGTCAAACTGAATGGTTATGACATTTCTACTCTATATCTACTTTTGAACTAATTTTCTACCGGTCGGAGCAAATTTGATCGTAAAATACCTACTTCTTGAACAGGAGTGACGTGGGGAATACAGGTCCTTATCGGGGAATTGTAGCGCCCCTCGGTAAGAATAACAGATTTGTCTTTAAAAAAATTAAGGAATTCGAAAAAGCGCGACCGGGTCGCTATATGTTCGTCTGCTTAAAAAAATTCCGCAACGTCACTCTGTCCAGGAACCCCCATGAGGCATAGGGGAATTGCTGACGCCAGCAATTGTACTATATTCATGTCATGCAACTTAGAAACCTCAAATTGTGTAAATAATGCAATATGATCCTGTGATGAATAACGTGCTATAACTGAAGCCAAAGAACTACACAGTCACTTTTTATAGCAAAATCCCCGACACCCAAAAATAAAAAATGACATCATAGTTACCCGTATGTTGTATGATCACAAGGAAACAAAACGCAACATATTCTAATTTTCATCGTCTTTTGAAAGCGTATTTTTTGTTGACAAAAATTTGAGCAACATCTGCACGTTTTATCGAGAAATTCTCCTTTTGGAATAAATATTTATCGTTCAAAATTTCCTGGCATATTTAAGCCTTAACTACGTTATTAAATTTTGAAATATAGCTTGTCTAGAAGCGGGGGCAAAATTTGCAGCTGTACGAAAGCTAAGTGTTGTTGGCATTATTAAGGCGATATCTCTAGTTTGACAAACACGCAAGGTGCCAGTAGCTGATATTTTGGTTAAAATTTAGCTATGATGTTTATGAAAAATCTTGTGACATTATTTCCAATATACTAGAAATGGATTAAAAAATCCCCCATTTACAGAACAGCCGATCTACAGGCAAAATTTCGTTTTAAGACTTCCGTGTTTACGAAACATTGCGTGTACGGTTTCAGAATTCGGCGAAATGAGTTGTATAGAGCAATCACGGCGTTGGCCAATAGGGGGTCTGTATTTGCAATCGCAACAAATGTTCGTTAAAAGAATGTGTTTTTCTTGGTAATTAACGCCAAAAAATCGCGACTCGTGCCTCGGATGTGATCACGCAATATTGGGGTTATAAAAGGCTGCAGAGCGATAATGATTAGATGAGACATTTGGATAAAAGACAAAGTACACATATATAAATCAAGTTGGATATTCGTATTGATTTGGCACCAAGAAAGGTAGGTTTATATCATTTAAGATCTGTTCTGTGTACCAAACAATAATAATTTTAAGGTAAGATCGAAGTCTTTGTTATTGACGGATAAATCAACGGCCATCCGATTTTATCTGCCTTGATCTAAACACCGATGACGAATTATCCAGACGAACTAAATAGAATATAGTCTAGCACTTGATCAGGGAGCAAATCACACATGATGTATATATATATACTTTCTATCAATTTTGCATTATCTGCAGAAAGATCAGGACACATTATTCCTCCATACGACTTATTGGCACGAACGTTCACCTGCATATACTGACGCGCGAGCTTGACGCAAACACACCGGAATTAATAATATCGGAAGAACAATCTTTTCATCTCCGAATCTAAGAAAAAATAAATCTATTCTTTAAACCAGCTTTAACAGATGAAGTAAAACCTGCGATATGCAGTTACATGTAATATAGGCCTATATATTATCACTGGTATATATATCATAAGCTTCATATCAGCTCCTGAAGGAAAATTTAATGAATAAACCAAGTGAAAATTGATATTGTCCTTACAATGTGAAGAAATTATGTTTGATTTGTGTTTCTTAGGCAACATGTAAATTGTATTTTTAAATTATGCAAGCTAGCCAAAAAGTTGCCCTACTACTTTCCATTATGGAAAATCGGCTCGGTGAAAAATATCCGACTATAGCCGACCTATACTTAAGTTTATATTATTATACATTGCAGAAGTCATCACAATGAGACGACAGGCACGTGAAAAACAACAAGCCGACGTCTACCTAAGAATTGACCCGGAATCCGCTGAAAGGATACTCATTTTAACCAAAGAAAATCTGGAACGCCGGCCAGAAAACGGCGTGCGCTACCGACGCAGGACAACATCGTTGAAAGCTAGAAAACCAGCTGAAAGGCGTCGCGCTTCCGTACCAGCTCTTTATCGATTAAATCTTAAACCAAAAGCTGGCCGAAAAAATTTACTGCAAAAAATCGGCTCCCGTTTAGCGAAAGCTGGAGACGAACTGCTCAAACGAGCCAGTACGAACAGTAATCTCAAAATTAGCAGCAATATCTGTGGTCAAGGCTGTGAGACTGAATCAAAAACCATAAAACATTATGCCAAACATTTAGCGGAAGTTGGTGATTATTTAAACACATTGTATTCCTCTGAAAGTTCTTCGTCGTATTCTGAAAGTGGTAATGCAAGTCTTGTTGAGAATTGTTTAGTTTTAACCTCGATTTTAGTCGGTTTGAAGAATAATAATGTAGTTGTAGTTGATACAAGCGAATTAAGCACGCTCTCGTCCCTTTGTCGTGTGCATCGGGCTAAATCATTGTCGAGAGCAAGAAGATAAATTAGAAAATGTAGGAATTTTTCTGTAGAATCAGTATTACTTAGGTAATTCATTGAATAATGATATCAGTATATTCTTTTACAACAGTATTTATCGCAGGAATCGTCAAAATTATACTAAATATTTTATTTGTTTCGGTTGCTGCAATTACCTTACCGACTGAATTAATTAAATATCTTTTAATACCCGCAAAAAAGCGGTTGTAAGCAAAAGTAACATTATTTTAATAGTCAAACGCAGTCACAGTCCAATGTGCCTCATGGTCGGTATCACATTGTGATTGGTTAAGTTATCCATGCCAGGCAGGCACTTATTCGAAATACGCTTAAAATCGTGTCAAATCGCTTTCGAGGTAAATCAGATCGAGAAACTAACAACAATTACGTCACGTTCTGGCTGGGGGGGAGCTCGCGGCCAAAAGTAAATGACCCAAAGCGATTAATCATAATCCAACAATTCAACAATGAGAACGCCATTTGTCACCACGATTCAGAAGATGACTTCGATGGTTCGGTGAATATATGTGATTTTTTCATTTTTGACAGCATATTTTACTCATTAAATTCTCGACGAGAGAAAAATACAAACGGATGTGAAAGAAAAGGAGGGTCAAACTGTTTTTTGGTTTCGGGGGGGAGGGAGAAAACTCTTTCTCGCGGTTTCGTTTACTCATTCCCGGTTTCGTTAAGTCATCAGTTTCGGTTTCGCTATTAAAGGATACAGTGTCAGTCGTGTGCCCAATCTGACGATTTATCCTCGCTATGCTATTCTACTAATCCTAGTGCTCATTGACAGTGAAAAACGATCAATTTCTACAGAAATCAACTATTATGATAACTTAAAGTTTGCATTGTGAGACAAAATCATCGCGCTGGCTTTTCGTCTTTTTATAACAGCTGACTACTTGTCCAATTATATGCAAGTCACGGTCAAGTGAAATAAAGACATACAGTCACATGCTTAAAACACGTAATGGCGAAGGGAATTTTTTTGAGCACATGAATAATATTTATGTCCATATGTGGTAAAAACCTTCAACAGTGCAAATAGTAGAGACGACAATTCAAATGATCCTATTACGTAATATATGACCTAATGACACGTGATTCAGGTTACGGAGGAGAAAAATTGCACAGTCAGCTTCCAGACATGATACACAGGATATGTCTCAAGAAAACATTGCATGTTCTTATTGTCGTCTATTAATGCAACGGCACGATTTCTAGTTCTCATGAATTTCCCAATCAATATCGATATCGTTCGAAAGAGAATTTAAGTGTATATTTCTAGTAAAGAAATTTACCATCGCCTGTATCGCGCTTCGGCTTCCGACCAACAAATATACTAAAGTCGATGGAAAATTTATCATGCGTGGGACAGCTGATTTCCGTGTGAAATGTTCCAGAGCATACCAAGCCTGCAAGATATGGGAGTTAGCTACTCCGCGTTTGCCTCCACTGCCCTACCTGGCAGTATCTGCCCCTTCTGTATTTTTTATAATGACGTCATTCCATCCTGGACGATGGAAAATTGATAAAACTGTTGTTGTTTTAAAAAAAAACAGATGACTACGTAAAATTTTAAATTTGTACATTTTCTTGACATATTATTGTCCCATAAAAATAAAGCAATGAACAGTGAGTTGGACGTATTTCTTATTCCACATACAAGAATGAAACAGCTGGTCAAAGAAACGTCTAATCAGGTTTATATATAAATCTCTATTGAAAAAATATGTACGGGTATATACGAAGTGGACTTGTTTGATAATTATGAGTCCTAATTAAAATAGATTTTAACAGGCTATACTATGCACATCGACCACACTCGGCCTCTTATCACACCACATTTTTTCTTATAACCAGTGTAGAAGGTTGTCAGGCAATTTGGCCTCAAAAAATATGACGAATTGTAACTTAATATACCTTAGGGCATATTCCCTTAGGGCTTAGAAATGTCCCCCCAATTCAGAATTTTGTGATGCAACCCATAACCCCTAACCCTCCCCCCCCCTATAGCCATGTTACTTTATTTTTCCAAATCCCCAATGATGGTGAACTGGCAGTAATCAAATCCTAACTGACTATCAAACACCTCAGTATACTACAGAAGAATTCAATTTTCTAGGTGTTTGGCACAGATTTTTCAGATGATTTTGCAGTTAAAGGACTCTTGCACTCGTTAAATCACACATTTCATGAGATCGAACATCATGAAGAGATTGAAAACCAATATATATTAAAAGAACTTAAGAATCGTGTGACAAAATCTGATCTTTTGGACATTTTGTGTAATATTCACCATGATACACATATTAAGGACATTTTAATGCTTGTTAAAAAAGCAGTTGCACTTCATGGAGACTCTCTGCAACGATCCATGTTTAAAGTTGAGCTGCAGAATGCTATCAAGGAATTCATTGATGATTTCTTACCTCATATGAAAGAAGAAGAGGAGGTAAATTGGTTGATCAATAGAATATATTACATTGATAGATTAATTATTCTTTTTTTCAAAGTAATAGAGAATCATTAGAATAATTAGAGAGGTCTATTCAGTAAAGCTCATCCCTTCTGCTCATAAAAACACAAAAGCCATACTGTACATTTCATATTTCGAACCTTATCAAACCAGTATTGTGTTCAATAAATGAAGACGTTTTTGAAAAATTAGGAATATATATATATATATATATATATATATATATATATATATATATGTCCAATCGACATCAGCTTTTAAGAAAGCCCAGTTCTAAATTAATTCGGACAATTTAATTATTAATGAATTAACTGTTAATGCCAGTTAGCAAACATTGATTTAGGTAACTGATAGTAGAATCTAAGTCATCAGAAATTGTATGATAAACATCGAGGGTTGTTGGGTTATGTGCATTGCACTCAGTGACATTCAGTCCTTTCTACATAATTTTTTTAAATAAAAAATTTTTCATTTTGCCTCCTAATAATATCAGTATGAATTTTCCTTTTAGATATTCCAACCCTTGTTATCCACATATTTGACAAGGAGTGAACTACAGGACTTAAGACAACAAATACTACAATTGCATACTTTATCTTCTAATGGGGAGAAGCAATCTGCAATTATCTTGCCTATCAATACTGGTGAAATGGACACATCAAACTGTCAATTTTCAAAACTTCCCAGTGAATTATTGCTGCAAATATTTTCGTATCTATCACCAAGAGACCTCTGCCGATGTGCACAAGTTTGTAGGCAATGGTCCAAGGTTTCATGGGATCCATTGCTATGGCAACAACTTCACCCTGTGAGATGGATATTTCAGAATGATTGGCGAATGGGTATGGATGAGTATGAACCTTGTACATGTAATGATGGTGCTTGCGGAGATAAAAATCCATGGGATAGGGAGAGGTAGGAATTTTTAAAAATGTTAAAAATGCTTTTTAGAAACAATCTAAATGTGTTGTGAATGATTTGGACAAAGTATGAAAAACAGACCTGTGTGGTAGAACCCATGTGTCAGGGTGTGCTAGCCTTATCTACACTTTTTATAACCTTCCCAGCAAGGGTTTAGTGTTGAAATGCACTGCAACTTAAATAAATCAGCACCAAAACATTGGAATTGCTTCCATATGGCATCTGAAAATCAGTTAAAAATGATTTGTTAGGCCAAATGTAACTTCCTAGCCATTAGAATCAATTAACAAGGACATTGACATATCCTACAAAGCTGGATTTTAAATGATCTTGGGTAAAGATTTAAACTTTTGTATGATTTATCCTTCAGGAGGAGAGCTTTATTAATTATATCTCGATTACTTACTTTGATTAACCTCCTATGGACCTAATCCGCTATGAAGATCTTTTTCAAATTTCAGTTTATTCAGTGGAGGAGACAGCGATGATTCTGGAGAGTCTTATGAAGAAGAGATTGATCACAGAAAGTTGGAAATTGTTACCAATGAAGAAAACAACATCAAAAGATTGATTCTGATGGCACGTTATCTTATCCCTGCTGTGGGGGATCATGTAAAGGTCTTAATCATGGGATGTTGTCCTGGTCTGACTAATGGTTTGGTGAGTTTTGAAAACTTCTCCTGTGCTATGAGAAGTTTTCACTGGGCCCTATGCTAGCCATTTTTCTTAGGTTAAAAGTTGTGTGAAATTCTTAATCATGGCCCAGCTGTAAGACATAAAATGTGTTCCATAAGACCTACCATATACATTTTCAACATATTTGTAAGAAAGTATCACCAAGTTTTAATCTGCACATCGCAGACTGCAGGTCGGGTGGTAGACTTGCGACTCTTTAAACCCACACGCGTGTGGGTTTAAACAGTCTACTTTTAGCAAGTCTAGTCGGGTGGAAATATTATTATCTGCATAATTCATCTCCTCGAAGGAAGAAAAACATTTTTCCGCCACTGCGTTTGCGCGAGCAAGCTAGAGGTACACTGGTGTGTAATTCTCTTTAATCATAAATCAGTATTTAGATCTAGAGGATACGAAGCTATATCAAAGAAATCTACCTGTGTTATTTCAATGGTTGGCTACCAATCCGACATTTGGTGGAAGTTAAACAATTCTGTGTAACCATACCAGTGTTTTCATTTCAATAATCTATGTTTGATTTGGACGCTTACGAGAGCCTTGACGAATTATTGGCATTTTAATTTAGATCTACAAAATGCTGTCCCACTGCAAGAATTTGGAACTTCTTGATTTGTCCCAAAACAATATTTCAGACTTAGGTTTGAATGGGTAAGGTCTTATGCCTTAAGTCTACGAAAACGTGATTAGTAGCGAAAAAATTTCAATATCTGCATTTTATTGAGATCTGGGGCCGGTTGTATGAAACCCGAATAGCGCTATCCACCGAATAGTGGTTTTTCAATCGTTATTTGCTACAACTTTTATTAAATCTTAGTATTTCTAAATCGAAGATCCTCTTTAGTAATTGTTGCTTCCAATCTGAAATTTTATCGCCTTTCAAGCATTTTTAGAACGGTTGAAAAACCACCCATTAGTCGACAAAATCGTTGTTAAGACAACATTTTTGTTTCGTCTATTCCAGATTGTTTCGGAAAAATGGTGGCAAATTATTGCGACACCTGGATTTATCAGGCTGTGCCAAAATAACCGATAAAACCTTGAAAAAACTTTCTGCAGCTCTCACCCCCCGTGTTTCAAGTGACCGCGCTAGTTGCTGTGGGTCAGGTGATGAACGAGGTGATCTCAGCCAGGATGAACTGAACTCGGTACCTCATGGATTGCGATATCTTTCGTTGTCTGGTTGCTACCAGGTGACAGACGAGGGAATAAGGTACGTAATTCAGAGGCTGTTCTCATGAGCCCGGTTACCGAGATTTAAGGAAGCGTTAAATGGATTTAATGAAAAGGAGGCACTGAAAAAAGTCTTTTTGAAACAAAACAATCGCATGCTATTGTTAGGATGATTGTACGACTACCAGAATCGTTCCAATATAACCAAGCATCAAATGTGGTATAATCACTGCCTAAAATAGACAAAAACACTTTGACCTAAGGACCTTCGTCAGGAGAGTTAGTATGAATCGTGTTATTTACTCATTTCAATAATTCTAACTCCATTTTACGCTTCGTTAAATCTCTGTAACCGGGCTCATGTGAACAGCCTGCTCAGTGGATGAATGGAATTAGGCAACGACTTCTGCATTTATCCGTTGAATAATGTAGCAACCGATCCAAAGTTACTAAAGTTCAAAACATCCCCTTTAATGGATGGATGTTGTATAAATAAACCAAGAGTCAAGAGTAGAGTAGTTAAATTTTTAGCCGAGAGATACATCATTTTGATGCTTCCACCAGACCTAGATGGCTTCTTTGTATCATTTTGTTCAGACCTCTGGCAAAGAACGACAATTTGAAAAGCCTCACACACTTGGACTTGTCTGGTTGTTTACGTTTATCAGCCATTGGCCTGCAGGACCTGGTGGTCAACTGTCCTTCTTTGCATCACGAGTTGTTCTTTTATTGTGACAATATTTCCGAGGGGCCATATCCAGACACTGCAAGTGGTTGTCAGAACTTAGAGTGCACCAGGAGAGTATGTTGCAGGTCTGGGTTGCTGTTGGAATGAATATCTAGTTTTTCGCAGTCGATATAGACTGATTCTCTTTGTAGTAAACACGGTCAAGCAAACCTGTCATGTGATTTGTCAAGACGAATGACATTAAATTCGGCGATACTTATATTATATACATGCCTATATTCAACAAAATTTACCCGGGTGCACAAACTAGGATTTTTGTCACCAACTTTTATGGTTTAGTCCACTAACTGTTGTTCGTTTTAAACAAGTATTCAAATCAAAATCAGATGACTAAAATCCCAGAGTGTGTGTCTGGTCAGAGACCGTTGTCCAGGGGCCAGTTGTTCAAAGCTGGCGCTAACCCTGGATTAAATTTTACTGTTTTAGTTTATGTGCTTCTTAACCCATGTTCCTTTTAAAACTTTAGAAAATGTTACTCCTATCGTTCCAAAAAATATTTTTCAAAAAAGATATTCAACTTTGTAAACAAGCGATTAAAAGAATTAATGTAAAGATTTTTTAACCCAGGGTTAAGCTAACCAGCTTTTGAACAACCGGTCCAGAAGGATAACATCTCATGTATAGGTAAATCGAGCCGAGGGAGACGTCCACACTTTCATTGCTGTGCAAAACGTTTTCAGTCATACCCACCCACCTAGTGCTGTAAGTTTGATGACAAAACTTTTTCCTCCGATATAGTTTTTGAGGCAGCAACTTGCAAAGCTTTCTATATTCTTTCTGTGTACTGTATTCAGCATTTAAGTTTCAGCACGGTTAATAGAAACTGAGGTTACAAAGTGTACTTTGTCTTTGATCTCGTAGCTGACTCGCTTAGCGATACGGTAAAATGTAAAATTTTAGGGTAGAAAAAGCTATAAAAGATCAGAAAAAATATGCTACGCCAAACGTCAGATAGGATGTGGATGTGGCCCTAGCATGAGCTTAAGTAGAGGACCTTAAGTTTAAAGTATACTTTAACTGAATATAATGTAAATCTTCAAGTTCAAATACAGAACTTTTGCCTATTGTAATAACATGCATTCTCTAGCACCTGGTGTATGCTGCTAATGGGAGATGGGGGAAAGACTGTCGAATCGGCACACCAGAGGTAGGAATGAATGTTAGGATCATTCTGGAAGGTACATGTGATATGTTGGGTAATGTTTATTGGTAAAGTGAAATGTGTTCAAGAATTTTCTTGCTGGAACCTCCGTCATCTGAGGTTAATTTTGATCAAGGAGAACAAAATGCCTTTTCGAAAGGTCAATGGGGTGAAGAGGTAACGTTTGTCCTGGGTGTGCCAAGAAGTACAGTTGAGTGCAGTTGACCTTGGACCTGCAGTATTTGTATGACTGAAGGGTACTAAAGAATTCTCAGTTTAACGGAAAGTACTAGATTAATAAAGAAGGTTATTCAGGCATTATAGAAGACTTCAGTAAGATGGGATACACGTGATACACAAAGTCGTGTCTTATACAATACATCTAAACGCCTAAACTTATCCAGTAATTTTCAGAATTCCGAAGTCTTAACGTGTTATATTTTTTGCACGAAATATTGGGTTGAACAAACAGTTTATTATTTCACGGTTCGCGATCATTCAGAGCCCAACTTGACAAGTCGAAAGTGTCTTGTTTATTACATTTGTACTGGCTGGTGATAGCCATGACACGGACACTGTTGTAAGACGACACATGATGTAAGACGACTTCATATCGATTTATGCTGATCAGTGCCATTGGTAAATTTTATGTCTTTAGACAAGCTTTTCAAATTAAATTGAAACAAACAAATGAAAAACAAATCTATTTGGCTAAATTCCCCTTAGGCTATTTTATTATTTTATCCAATCTGACTACTGAAAGGGCTATAAACGGTGTTTAAGTTTGCAACGGGGGGCAGTCGTTTTCACCCAAAAATATTATAAACGAATAGGTATGTGCATGCCTTGTACACCGTCATTGACAATTGATAAATAGCCGAATTACAAGACGTAAGCAGTTAAAATTTGATAGAGAACTATATTCCAGAATATTTGATTGCATGCTCGACTAGACTAAGTGGCGGTTTTATTATATTGGCTGTGTGTATACAAGAATCTAAAGTATGATTCCATAATATAGTGCATGTTAGCCTGTAGGCCGTGTAGGGGCCATAATTTAAAAGCTCTCCTCGCGTAAGAGTTTTATTACATGACTATTAATTTGATTTTTTCGCCAATATTGACAGGAGAAGCTTGAATAAACAGACTATACTATCGCGGTAAACCTAGATTAACACCAATTGTCAGAATTACGGTGATTTCAGCTGCAAGTTGGCAAGTATTAAATTTGCATGTGGAATTTCGACTCGATTTCACCGTCAAAACAAAAATGAATAAGAATTGCAACATTGAATGTTTCAAATTTCATTCTATTGAGAAGAATTTATTCACGTCGTCCATATATACACTAAAAGATATATATTAGAATCTCGTCTATATATACAGTTGGATAAAAAAATAAAAAATTTCCATAAAAATTATTATGTACATACAGTGACATTGCCGGCGTGACAAAGCACGATAAAATCTTTATACTTTAAAAGTCTTATACCTAAAAAGCATTGTAAAATCTCCACACATGAGTCTAAGTTCATCATTTTTAAAATAATTTCTATCGAAATCGGTATACTGTTTGGTTTTGTTGCTAACAAAAAAGCAGACAGGCTTTGAAGTCTTAACTAAAACCTGTAGTTTTGTCCTGTGTTTATGTATGATAATCGATCACCTGCCGACAATTTTGGGTAGTACAGTTCGATTTGTGTCGGACAAATTCTCGTTGGGTTTCCTGGTTTTCGCCTTGGCTGAAGTAGGAACTGTTGGAGGTAGTTTAGTAGAGCTGGAAGGTAGTCTCTGATGCTTCTTGTCGGCAGACGCAGGCGGGTTAGCTTTATGACTAGTTGTGTTATCAGGAGCTCTGGGCAGGCGACGTCTGAGCCATGAATGTCGAAGCGCCTGAGCTGGTGTCATTCTTTGTGACGGCTCCCACTCCAAGCATTTCTTCAAGAAATCGATAAATAAAGGGTCATCGCAACCCTTCAAAGCCGTTACCCAACTCTTAGAGTTAGGAGGCCCTCTGGTTTTACCATGTCTTGATCTTCCCCCTGTCAAAACTGTTTCGCCATCAGGCAAAGTTGAGACACTACAATACCGAGGATGTCCCCTTGAACTGAAGAAATTCTTTGCGCGTTTCGAGTTGTGTGGCTCGATAAATTGAGCAGGAGGCATTCCTAAAAGTTCGATTACACACGCAAGTTGATCGCCTTCATCTTCCCCGGGAAAGATTGGATATCCAGTTAGAAGTTCGGCTAGAATACAACCAAAACTCCACATATCAATCTGCATCCCATACTTGGCACCTAGTATTACTTCAGGTGCACGATAAAATCGACTTTGAATATATGTATATATCCTCTGGTGTTCGTAGCAACTGGATCCAAAGTCTATCACCTTTATTCCACTTCGTCCTTGTTGTTTCAAGAGTATATTCTCTGGCTTCATGTCGCAATGAATAATTCTGTTCTTATGCAACGCGTCCAAGCATTGTAGGATTGAATGGGCGAACTTTCGCACGAGCTGTAAACTGAACCCCTGAAATTTGTTCTTTTTAACCAACTCGTACAAATTCATACTCAACAGTTCAAAAGTGATACAAATGTGGTTTCGAAATTGAAAACTCTCCAGCATATGTATGATATTATAGTTATTTTCTTTATCCTGTTTCTTTAAATGTTCCAGAATTCTGATTTCTTCTGCCGCCTGACGATGAAATCGCTTTTCGTTCCGTACCATTTTCAGGGCGACGTAGCTCTGTGTTTTGTGATCGTAGACCTTTACGACTTGTCCAAAACTGCCCTTACCGATAATTTTCAAAACTTCGTAGCGATAAGCAATATGATCGTGAGGAACGTGAATATAAGACCCTTGCTCATCATCGTATCCATTATTGTTAGCCCCACCTATAACACCTTGCCTTTTCTTTGCGTTTGGTCCAGTAAAATAAACATGAGGATAGTTAAAGATCTCATGATGCTCAAACGGTGTCAGTTTAGTCATAAAGACTTTCATAGCCTTCTCGGGAGTCATTGGTAAAGTCCTTGATTTCCCGGTCGACGACTCCGCACTCGATTTCCTGTCGTTATTATTATTGTTATCATCAGCCGGCGTTGAAGTGTGTGAGTTCGAAGTTGCCCGGACTGACGGCAAATTGTTCGTGTTTGCTTCCACTTTACCACGATGATTTGTTTCCTCTTCGAATAGCTGTTGTACTTGTACGCCTCCCAAATGTGGGAGCGTATTATTGGATTCGTGTGATTGTTGTTTCAGCGTTTTTGTTGCGGTCTTCAGCGGTGGCAAAACATGTTGGCTCGATAGTTCGTCGTTTGTGTGTGTACTGTTTCGCGGATCTAGTTGATAAATCGTCTCCCCGGTTTGTATCGGACGGCTCTTCGAGACTTGTAGAGGCTTTCTTGTGCTCGTACTTATCATTCTAGCAATACTTGACAAAGAAAAGTCTTTGTTTTAAAGGAAATAGTTCATCTTCGTTGTTGCGAATCCTCAGTTTGCCATTGAAAACGCTGCGTACTTATGTTTCTTCTTTGTTGTTAAGGTGAAACAGCCAATCAGATGGCAGTAAACACAGCTGTCACGGCAACCGCACGTCAACAACAAACCACCGACGGTGTCGCCTAGCAACCATTATCCAATCAGATGGTGAATTGATGATGTAATTTTTACGTCCATATATAATAATTTATCAAAAAATTATCATACTGATAGTTTATATAATTATATTGGCAAAATATATTTATAATCATAACATTCGTTGCAGGTAGAACACATCAATTCTTATGATCAATGCACTTTGCTTTGTGTTTATTATAATTTTGTTGGATAAACTTGAATTGGATAAAAAAACAACAAATAAAAGGGTTTTTTTTCTTGAAGGCGTATCAAAGCACGACGAATATATTGTTATTTTTGAAAAACGAGGAAATAGACTAAATTGTTCGAAATTTTTCAAAAAATTAGGTGTTGTTTCTGAGAGCTCTGGGGCCTGGGCTTTGTCGGATTTTTATAGATAATCATATAAAGTGAATTATCAAAGATGGCGGAAAAATTGAAGTTGTATCCTTTTTAAATGCCGTATACTATATTCGTACCAGCCTGAGCATTTATATTTACAGCGGGGTTTGTCTTTCAGCATTGTTCGGTCTTTATAATTATGGAGCAGCTGTTCTTTCTACTAGATATTGTTCCATACTTCCATCAAGCATATTTTTAGTTTTAAATATTACTATGTCACTGACTCACTGGAGCTCTTTGAGAAAGACTAACCATGTACATGTGGCGGCCATTTATTTGTAACGTTAAAGATGATTGGTGCTTTGTTAGATCACACTAAAGGTGGTGTTAAGCTGTATACGTGGTATGCAATATATTCTTGCATCTTGCAATGAAAATATGAAATGCCATATGCATTTAAAGTAATATATACTGGAAGGGGGGGGGGGTGGATATGAGCAATTAAGGTTAAATTAAACCATAAGTGTTTTGTCTAATTTATTTGTGAATAAGTCTGCCAAAATTTATATTTAAAAGTTGTAAACATGACTATAGGTTTCTAGAAATGGCCAAGGGGCAATTCCCTCCAAAAACCTGGTGTAGTTAAAATGCCACAAATACCATATAATGCTGTCAAGATGAAAGTTAAACAATGCTGATAAATTTGCCACTTTCAGACAAATTAATGCAGATATGTCATTAAACTTAATGGGTGATCTGTGCATGCGCATGTTCATGTGTATGCTTATCGCTTAAACTCTCATACATGCCAGTATACTAGCTACCAATACACTTGTTTGTGTCAACACTTTTGGTTGTTCACTGGGATCAAACTTCTCTCCACTTTCTGGTGACTGAATTTTCCTAAAGATGGATTCTAACTTCAGACAAAATCACAATATTTTGAAACAAAATCACAATAAATGACCGGTGTTTTGTAAAATTAAATGATTGTGTGCTTTTGTGACACCTGTTGATCAAAGAGTGTAACACTGCAGTTCAATTCCTGCTGTTTGCAATTATTTAATTATAATATCACCTCCTTTGTATAGAAGCTAAGCAAATTCATCTAGTTTTAATCTACCAAACTCCATAGGTCCTCTGATATCCTGCTGTGGTGACAGTACTTTTGTAGACAGCCCTCTTATAAATATATTTTTGAGCCATTTTTCTGCAGGGGAGGACTTTGCAAAACAAAAGCACAATTAGTTTTACAAATCTTGCGAACAGCTTGCTTACATACCCCCTTAAAATGACCATTCTGTAGTTGACCCTTTTTGTCAGAGTTCAAATGGACAGAAATTTTTTAAAAATGGCTAAAATCAACTAAAAGGCAACAATATATGTCCTTAATAAATCATGATAAAACTTTAGTTTAATGCCTTTGAATATATAAATGTGCAAAAATCCAAAGATAAAATAAGTTCAATAAAAAAGTATACAGTATGTGTACTATGTTGTTATTGTCAAACAACTATAGAGGCTATTGCATGCATAATCAATTTAGAAATTTTAAAAAATTGCAATAGCTATAATGTAATACTAGAGAGATATATAAATAAAGAGGGATTAAAAGGAGCTCTTAAAAATAATTATATATCAAACTTATAAACTCAATTATTGTAGAAATCTTTACTTCCATATCATGATATGATTTGAGGCCCTGATCACTTCTCAATGAATAGATCACATGATTTTCTCATATAAATGTATTGGCTCATATCTGATGAAAAGCATTAATGTTCCCGTGGTGGAGATGTGAAATTGGAAATTGTGATAGTGCTAAGAGGCTTGTAGTCTCTTTCACGTTATGGAGTTGAACACTTTAATTTATTCCTAGAATATCAAGCTGCATACCTCTCCTAGCATTGAATAAAGTCAATTATTCCCCACAATTTGTATATTCAATATTGACAGCGGGTTAGGTATTCAACGCATCTTAGCCGAAAAGGCAAAGTGTGCAACTTTCTTGCTTGATTGTTTCCTGATTTGCCATCGTAAGTTATATCTGATAAACAAACAAGCAAACATGTTGAAAAAACAAGCTAGGAGTGTTCCTCTCTAATCAGCTTCAGTATTGAAATCTTAAGTTCATCGAGAGCTATATAGCTCGTCGATTGTGTCCGCCCTAATTAAATAGTTTCCATAGTTTAACAGATATTGGGCGGTTAAAACACAAACTTGTTCCATCAATTGTGGTCTTAACTCTTTGCAGAGATCTCAGCATCCCATTTCCAGACAAAGAGAAAGCTAAGATTGCAATGAACTCGCTAAAAGTTGACCCAGAACCCAGAAGAACAAAAGTGACAAAGAAACTAAAAGTCGAAGAGAACATCCTGATTGCGTAAGTGCGTCGGCAATATACGAGCTTTTTCCTGTGTGGCAAAGTGAACATTCCAAGCGGTTATTGAGGCTTTCTTTGTATTTATAAACTGGGGCTGGAGCGCCTATACATATAGTGCGTGGGTAGTTTCCGAACATAGTCTGTCTTTCTAAGTGTCTGAACTTACCGAAGAATTAAAATATCATCTTAAATATACAAAAAAATGTATTATCATGAGTCAGATATACCCAGTGTTACTCAGTGCTAGGGAAAATGCCAAAAAAATAAAACGTACATGCCTTTTAGCTAAGCCTAGGGTCTAAAAAGTACTTTCGACAATGTCAATGGGTTATTTTAAACTATTCGAGATTGATTTGTGGTGTCGTGTTTTTCGCATAAGCTAGACGTCTATAAATCCCAAAAATGTTCCCGCCTTCATTGATAGAAATACAGGCTCTCTCTCCTATACAACAACAACCTACATCAATACACATTTTTAGCATTTCTCAGATTGTTCTAATACAACATTTCCACCATAACATAATTGTCAATGCATGTCATACAACAAGTCATACAACAACCTTTTTAGACCAAGTCTGTGTAAGTGGTGTTGATATAGACAAACTGGAAAGAAAGAAAGAACTTTGGAAAGAAAGATGGTACTATTACATGTACGTCACCAAATGGCCTCCACTATATGAAACTCCTCTATTTTTTTATCAGCAGAACAATGCATAAGAAGAATCTGCAGTTCTTTGAGCAGAAGAACTATTAGCATCACCTCCGAAAATCCTTTCGAGAATATTTACTAGGCAGTATACTGTGGGCAAAACGAACACTTTAGTGAGAGCTAGTCTCCCACTTTTAATGCTAATATACATAGGTTTGACTATAAGTTTACCAAATTGAGAATTATCCCAACGTAAACTGACCTAAAAAAATAGAAAAAACCGATATTCAGTTGTATAAACTATAAAGGTCATTATATTTTAAAGCCAAAGAATAACATACCAATTATTGCTTTAGTTTGAAAAGGTTTATTTTGTTACTCTTCACCATTCCTAAATATTTTCTTTAAAATGAACAAGGCATCAGAACATAATCTAGCAAATGCTTGAAACATGCACGCCATTTGAAAAGCAGTATTGAAATATAAGTTGTTGTCACTCGAAAACCTTGACTAGACAGATAGAAACCATAAAATCATGCAACTGTGTACAATTGTCCAATATCAATATACGAATATATATAAAAGAGCGGGGGAGTAAGAAAGAATAGGATTTTTGAATGTATAGTTTGAGTGTAGCCTGTAGGTCGGTGTTTGATGGAGGAAACTTGTATTGCCTATACAATTTGGGGGTGCTGAGTAAACTTGATTGATTGACTAATATTGATTGAATCGATGTTTTTATTTAGATCTTTTGAAGCTCCAGAAGCTAAGAACCTTAGAGTGGCGTCAAACTCATTCTTGGATCATTTGACTTTAGTTATGAAGACTATAGATAGGTTTGGATGAACTTAGGTAATACGACGTACACTTCAATGTCAACTGTGGATCAAGTACTAGGATCAAGGACTGCTTTAAATTAATATATCGGCAGCCTAGGTAATCGATATGCTAATTTCTAGTCCATCAACGCACTTCATTTTCTTCGGCAATCATCGATATGTCCCCAATTACAATAAGCTTATTACAATATGGCGTCCGTAATCACAAACACTAACTTGCCGGTTATAGAGTGTGATCCTTGATGAATTGCATTGACTTTCTACGCCGGTTGCCTCCGCTAGTTGCAGGCGACGAGTTTATTGCACTATTCTTAGTTTTCATGTGACGTCATAAACCCGGTAATTACAACGTTGATTAATTCGGCAGGACATAATTGTCATTACACTGATTACAGCATGTTGCCTGTTGGTTGTTCGCCTGTTGGTTGCCCTTCAGCATAGAAAAAAAATACGTGGAATGTCGTATTATTCGGTTCTCTCCTGTGCAGCATAGGCGTCGAAACGTAATCAAATATTTGAGTCTGACCTCCATTTATATCACGGATTAAAATGCTTAGTAAAACCAGCAAAATATCATGCAGGTAAATGTTCGAGGTTTTCTGAATGTTGAATCAAGCTCGTAACACTGGCTCGTATTTTACTTTTCGTACAAACAACAAAACGCATAGTTTTGTCAAGAATATCGAGTAAATTTGTAATATCTTTGACTTTGTCTTTAAGAATGCAATAATAATCTCTGGAGTTATTAATGTTTTAAGTGTTTAGTATATACTCTAGCCTAACAATTGGGCTGTCTTTTATTTCGCTAGACTGCATGATAGGCTTGTTTAAATGTTTCATTCTCTTTCATCTGTTCCTCAGAACTCACTTCTAGTCGAAATCTCTTGGTAGTCGTTCTAGTTTTTTAGTTTGTTTCGGACTCCTGTAGTCACTAAGCATGAGGCAATTTTGTTTGTAAAATATTTCAAGCCATAGGGGAAAAGGAGAAAGACTTAGAGCTCGATAAATAGCCATATTGGAAAATTGACATGCAAGCAAAATAACGTCGTATTTGGATCATGACAATGAAACGGCACATGCACGAATGAATTTTTCATTCATCACGTATTTTTTTGTACACCCACTATATATGATACATACAGTAGTTACCTCAAAGCACATCTTTATTTGTGTACATTAATATAAAGGAGTTTGAATTTACTGTAAAATGAAATTTATAGTTATACGTTGAAAGAGATGCAAACAAGTATGGCGAAAACACATGATGTTGAGACACATCAAACATGTATTATATTGTTTTTCTTATAAAAATAGAATGATTACAAGCGATGATGCATTTTCAATAGGACATGTGCATTTGTTCTCAAATTATGACGCGTTGTGTGCGGACAGTGCAATAAACTGCAACAAAAAGCAATAATTACTTAACCTCAGTTTGTCAATATGTCGGTCTGGCGCTGAAAGGAACAGGATATTTGCTGGCCTTGCATGCAGACTGTCTGTATATTTGTATTCTTTTAACCGGTTTTCTAGTCGGGGGAATTTTTCGACCGAACGAAATTTTTCGTCTGATATTCTTTTCATTTCTGAGAATTCGACCGTGGCGGATTCCCTTCACCTGTCACAATTGAAAAGAAAATCGAGAAAAAAATCTCGTTCGTTCGAAAAATTCCGCCTGCCCTAGTGGAAAACTGGCTTTAAGCAGAATCGACTTGAAAAGGAGCAAAAATAGGTATATTTCGCAATGGTAAGTACTAAATTAACATCTGCATGTTCCACACGCGAAGAAGCAAGAATAGTTGTCAGAGAATATTGATCAAACTCGAGCAATACAATATCCTGGAGAGACAGGACGTTTACTTAGCGCGAAATAAAAAAAAACAACTACAAGAATAGCATGCCTAGTGTGTGGTTTATCGGCTTTAAAACCCACGCAAAATTATGTGAGCAGCAGTTTAGTGATCGAAACATCGGGACTTGGTCTGCAAGAGAACCAAAGGTAAGATACTTAGCCTAAAATTTTCAGTCTTCATGATTGAATTATAGCTTTTTATATTTTCTTTTATACCTTAATGCTTAAACATTTACAGTTACAAAATTTATTAGACTACCCGAGATTTCCTGCTCGAAATCTCCGTCTTGTTCACCGACGCTTTGTATAATACGTGTAATACGTGTTTTTCCTTAACTTCTGTTTTAATATGATTATGCATTTCCATAACTTCCAATTATGTGTCCATAGATGTATCAGTATGGTCATAGGCAGCCAAGAAATCTGTTTATACTCAGTCTTCGACTACATTGTTTACGCGCGGTCAGCTACTGTCTGTACTAATTACTGTATTATATATTGATTGATTATATATCAATATAATTGATATTATTATTGATTGATATATTGATTGATTATATATCAATATATAATACAGTAATTACTACAGAAGCTGACCGCGCGCGTAAACAATGTGGTCAAAGACTGAGTATAAACAGATTTCTGGGTTGCCTATGGTATGGTGTTCTAAATATCATCGTCTGTAGGGAATCTGGTCGATCAAGCGCTAACATTGATACACAAAGAGTTGTGGGCGAATGAAAATTTAGATGAGAACATCTTATCCCTAAAATATCCCTACAAAGCGAAAGGTTATAGGACATCTGACATTCGGGACTTTGTAAATTGATTTATGCAGTCAATACTTCTTTTCTTAGAATGAAATCAGTTTTCGTGGCATTCCTGCTGGCTTGGCTATCCGCATTGTGTTCTTGCGATGTTCTAACCGAAGATAACGATGTTTTAACGGCGGACGCAGGAAATCAGCCGGCTGCGGTGGAAAAGCGCGGGAACTTGCGCAATGGTGTTAATGCGAAGTGCACCCCGGGCGTTTGGTGCTACAATGGAAAACGAGAAGTACAGGAGGAAAGCGCACTACTGCGCCACCAAAAAAGCCAACTACCAAAACCATTGCCTGAAAAAAGAAACCATGTATACGAATGCAAGCCGGGAGTCCATTGTAGAAAGAGGAGCCATGTCTTGACGGACAGTCATGGACGTTTCCCGAGCTCAGTTCAATGGAGAATTAATATCTGTTTAAAGTATCCACATTTATGTGGAAATAAACTGGACCTGAACAAGGAATGAAACTGTTTGAAATTATGGATTAAAAATCGCATGTTAATGTACGGCATGATAATAATACTGCATAAAAAGTATGAACAATATACGATGAAGTAGATATTCAAAATTGTAAACGTATCTAATTGTGTACTGTAGTAGTGAAATATATTGAATTGTCCACTAAAGTTGCCATCTTTATGTTTAACCCCAATAATTAACTGAGAAACATCCGGAAGGTGATCTGTATAAAATCCGGTACTTTTCAAGCACTTCGGATGATGTAATTTTTCTTACTGTATGGGTAACCAAAACAAGGTATACCACGGAAGGATTGAGTTCATATGCCTATATGTAGGTGTTGAAAGGAAATGCCTATAACCCGTTTTCCACTGTTTTCTACAATTTATTCGATGTGTGAAGATGACTGCTTACTACAGGGAATGTGTTTACTGTGGCCTGACGTACAAAGATAATCTGCAGTATACCTGCTCTCGAATTTCGAAAAAAATCGCTGCCCTATAGCTACGACGTATTGGCATATATATCACAACTTTTCCTATATTCGGCTATATGGTGTGATAACTGCTTTACATGAAATCCGTAAAATCTATCAGCATCAGATTGGCTCACGCAGTCCCATATATAAAACCACATTCCCGGCAACATATGCCAATCTGAATTCTCTGAAACACAGAAAAGCTTTGCATCTTGCTGCAGTTTTCACATTCGAGTGTATCAATTATCTGCTTTTCATTTAATAACTTCACAAGTCACAATTAACCAATCTAAGCGCTTAATTACAACCAGATGCAGGTTCTATTCCCGCCGGTACGGCAAGGAGTTGCTGAATTTTTATTTTAATAACTTCTAAATTATAATAGAATCTATATCACTATGTAAACCCTCATTGCCATTGGGAATCAATGTTTTGGTTGTGGTCCGTCATTCTTGATTGTAACAACCGTGATGATTTAACAGGTTGAAATTGATGGTAAAGCTTCTTGAAGGCGACCAACAGCAATTTGAGAGAACGCTTTCTTGCGTGAGCTGGTACTGACCCACTAGTGTGTACCGATTCCTAGCTGTGCCACGCGACTCTAACAGTCTGATGCATCATGACACATGACTCTCATGCATGCATGACTCTGAACTGCACCTATTCTGGTAATAAATTAGTTGAATTGTGCATAAATTTCTAACCAGCGGATACAGCATATTTGTCGATTTTCCTAATAATATTGGTATTGACAGCGCTCGTGAATATTTGTGAAGTGACTGTTAGAAGAAACAGTCCATAACTTAATAAGTTACGGGAACCTTATATAAACATTATTTTGAATAATACTGCTTATACATGCTGCATTGTTCTATCTGCATGTTATCATAGACTCACTGCCAGTTGGTTTTACCCGTTGTTTTAATATTTCGCGTCTGATCTTCCACCGCAAGACATAATTGCAACGTTACACTTTCTCACTGTCAAATTGTTACCGAGAATCACCTAGTGCGGTTTAACTACTTTAACACCAACATTTAGGCATGTGAACTCAATCGTTCCGTGGTATCTTGTTTTGGTTACCCATGCATATAGTAAGGAAATGAAATGAAATATCGATGGATATTGCAGTGTTCGGATCGCTAAGTTTTTGACGCGCAACAACGTAATGGTGGTAACACTGAAACTCTTCTGCAAATATGTCTCAAAGAGATCAATACATATACATTGAGATCAATATGTATGTATGTATGTATTGATCTCTTTCAGATTAATGTGGCGATTCAGATACATTGAATAAGTAAATATAATGTTTTCAAATGAAAATAGAAATGATTATACAAGCGAATGGGGCGATGATGCATTTTCAATAGGACATGTGCATTTGTTCTCAAATTATGACGCGTTGTGTGCGGACAGTGCAACAAACTGTAGCAAAAAGTAATTACTTAACCTGTTTGTCAATATGTCGGCCTGCCGCTAAGAGGAACAGGATATTTGCTGTCCTTACACGCAGTATGTATATTTGTATTTTTCAACATAATCGACTTGAAAAGAAGTAAAAATAGGTATATATTTCGCAATGTTTTACGTACGAAACTAACATCTGTTCCACAGGCGAAGAATGATAAATCTCAAGCAATACAATAGCCTGCTGAGACAAAGGACATTTACTTAGCGCGAAAGAGAAACAACTGCAAGAATAACATTTACGCCTAGTGTGGTTTGTGCTTTAAAACCCACGCGAATTTTGCAAATATATAATTTGTCAGAAGTTATGTGAGGAGCAGTTGAGCTCGAGACATCGGGACTTGGTCTGCAAGAGAAGCAAAGGTAAGATATTTAGCATGGATTCTTTCAGTCTTCCTGATTGAATTTTTTATTTCTTCTACATTGTTTATCTAGTTACAGTTACAAATAGACTACCCGAGGTTTCATGTTTAGAATTTCTGTCTATTTCGGGATGTACAGTAATACCAGAACCTCGGTCTCACCGACTCTGACAGAAATTGATGTTTTCGATTTCATTATCGGTGTTGTCATTCTCAGCAATTCATAACATTCCATTCTAGACAGTACTGTATATGCGATGTCATTTATTAATATGCAGTCAATATGCCTTTTCTTAGAATGAAATTAGTTTTCGTAGCATTCCTGCTGGCTTGGTCATCCGTGTGGTGTTTTGATGATGTTCTAACCGAAGATGTTTTAACGGCGGACACAGGAAATCCGCCGGCTGTGATGGAAAAGCGCGGGAACATGCGCAATCGTGCTCATGCGAAGTGCCTCCCAGGACTTTGGTGCTACACTGGAAAACGAGAAGTACGGGGAAAAAACGCTCTACTGCGGCAACAAAAAGGCCAACTACCAAAACACTTGCCCGAAAAAAGAAACTATGTATACGAATGCAAGCCGGGATTCCATTGTAGAAAGAGGAGCCATGTATTGACGGAAGAATCCGACAGTCGTGGACCTTTCCCGAGCTCAGTCCGATAAATATCTTTTTAAATATACATATTTGTGTACTGGACCTAAACAAGGATTGAAGTTGCTTGAAATTAAGGATTAATAATCGCATTAATGGAAATATTTGAAAATATTTTCAAAGATATTATTTAGTTTAAGAAATTACGTCTATACATATAATCAATAATGATAATAATAGAGTAGGGAATGCATGAACTATATATGTTAAGTGAATATTAAAAATTGTAAACGTAAATGTGTATTGTATAGTAGTGAAATAGATTGAAATGTCCTCTAAAGTTGTTATCTTTATGTATGAGAAACATCCGGCCATACTATATTTCTGAATTGACAAAAGCCATATTTTGTGAAAGTTTTAAAACAAAATAGTGGTTTAGAAGCACTTAAATTACCAAAACAGTGGATTAAAATTTAACCCAGGGTTAGCGCTAACCCAGCATTAAACAACTGGCCCCGGAAGGAAAAAAGTGACGCATAATTTCGACCAAATATCCTGCAATTCATCGGGGCGACAAAAAGAGGTGATTGAACAGTGTATACATGGCCACACCATATATTTGGAAGGCGGTTGAGGTATTCGGGGACCGACGTTTTGGTTTTTAAAAATCTGCACTTTACTAAAATTATTGAAGGCGTCATCACATAGGACTGACTCGGCGTAATGTTGACAAACGGCTTCTTATCATCAACTGATTCAACTCTTCTTGGATCACTTCCCGAAATTATTATATCCAGGAATTTTTGTATCATCTGCTTTTTGAACCTCACCATGCAGAATTGGTGTCTTCACTCCAAATTAAATGTTTCAAAAATTCTTCAACCGACGAACAACCCTTGCAACATTCAGAAACCTTTCCCCCATCTTTAAAAATTTCCTCCGATCCGCTCTGTTTTGAATCAGTCGTAGCAAATGATATTTCTGTTTGCCTGGTGTCAAAGTTTGTAAGAGAGGCTTTACAGTTTGTTTCAGATGTGTCTATTTGTGATTGGTTTGTCACAAATGATGTTTTTGCACGTCTCGTGTCTGAGTCTGGAAACATTTTCTCTATTTTGGCATTTCCACTCCTCGTTTTAGGAATTTCGAAACTTGGTTGTGCAACTTGGCAGACATCGTAAACTGTGACCGTGTGAGGACATCGAACTGTTGGTAAATATCTAAACAATAACGAAATGATTCCAAATTAAATTCGTGCGAGCTGAGTACATGAAAGCACGTAATTGAAAACAAGGGGATGGTGCTTGGAGGATTGGAACTCATCTGTAAGACCATGTAAATATTTCGCTTTCTTTATATGTTTTAAAATCTTACTTTTCAAGCACTTCGATGATGTTTTCCTTACTACATGGGTCACCAAAACAAGATACCACGGAAGGATTGAGTTCATATGCCTATATGTTGTTGTTAACATAGTTTACAATTAGTATATGAAGACCGTATTTCATCAATTTTAATATTCTTGTTATATGTATATGATGTACATTACAATACCATTGCCTCGAATTTGTTCCACTTTCTATTTTCGTGCAGTCCGCCCATTCCCCTGGTTAAAGGAGATTCCTACGAAAGATATAGGAAATGCATGTAAAAGAATCGCCTCCCTACGACGTATTGGAACGTATATCACATCAATTTTTTTTTCCAGCTGTACTGATGAATTTTAAATTTATTTTATCAGTAGTGGAATGGTCCTTTGGATGTCAGCCTTTTTACCTTTAACGACCTCTCGAACCAACCACGTAGAATTAGAGAACAGACGTGTTGTGAGTTAAACTCTGTTGCTAGCGTTGTGTCTTCGATGGCCTTTAATGATAAATATAGAATGATTATGAGACGGTCTGTATTGACTAAGTCATATATATGAGAGGAATATTTTCAGTGGCGTAGCCAGCCTGACGATTTGTCCCGTTATGCTAATATTTAGGTGTTTGTTGACTGTGAAAACAATGAATTTCTGAAGAAATGAATAATTATAATAACACGAAATTTACATAGCGGGATAAAATCGTCAGGCTGGCTACGCCACTGAATATTTTGCATAATCCTAACCTTGTCGTTGTCCCCCAACATAAACCTGACTATAGCTCGTATACAGTACATATCCTAGAAAAATATACAGTTCATATATACGCACAGTGCAGTGTATGGCGAGACGAAATCAGACGAGTTCACTGAATCAGACATTCAAACTGGATGGAGCATTCTTCGAATAGCAATTATGCGGGTCTTCCCCACCGCTGACCTATACTAGATATAGTATAGGTCAATGGTGTTCGCTTATGCTATAGCCTTCACCACCGAACCTCGTTTCTATGCAATATACTCTATTTACACCAAATCGAGGCTTGGTGCTAAAGACAATAATAGCATAAGAATAAACTCTCGAAAATGCTATTCGTATAATTCAGCATGCACGATGCGAAAGGAACATGAGAATATTAGATCAGTTTTACTGAATTCGTGTTATCCAGTAAGACAGCCTTTTCGGAGCTCTGCAAAGCTTCTTGAAGGTGACCAACAGCAATTTGCGAAAACGCTTTTCTTGCGTGAGCTGGTACTGGCCAGTGTATACCGATTCCTGTGACACACGACTCTGAACTACACCCATTCTGGTAAGAAATGAGTTATGCATAAATTTCTAACCAGCGACACTGACAGTATATTTGTCGATTTTCCTAATAATATTGGTATTGACAGCGCTCGTGAATAATATTTGTGAGGTGATTGTTAGAAGAAACAGTCCATAACTGAATAAGTTACGGGAACCTTATACATTTGAAACTGCATGCCACTGCTTATAGAATACATGCTGGCAGCTGGATTGTACTTTTATAATTTTGCGTCTGATCATGAAAGAAGGGGAATGAGTCATTATTATTATTATTACTTCCAGACGAAACAAAGAAATGATGTGCGCATGACATAATTCAAACGTTACACTTTCTCCCAGTTCAAAAGAAATATTACTGAGTGTCACCTAGTATAGGTTTTGTAGCTTACCTTCCTCTTTTCCACTATTCTGATTGCTTCTCGAAACATCAATATTGCAGTGTTGTGATCGTTGAGTTTTTGATGCGCAACACCGCAATGGTGGTAACACTGGAACTTCTGCAAATAAAACGGTCTCAAAGAGATCAATATTCAACACGATGATATCATGACAGGATGGATGATCAAACAAAAATTATGCACATTTGCAATAGCTATAATATTTCACGATCATCATTGCATGACAAATATAATAATCATCACCATTCTTTATAATCTCATGTATCAACGCAAAATGCCCAATTCACGAAAAAATGTTTTACCAAAATCTTCAGTTCTTCCGGAGCAAGTTTTTGTAGATTAGCAAAGGTTTCGTTCTTGAAGAGTTCGAATAGATCATTATAAAAGAAAATAACCTGTTGAAAGGAAAATTGTATTTGCATAAAAGTCGCTGATATCACTAGATATTTTAACATTCATGCTATTGTATTTTCAGTACATAAATGGTGTATATAAAGATTATATTGTGATTTCTAGAGAAAGAAAACAACTAGAATAGGATCTTCACTATGTGTTTTGTTGAAGGAGAAGGGTTTCAGAAACGGATATAAGGTATCGGATGCTATGGTTTTCTCCTAATGGCTGTAAGTCTGTAATAACAAATAGAACAATAAGATATGATGCTCTTCATTGTGGGCCAATGGAAAATTGGGCAACTCTTAAACTCGGAACATAGCTGGACTTGTTATGCTCATTCTACAATCTACATTCATCCTTTGTCTTCCTTATCAACTTCTGTAATGAAATAACTGGCTCGAGTCTTACCCCAGAAGTCAATTCTAAATTCCTATTTCTCCTGTTTATCTCATGCAGTGCCGCCTTTCTAATCTTTGTCCAGATTCTAACCTTTTTCCAGTTTTTGCGTCTTTCATAAAAAATGGCGTTATCCAACAATTTCTGACCATTCATTCTCAGTCTGAATACTGTACTTTATCAATAACTATTCAATGCGAGCTGATGTACACGAACAAATGAACTTGAAATTAATGATCGTTCCTTCTGATATATCCATTTACAAAACTGGTTAAAGTCAATCTAAGATCTGTGAAATTACTCGGCCTGATCTTGCAGCATATGTCTCAGGCTTGATATATTTTACTAAAGCACGCTGCGATGATTTTCATGTTGAAAGTTTAAAATATTGTGCCGTATTATTTACACTAAGACATTTGGAACAGGTGCATGTCATACAATTACATGCAATGTGGTCAAAGTGACCTGTTGTTTTTGACAATTGAGGCATACTTTGGCTCCGTTGAGGTTGCTTAGAACATGCTTTCTTGCTATATTTCCTAAATATTTTTGCTAGGATATTTATTGAAGAGAGAACATCTTTTTTATTCCGGGAATTTTTTCCTGAAAATTTAGTACACTTTGAATTTCATTTCCTGTAATATGAGTTAGCAGGTGTCATTATAAATTCTGATCACGTATTTGTTTCGTTTGACTGGAATGTTCCTCGTCCTTATAAGAAGCTAGTGGACATTGCATGCATATAATTCTTTCAGTAGTCTTTCTGTAGCCAGGGTGCAGCCTAACCTGGATACGAGATTGCGTGGCGGTAGCCCAACTTCACGCACTGCCGGCTATCTTTCTCTTTTGTCTATCAAATCTACAATTATGGGAAAACCTGATGGCACAAATTGTGTAAATGCAAAGTACTTCAATCCCCCCCCCCTCGGTAACACGAAGACATCATCTTATAGTTCAGATAAGTTGTCCTATAGAGCCAATTCAATCTCACTTTTTCTTCAAGTGGAACTGCATGGGGATATTTTTAAATTGTGGTCAGTTTGCAATCATTTCATTTTCTAGAAATTTTACGCAGAAATTTTTGCCCTACTCGATCTTGATTCTTGGCGCAGGTATAAAACTACGAAATATACATCATGTAGCCTGCATATAAAGGTATTCCTTAACATAATTATGTTTACCGCCATCCTCGCGGACCGCAATTTCCGTACCAAACCTAAAATACCCCCCACGTCGTACCCCCCCCACGTCGTTTAATGACCAAGATATTGTTTACACTGCATTCAAATCATTGCATACAGGATTATAGCTGCCTTATGTGTTTACATGTTTTGTGAACGTATTCAAATTATAAACTCAAACATAATCCCAGTGAAAATTCAACGTTATGCATGATTGTCTGAAACTATCTTATATGATAAACACTATCACTATTATCTGTCCTGTGTGAAAAGATATGTTCTGGTCAAACTTGGAATTCCTTAACATTTCCTAACCGTTCGTTAGCAAACTTTTGGTTTATCAAATTAGATAATCATTTGTCATTAAGTTTGTTTGCTGTCGCTGTAGTGGTGTTGGGCTTTGAATAAATTTTAACTGTTTTTACATTTCAATGCAAATAGCGCACTAATGTCGTCGCATTCATTAATTTGGAGCGAATATAGAATATAAAATTCCAAGGTGGGACAAGTCACAGAATGTAGAATGTAGCATACTGCATACCAATTTTATAGACGTTTGATTGCTGCTTTACATTGGGATTCAAAAGTTTGTTGAATGTCTGCTCGATTGGTATGTGTCATCCGAGATGAAAATGTAATATGAAACGACCAAAATATACTAATATTCGCTGTCCAAGAACCTAAACCAAAGCACCCTCAAGTGTGCCTTTCTCTTCCGTTTGATAACGACAAAAACGTTCACTCCACAACAAATTGCTGTAATTAACAGATATTTGTTTTGTTATCGTATTGATTCAACTGTTTCAACCGTACAGAAGTGGTACCACAGTCATCATCATCATACAATCACACAAATGGCTTCGAAGTTGACTAGTCCAAATACCGATGCTAAGGGTAGTAAAATACCAATTCCAAAACCAGCAACAAGTGACTCAACCGTGCGAGACGACCTCTTAGCAAGCCAAGAGAAAAAACCACCCTTTCAAACCAGAAAATCAGCGGAGGAATTGAAGTTACGTCTTGCTTCAGCTGTGAGCGCGAAAATTGCTCTTGGCAAAGACGGAAAGGCCTCAAGTAACAATAGAGGTATTGGATTTCTACGGCAACGAAAGGAACAGGAAAACAGACTGAACACTAAAGACATTTCGTTTCAAAAGTCGGTGCGTAATGGCGGGAATAAGACGGTTGAGACGAAAGGAAAGAGTCCAAATACCTCAGTAAAAAATCTTCGAAATGAATTGAATAAAACCGAACTTCAGAAATCGTTGCTAAGCGCTTTAATGAACAGTAGAACTCCTTCTGGAGTGAATTCTGGTCAAAAAAAAGTTCAAGACACTCGTTTTGGAACTGCAAGCAAATTGAATCCAAATAGCGCAAATAAAGCTAAGACCAACCAACCAACGAGAACGCCAGTCACAACGTCTAAAGAAATGACTAAAAGGGACAAAATTCGACAGTAAAGTAAGTTCTGAAAGAAGTACTGCCTACAATAATGGAATTAAAATAGATTCATCTGACACAACTAAAGGTAAAACTAGTATGCTCAAAAAACCGACATTGCCTTTGTCATCTAAAGAAACGATTGGAAACGTGAAAAGCAAGTTGCAAACAGGCGGCAATGTCAAAGGGCAATTGAATAAAGGAAGTGGAAAAATATTAGAACGTGCTAAAAATATCGAAAGTTTGCTTGGGCAAAGACAGCAAAACAAGGAATCAGTTGAACAAACCGCTTCCACTAAAGATGAGCCAGGACCAAAACAAGGCATAAACAGTCCAGTCCTGGGGGCTAGTCCAGTTTTAAACGATGAAAACAGCAAACATTTGAAATTGAAGACAACACTGTCAGGTGGGACGGCACATTCGGTTGAAAATTCTGGAAAAGGTAGAATCAATAACGGTACGCACAATCAGAAACCTGCTCAGAATAAAACTGTTGAAAGACGAAAATCCGAAGAGAATTTTGGAAAAAAGATTCCGCCACCAGTTGCCAAAAAACCTTCGAAAGAATTTAAAGGTAATTCAACGCAAATTCAGCGGAAAATAAGCCCTTCGAGAGTGAATAGCTTGAGTTTGACTGGAAAAGAAGCGGCTTTGAACAAGGGAGATTTTGGAGAAAGAAAAGCATTTCGCGAGGATTTATTGGAAAAGTTAGAGGCGGATGTTGGAGATTGTAAAATCGCAGCGTTTCAATCGATGGAAGATTTTTCTGCTTTGCGAATAAGAGCGTATCGTATCCGTGGAGATTTGGATCAACTGAAACGAGACAGAGAGAAAAGAATTCCTTTGGTTTGTTAGCGAACAGTAATATCAACAACTTACGGATGGATTCAGCTATTTTAGCAACATTACAAGTATAAAAGAGAGCAATTCCTATAGCTTTGGAACCAGTTGCAATTTAGCCCAGGGTGTTGCCAAGTGTGTAAGTAGCATTTCACTTTGCTTTTGATATTGCCAAAAGTTTTTATTAGCGTTCAGGCAATTTTTTACCACGGTTCTCTTCTCCCGCGCAGGCAAATATCGCTTTTTTAAGGCCATTATGCAGAGTACCACGTCAAATCATGGCCGCCAAACAATAATGGCATTACTGGCGATGGTACCCTGATTCTGCTTCCCACTTTTTCTGCCAGTATACCTTCGTCACAGTCGTTCTCTAGAGTGTCAGATTTATTCGTATTTGAAAATATTTAACTAGTAGTGTTTCAGTCTCATTTCTGCGGAATAGTTTTACCTAAACTCGCCTGTAAAGTCCCGCGGATGCGTGACCTTTGTATATATTTATCTCCTTGACTTACTTGGTTTCGTGACTTATATCAAAAGCTGATCATTGTCAATCAGTATGCCCACAGTTGAATGAACGCGAGGCATAATGTTCATGTTACACGCACAAATTGCGCAATACGTTTGTTTAATGTAAAAATAGAGAAATATAATTTAGTACAGTTCATCATCAGATATCTTCAATTGGATTTTTATGTTTTGGTACTTATATACCACCTTTGGAACTTTGTTCTTTGTTCTGCTTATCACTAATATCTGAAATGCGTCTCGTCGATTGTCTGTTACCGGGAGCCGGTAAATATTGCTCTTACAAACAGGTTTTTGAATTAATGTTTTTACTCAAACTGGTTCTAAATCATGCTATTGTTAACAAAACCGGTTTTCAGTTGACCTTTTTTTAATTAGTGCGAAGTTTAGCGCAAAATTGTGTCATCCCATTTAGCGCGCTGGATTCGGTGGAAGAATTAGACATTGAGCTACTACTTCACACACAATTACACCAAAGATGTAAAAAAAATGTTCGAAATCGCTTGGTTGTTGGAATTGTTGGTTTTTGCATTTCGTACCATGTACCGACTGTATGTATCTGTTTCTTTTCAGCGGATACTATACGCTGAGGACAAATGGGGGCGTTGTGTAGGCTTACTGCGATTCGGCGTTTTGATTGGATCACGTCTTCTTATATAGTCCAATTGAAAACAAGCTCCCCCTGAGTTTGTACACGAACATCGAGTTTCTGGGCATCGCCATCGAAATTTCTATTCTGGTAATGTGTAGCCAGTTGTAATGTTTCATTTTTATTCCCGTTTTTTGTGCAACTTTTAATGAAGGCATTGTAATTTCTACAAATGTTGTCTGCTCATCGTATTTTACAGAATTCAAGGCGTGCTTTTCAGACGTCGACAAAAATCATGGCTTCTTTGCGAGTCGCGATTATAGGACAGTCGCAGTTTGGTATGGAAGTGTATAAGAATTTGCGGGCAAAAGGTCATGAAATCGTTGGTGTTTTTACCATCCCAGATGTTAAAGGAAAGCCCGATGTTCTGGCCAGTGAGGCAGAAAAAGACGGACTTCAAGTCTTTAAGTTCAAGCGCTGGAGGAACAAAGGGGAACAGAGCACAATCCCGGAGGTTTTTGAAAAGTACAAATCGTGCGAAGCAGAATTAAATGTTATGCCATTTTGTAGCCAATTTATTCCAATGGACGTTATCGATTCTCCCAAGCATGGATCGATTATATACCATCCTTCTCTTTTGCCAAGACACAGAGGGGCATCAGCTATAAATTGGTAAGCATTTAGGTGTGACACAACTAACAATAAATGTACTATTCCTCCAAAATGTGCACGCTACATATTTCGTAATTATTTACAATTTCAATAGTTTATTATTAACTTGTAAATCGCAGCGCAGTTTGGCCAGTGTTTGGGCAAAACGGATATCACTTTTGTTTGTGCACAGTTTTCCGGCAGCGAAATGCCTTCAAAATTTTACTTTAGCGGGTAAATGCACGGTGACATATTTCATATAAAGTATAAACATGCATGTTGCCAAACAATTTTTGTTCTCACATCGTCTTCGTTCGAGAAAATTTAAATTGAATATCACTTCCTGAATTAAGTTGCAAAGGTTAGACAAAAGCCTCTTGAAATTGCGAATAATTCTTGACTAGACATACGTTGCATAGAAACCGAAACCTTCTATGTTGAAATCAATGATTGAAATGAATAAATAAAGTATAGTGTTACAAAATCAGATGTAAATCCATAGCGCGATAAAAAATTAAATTGTTGCATTTGATGTTTGAATAGAACTTTTGATAGTCTTAATTTTTAAACAGTTTTAAACATTTAATCTATAAATTAAATCATTATATTCAATTAGAGCACTACTGAGCACTACTGAGCATAATGCAGACTTGTCTTCTTACCTTCTATGAGGCGTGAGAGGAAACAAACTAGACTTTCTTAATTAACAAAATAATAGACAAATAGATTGCCCAATATGCTGAGCTCTAGACATGATGTGAGCCTTGTGCTAAATCTTATAGTCCTTTACATAATAGTGTAGAGAGGTAGGAGGAAGGCATGATAAAATAACTCCTAACTAGTTCCTGTTTTTTGTTGCAACACTAGGTTTTTGTTGTAACCAAGTAAATTCGGATTGAAGTTTAGTTACATTCTGTTTAGATGGATTTTCTAAATGATTTAGAAAACACTTCCCACAAATAGTTTTTTGAATTTTCAAAATTTTAATAATTTAAAGGTCTAATAAATAGTGAAGATAGGGCAATGAAAATAAGGTGATGAAGATAAGGTGATCCACCAGTGTTTTAGAAAAATCATTATTGTAGTATGTAATATTAATTGTCATGATTTAAAATACAAATTGTAGATATTCCATATTGTAATCAAATATTTGTGACACTTTTAATCTTGTTCTAGGACTCTAATGGAAGGTGACAAACAGGGAGGTTTCACAGTGTTTTGGGCAGATGATGGCCTGGATACAGGTCCAATTCTATTACAAAAAAGTGTAGATATTGATCCTAATGAAACTGTGGATACCCTTTATAACCGATTCCTTTATCCAGAGGGGATTAATGGAATGGTAAGCATGCATGGGGCAATATATTGTACATGTACCCTTAATTTCTTCAAGGGTACAGACAGTATGTGACTTCATATGTTACATTTTGTGAGTTCCATTCATGAAATACGGTGGTTATAATTTTATCCTGTGGTCATTCCCACATTAGGTTGAAGCAGTTGATCTGATTTCCGATGGCAAGGCTCCAAGAATTGTACAACCTGAAGAGGGTGCAACATATGACAAAATATGGAAAAAGAAAGATGTTGCTAAGGTATATAATTGGTTAGGAATTGTGCACATGTATGCATTCATTTTTAATTACTCTTATTCAGTCTGTACGACTTGAATTCTTGAATTTCTTTCAATTCTAGATCCATTGGGACCAACCAGCAGAAAAACTACATAACTTTATAAGAGGGAATGATAAGGTAATTATAAGATATATCACGGAAATTCTATATTTTGTCTAAGCAAGTTAATTGTGGGCATGTTGTGTCTATATAGTGTGTCTGATAATTAGGTTTTGTAAAATTAATCCTGGCATGTACAAAGCTTCATGTACATTCCATTCCAAAAAAGTGTGGAAGCAAGAAAAGTATATAGCAATAGCCATGCAGACTATAGGCATAATTACAACGTGATATATGAAAATATTGCAGCTATGGTATCATTAACATGTTATTATGTCTTGTTTATTGTAGCTTCCCGGTGCTTGGTCAATGATTGAGGATGAGGTAAGTGAAGCAAAATTTTATTTACTTTATTCAAAGCTATTTGACATAGAATTTTATTTAATAATGTTATTAGCATTCTTATAGCGCATTTTATTTCAAAATCTACATGTATGATCTCATTTTGTAGCAAGTGACATTCTACAGTTCTTCTCTTGAAGAAGGTAGCAATACTCCAGATGGAAGTTCTGTAATTGTTGATGGGTTAGAAAAACCTGCTATTGTTCATGCTGGTGGAATGACATTAGTTGGAAATGATGGGAAAATGGTAAGGTTTAATTTTTACCTTCCAATATACCCCCCTCAGCAGGAATAGGGAAATTAATCGGGTGGGTGAAAAAAAGCCCGGTATATATTGTGAATCATCAATAAGCTAGAATTAGTCAAGTCTGCCCATTTAAAGAGGAGTTAATTTTATGTTAAATTGCTAAGTCTTGAGCCATTGCCAGGTAGGAACTGTATTCTTGTTGGTATATAAATAATAAAGTCCAACAATATAATCTGTTTGAATGACTCTAATTAAAGCAGTAAAGTCAGGTGTCAAAATGTACATGCAAATAGCTTTACTGTTGTCTACCTGTAGTCTATACTGTTTCTCTGTCATATCCCCACTATGCCCCTACATAAGTACAAAAGAACCTGGGTACAAGGTTGATCTCTACTATTGTTTCCAAAAGTGTGGGTCTGTTTGTGTGCATTTTCCTCAGTCTGGGTCTGTATACCTGAAATATCTTTCTCAAAAATAGTTAACAGTAAAAGCTCTGGGCCTGGCTAGTGGTAAAATGATTCCTGCAGCAAAGTTTGGTCAAGCAGCGGATGAATCTGAAGCTTTGGAACTGTCCGAAGAAGAAAAAGAAATTGAGGAAAAATTGAAGGTTTGAATATTTCTATCTCTTTAATGCAGCTATTATCTGAAGAAAGGAAGGGTATTCTGAGAATACTTAGTAATTTGCCAAGTTCAAACAAATGTTAAGTTTGATGCTATAATTTTTTTTTTGTAGGTGATCTGGGCAGGTATTCTTTCAAACCCAGACATTGACAACAGTACTGATTTCTTTGGTGCTGGAGCTGGCTCTATGGATGTTGCAAGGTAGTCACCAAAAGCAGCTAGTGCTTTCAAAATAACCGCCGTCTGTCGAAGCTCAATCAAGTAGTACTGGATGATTTAATATACTGCAAGATCACAGATGTTGTTGTCATGGAAAAAATGACTACCTTTTTTCGCGTATTTTAGGCTTGTGGAGGAAGTTAAAGAGAAATGCAGCATATCTTTAGAAACAGAAGAAGTGTATATGAATACAGGGTCGGTCCATGATGTTTCTGCAGAGATTCCGTGGTTCATCATTTTTTTTAATTGTGAAGCACTAAACATTTACATATTTCGGTATAGGTTTGGCGATTTTGTTAAGATGGTTGTCCTAAGTTCACGTGGCGGTGGTCAACAGGAATTCAAATGTGATACAGTAAGGCCAATAAACATTTTCTTAAAAGAACGTTTTTCCTATGATTCCGCGCGGCGAAGTGGGCAAACACAGTTAAAAAAATCGTAAGAAACTTTAAAAAGTGCACAGTTTATATTAGTCTGATTCAAAAACGTGATTAAACCCGTATTTGAACAAGAAAACGCGGTCCTCGCTGTTTCTCCACGGTGAGGAAAAAATGGGCGAAGCAAGAGTAATGATTTCGCGAAAAAGTCGCATTTGGGAAGCATGATGTGTTACAGAATTTGATAAGAAAATTTTGTTTCCGAGAAGCAAATCGGTATTTGTAAAGATCAAGAAGGACACGACAATGTTGCCTCGTTCGCCCTAAGTTTGAGTAAGGACAGACATAACAATGAAAGTAGTATATGATTGTATGAAAGTTGGCAGAATCATTATGTGGAAACTATTTGATATTTCAGATCGATATGCACATCAACAATATGGACATCAGGATGCCACATCAAGCTTTTATCAATGGAAATTTTGTTGACTCCACTTCAGGAAAAACGTTCAAAACCATCAATCCACACGATGAATCGGTAACGTTGAATTCCAGATTAGCAATTAACAGTTAACACCCTCCCCCCCTCCCTCCCCTCAGCTTCCTCCCTCCCCTCAGCTTCCTCCCTCCCCGCAGCTTCCTCCCTCCCCGCAGCTTCCTCCCTCCCCGCAGCTTCCTCCCTAACTTCCCATCTCGAGTAGGCCAGACCGCTTATGTTTACTGATATTGAATAATTCGTATTTTTTGTCCTTAAGGTACTGGGTGAGATTACGTTTTGTTCAACAGATGATGTAGACCTTGCAGTTGCTGCTGCGAAGGTAAGCCAGGGAATTACGCTGTGTTTTATTGGTTCAATATCACTGCGATATGATTTTTATAATGCTTTGTTCAGAACGCGTTTGAAAAAGGCCCCTGGGGACGAATGAACGCCCGTGATCGTGGATCCTTGATGTACAGGTACCCAGCTTACATTTGCAATATCAATGCGGTCGCTAGTTTTTTTTGCCTTGTACGAGATCCACTGATCTATAGTAGATGAACTAGTACACCGCTAAAAACTCCCAATGAAACAATGTTGTGCTGCACCATACGAACATAGTTGTTATCCGCCAGTTACAACAATATGTCATAGGCTTCAAAAAGTTGCTTGATAACAACAATGTTTGTTGGGTGCAAAGTGTTTTCTAATGTTATCATTGTATGCCGCTAGTATCACACACAATGCCCAAGTTACTGCATAGTATGGGCTCACTGATCTCAAAGTATGTTTTATGCGTGGTATGCAGGAGTCAGTGGGTCTGACAGGATTTGTTTTCAGACTTGCTGATTTGATGGAAGAGCATAAGGAAGAACTGGCCACTATTGAATCGCTGGATGCTGGAGCTGTGTATACCTTGGCTTTAAAAACACACGTGGGAATGTCTATAGACACATTCAGATATTATGCTGGATGGTGCGATAAAATACAGGTACATGTTCGAATACAATTCTTGTGGAAGTAGAATGTTTACAATATGTCTCAATTCAGGGAGTAGAGTCAGCCTTCTCAGCTAGACTACTTGCGAATGGTGTAAGCTAAGCACTGCTACCGATGTAATACATATCTGAACTATCTACTATTATCGTGCAAATATTTCAAAAACCCCAAAAGTGTATGAGAACTTGTGTTAGACCTGGTTTACACTGCTGTGGTTTTTGTGATCAAAATCTGTGTTCAAAGTCTTCGCTCACAAAACTTCGAATCGATCGTCATCTTCGAAGGGTGTTTGCATTTTCAAGTACTGCATGTGATCAAAGTAAACTTTGACCACAGAAACTTTTATAGTGTAAACCAGCCTTTAATCGACTAAAGGTATCGATTAAAGTCTCCTTTCCTCGTAACAGGGCGTCACAATACCCATCAACCACAGTCGTCCCAGCAAGAATCTTTCTTATACCAAACGAGAACCTTATGGGTAAGATGATCGATCATTTGTCAAAGAAACTACATCTGATCATACTAGCATGCACACAGATTATACGCTGATTATCATTAATCGTTGAGCCTGTTGTTTCATCATATATGAATTGTTATTATTTAAGCCCTCTTTACACTACATTCAATTAATTGGCACAACACGGCTAAAATGGGTACCCATGCCCAATTTTATTCGTGCTCAGGCTACCGAAACAAAGGGCGAGCACGGATGAAATGGGCACGGGTACCCTTTTTAGCTGTGCTGTGCCGTGCTGTGGTAATAAATCGAGTGTAGTGTAAACGAGGCTTTATTGATTCTTATTGATTGATTTGGGGGCCTTTTTTACATTCGCAATCCTGATTGATTCGTTGATTCATAGATTACCTCTCATCTATAATAATATGCGTTCCATTTCGTGCAGAACCGATTTACAATATATATTTGATTATTAGATCAGGAACCATCGTTTGATGCTTTACTATTTCATATAATTGTTACTTTAAAATCGGTTACAATTTTCAGCAGTCTTTCCCAACATTATAGACAGCCGTGGTTGTTATCCTTCCCCGAAAAGGATCATTGGGAGCTCTTGAACGGTTGTACTTCCTTCTCCGTTCAAATACCGAGCGTGTTAAAAAGGAAGTGGGAACTAGTCTAATATAGTTCTGTAGCTGTAAGAAGGTATATGTACATTGTTAACACCTTTTCAACTATGTTAACACCTGTTCTTATTGCGACGCATGAAGTGTCATACAATTCCACGGTCCGCGGAAAGATTACGAACACAAGATACTTTTTAGTTTGGCTGCAGTAAGCGTCATAACACATTTGATTTTGAGGCAAAATAACTATCGAATGGACCCGCTATTTCTTAAGCATCTCAAAAGCAGTCGCTGAAGGGACAGAACCGTGAAATAACTCGAACTGGTGACGTGCCTTGTAAAAGAGAAGCCTGTTGTTATAAGGGGTCTTTTGGAGAGGAGTTTCTGATTTGTGAGAGAGGAGTCTCTGTTCTGTAAGAGAGGGGTGTCAGATATGTGAAAGAATGACTATTCTTTGACTATTCAGAAGAATGACTATTCAATTTTGTGAGAGAGGAGTTTCTGTTGTGTAAAAGAGGGATGTCTCTGTTCTGTAAGAGAGAGGTGTCAGATATGTGAAAGAATAGTCTCAGTTTTGTGAGAGAGGAGTCTCTGCATGTTGTGTAAGAGAGGGGTGTCTCTGTTCTGTAAGAGAGGTGTGTCAGATATGTGAAAAAATAGTCTCGGTTTTGTTAGAGAGGAGTCTGTTTCCTGAGAGGGATTTCTCTGTTCTATAAAAGAGGGCTCTCTGTTAGAGAAGAGTCACTGTTAGATAGGGGTCTGTATTACAACGTTGTTCCAATTAAAACCCAGATTTTACTAGTCGGATGTAACTTTAAACGAAAAGTCACTATTAGATAAGTGGCCTATTGGAGATTTATTCAACAAAGGAAGTTGTTAGGGATCCCAATTAAAAAAGACCGCCCGGCTTTAGATAGTTGTCCCTATAAAAACTGCCTTATTACAAACGTGTTTCAACCGTATTAGATATGTTCCCATAGTCACAGAGGTTTCCCATTTGAAGAGGTTCTGCAAAAACGCTGCGAACATACTTAGTACGTGCCGTGAGAAAGGCTTATTGATCGGTCTGGCTAGGCGTGGGTTAGGACATCGGCATTAGGATATCGACTAAAAGACAACAGCACTTGATAAAAAATAAAAGACAACGGTACTGATAAAAAAAATTAGATTTCTGTATGATTTAAAATGTATTCTTTCACTTTTTGTAAAGCCATGAGATGTACAATGGTTTATGGCAGTGCGTGTGTATGAAAACCATGTAACTAGAAAGCAGTCTTTCGATTAGAAAAGCCCTAAATGTGTTAGAGGAGGGTCGTCAAAAGCAGTTTTAATTGCAACGCAAACATTCATAGTATCTAATCCTTCCTATAGCGTGTGTGCATTGATCGTGCCATGGAATTATCCTTTGATGATGTTAGCCTGGAAGATGGCGCCACTCTTGGCTGCAGGAAATACAGTCGTGTTGAAACCTGCTCAGGTACGTGAAGGTGCTGTCTGTACGAGACAATTTTGTTTGGTATTTCTACCTCAGGAGTGGGTTAACCAAGACTAGTTAAAGTGCCTATATCACTTGTGGGATCTTTACGGAATTGAATAGAGCTTGAAAAATAAGTTTATAAGTTCTACAACTCTTTTTGATATTATTAAATAGTTTCGGAAATATTTACATCTAAACATGACGATTTGCCTAAATTTCCGTCGTGCTCGGGGGCCTGGGACTCAGGAACCGAGCTCTTGTCAAACATAATATAATGAATTGTAATTTTACTTCGATCTTCCAATAACGTAAAATATTTTGAGAAAAAATCGGTTGCCACAGCCATACACAACGCACCGTTCGCGCATTTTTTTCTTGAAAAGCGCAAACTATATCGCCAGTGAAACTCTTCATGTTTACATTATAAAAGACGGCGTGTTTGCAAATCATTCCTGAGTCCCAGTCCCCCCAACCGACGTATTTTCCAAACTATTTAATTATATCAAAAAAGGTTGTAGAACTTATAAACAAATTTTTTAAGCTCTATTCAAATCCGTAACGATCCCACAAGTGATATAGGCACTTTAACTTTTAACTGCATGTAGTTAAGGACAGAATTGGTCAATCATATTCGTGTTTTTAGTTAACTTGGATTTAACTATGCAAAATGTAGTTATAAGGAGTTTTATACAACCAGCCCCGGCCAGAACATTAATTGTTGCAAAACGCCGTACTTAATACTTATAGCTAATAACAATAAGATACTGGCGTCGCTGGTTTAATCTCGATAATCGATCATTTTCTGCAGATAAATGTACCGAATGGGAAATAGTTATATTTCCCCTTATTTATAGGTAACACCAATGACGGCACTGAAATTTGCAGAGCTCACAGTCAAGGCCGGCTTCCCTCCAGGAGTCATCAACATCCTGCCTGGATCAGGTTTGCATTGCCTTCGTTTTGGTGTTACTTTGATATCCAGAAATCATCTTTCCTTTGATCATTATCTCTATCTATCGAACAAATCTGCTCACCATCGTTCCCTTTTTCAGGTTCCTTGATCGGAAACTACATGTGTGATCATCCTGATATCAGTAAAGTGGGTTTTACTGGTTCAACTCCTGTTGGCAAAACTATCATGTCGAAGTATGTTAACCATCCAGTTAGTGTGGAATATGTGGAATATTAAGTGAAATATTCAGATTGCAGTTTTTTTGTACACCCTGTATTGTATCTCATCTCCATTCCAGAGCTATTATATCTGATTTTATTGTCGTCATTGTTTAAACAGTTGCTCTCCCTCTCTTAAACGAGTTCAGTTGGAACTTGGTGGTAAATCACCCTTGATCATTTTCTCAGACGCTGACATGGAACGAGCTGTGCGCCAGGTAACGATCTTTGCCATCTTCAAAAATTTCGGTGAAACAGAGAATATTTTCTAGATGCGTTTGTCAAACGCGCCGTTTGTAACATTAATTCGATAACAATAAAGAGGAAATTTATGGGTATCATTCTTATTATTATAGCATGCGATGCTTCTGCTGAACTGAGATTAATGGTATACTTGATTTCATTCATAGGGTCTCATGGCTTGCTTTTTCAACAAAGGAGAGAATTGTATCGCCGCAGGTAATAATCTGCATCATTGCCATTTGTGTAGACATTTCATCATTGCCATTTGTGTAAACAGTTCATGGATCACAGCATTGCCTAATGCTATCTTTATTATCTGGGAGTAATACACCGCTTCTTGTGGTGTAGATCTGTCACAAGACGTAATCCCGTGTTTATTTTTGTTGATTGATAACCATCCAATAATACATATTAGGTCGGCTGTTTGTTGAAGACGCGATCCACGACGAATTCGTGGCAAAAGTGGTATGTTGATACGTTCTGTTTTTTCATGTACCCACTTTGAACATGTACCCTTTAATTAAATTAATATACATTCAATATGAACTATGTTTTGCTATGCAGGTAGCTGAAGTGAAGAAGATGAAAATTGGCAATCCTCTTGACCGATCAACTGACCACGGGCCACAGAATCATAAGTCTCATCTTGATTCTCTTTTGTCTTACGTGGAGACTGGGGTCAAGGAGGGGGCTACTTTGGTATATGGAGGGAAGCGAGTTGATACACCTGGTTAGTAGGAAATGCGGTTTGGTTTGAAAACATAAGTATAGTTCATTAATTTTAAACGTAGTAGTGTCAGAGCCTAGGGGAAGGGAACAATAATTACGTCATTTTATAAATAGCGAATGTCCTCTATACAAATTTGGAGTAGCATGCTCATTAGGGTATTCTTACCAGCGGCTATCAATGGTTAAACTTCACTCTATATTTATATAGGTTGGTACATGGAACCGGCTGTGTTTACTGATGTCCAGGATGGAACTTTCATAGCTAAAGAAGAGTCCTTTGGCCCGGTTATGGTCATATCAAAGTTTGATAATGGGTAAACACCGTTTGTTTATCACGTGTCACATATGAACGAGGATGATTTCAAAATGCATCCTTTCGCATTCTTATACTTTTCATTCTTCTGGCTTTTTAGGGACGTTGATGGTGTGATAAAACGAGCGAATGCGACAGAGTATGGTCTGGCTTCTGGAGTGTTTACCAAAGATTTAAGCAAGGTACATCATTGAACTGTGTACGCACTGCGTTTTTTTCTTTGGTAGTTCTAACCATATTAACCGTATAACCGTATTGTTGATGAACTACTGTCATTACTAGAAATAGTGGATACACTGGATATAGTCTGCGTCCAAATTCCTAATCTTTTAATGATTGATTACTCACTCCGGACTTAAGAAATTGCGAGAGCAACGCAATTATCCCTGTCGCGTGCGGTGCTGTTTAAAACATTTTCGTTTTCAGGCTCTGAGGGTGTCTGATGGACTGGAGGCCGGGACGTGTTTTGTTAATTGCTACAACAAAACTGATGTCGCTGCTCCTTTCGGTGGTTTTAAGCAATCTGGCTTTGGAAAAGATTTAGGTAAGTCGTTATTGAAGGATATATACCGTTAAATTCTATACCCGATAGCGCTTTTTATAATCCGAATCATGCGTATCTTTCCCCATACTGCATGGTCCAATGTATGATTCACACTGAAATGTGAATGCCATGTCGATGTCCACCGACATTTCCGAAACATTTTTCCATTTCATTCAACCATTTTTCACATTTGCTAAATTTTCCCCTTTCCAGGCGAAGAGGCGTTAAACGAATATCTGCGAACAAAAGTGGTAACAGTTGAGTATTAGAATATAGAAAATGCTCCAAATAAAACGGTAATATAATTCTCGTAGTTTTATTCTAAAATTTTGAAACAATATTAATGTATCAAAGATACGAATCATAACATATCCAGGAATTGATATTTTAGGCTAACATATATTGTATGCCATTTATATATAAATCTTCTATGCGAACTCTTCATATGGTAGATATAACAGTGTAAAAGTATATGCATGCAGTGAATCTATGGTATAAATGCATTGGTTTCGTTCTATATTGACAGTTCTTTTGTGACAACTTTATGGTGTGTCCTCATATGCCGCGGAGTGTTCTTCCAAAACGAAATCTGTTTTCTGTTTTGGAGACAAGCTTTGGATATCATTTGCCCGCCATTATAGAAATCAAAACAGATTGCGCAAAAAAATATTTGATGTTCGTGTAAAAAGTTTTCTTTCACGAGGAAGATTTAGGAAATTACAACGTCATGCTTCTATTAATTACCTTCAAGCACTAAGTACCCTATAATATAGGAAGTGCCTGTAAGGTTTTCCGTTTATCGCAGTATCGTAACCATAATAAACTAAAGTAAATAACAAATTTTAGCATAAATTGGTCTTTATGCATAGACAGCCATTATTAACTATACTTACTAAACGAGCACGAGGGATAAATGAAATATCAGACAAAGGTCTTTTGGAGCACAAAGGACAAAAATTTCTTTGTACAAGATTCCATGTACAAGACCGAGCAAGCGCGGTCAATAAAAGTATAGTTTATTATCCGGCCTTTCTGTTGAACAAACTATATTTGTCCTCATGACTTCCACCCACTTATATACGCACGTCAGTCGTCCGGTTTCGTACGGAAACGTAAATGAGCTAAAAAAGGATTTTTATCGCTTGTTATACCAGGGAAGTGAAATTCGTTAGGCGAATGATCTCTGTTGTCCCTGAGCATTTATTGCTTGGATTAGTACATTTATGAAATCATTTTCTTCCTTTCTTTATTTGAGCGATCCAACATGCGTATTGAAGAGGGTAGCGACCGCATGATTACCGATGATTATGATTTTCATCGGTGCGATCGACAGCCAATTAGTGTGCGTTGCGCAATTGATACGAGGCTGGCGCTGGGGCATACATAGCTGTGAAAGGAAACGTTTGCGCGCAATATAATTTTCTTTTGTAAGCATCGAGCAATTCCCCTTTTCATAAATGGTCATCCCCCTTTAATTATTAAAAAAATGACAGAACATTCCGTTATATTCCAATGTTTGATGCTCAATATTTGCATCTACAGTTTGTACATCAGCTTCTGGTTTTTATTTGTTTCTGATGTAGGGATCAGTAAAATCACTTGGGTCTTTCTTAGATATATTGAATTGTGTGTGTGTTAATTGAAAACAACTTGAAGTTAATATAAAGTACAAGGACCCCTGTCAGTCAATTGGTACAGTAATTAGGTTTAATGGATAGAAATTTCGAGCATGATTTTATAATATAATGTTTATTTGGCAGCAAAAACCGCTTTCGTACGCATTCAGTCGGCTTTAATATGCGAGTCTTAGAACTCAAAGCTGTATTCCAATACGTATACACTTTTCCCGCGAGGGCGTAGCGGCCTTTTGAAGATCCGATTTGAAAAACAGCACGCTTCGCCCCTTGGAGCAAGCAAACATACAGGACGGTCATAAGATTCTCCAGCGAATGGAATCTACGGCCTCGGTGTTTCCACGATAACTTCTGACAAAACATCCCTATTCATACAGCTTGAAGCCAAAAGTGTTTTTCTGAGTTTTGAGACGAAATACTTGACGCCAGACGTTAGGCTGTGTGCCAAATTATAAAGCTATTGAAAAGTTATATTTGGTGTAGAAATTTCAAGACTTAAACTACAAAGGAAATATCTATCTAAAACAATTACCAACCGGCAAAAAACCGGGAAATTTTGAGATATTTTTTAGATATTTCCCTAAACTCTCGAAATTTCTACACGATATATACTACTTTTTAATGGCTTTAATTTCATATACGGCTCAACATTTGGCGTTAAGTATTTCGGCTCAAAACTCAGAAAAAGTGAAAAGCGCTGGCCTCATGCAATTTCCCCCAGAGTTATCGTTTCCGAGTGAATGGGAAAAACACAGCAATCTTCTCCCCTTGGAGCAAGCAAACATAATGGACGGTCACAAGTTTCTCCAGCGAATCGAATCTACGGCCTCGGTGTTTCTGGTGCCTAGTCTTGGCCCACTTAAACCAAAGTGATTATGTATTCATGGACCTGTGTTGCCCTCTAATTACTCTAATGCAGTTGTTTTGCTGCATGTATTAGCATAGTCCTTTAATGTATACCAACATTTTTATTAAGAATTGATTATTCGTATGATTGGTAATAAACGTTTGGAAAGTGTTATTGCCAACATATTCCTCTTTCATTGAATGAAGTACGCCACCCGACCTAAGGCTAAGATTCAGTCAAATAAATTATCGAATACGCCACCGTGAACCTTTATGAAAGTCGATTGTGAGTCCGTGACATAGTTTGTGGACAATCAATGTCCCTCACTGGCCAACTGTTCACATTGGCCAATCAGAAACCTTTTTCGTCCGTAGACTGCGTCATAACGCAGACTTTTTATACAGGTCTATAAGAAGTTCCATTCAACCACTACCTCCTCCGCAGGCCCTTTTCGGGCAGTGATATTTTGCGGGTAGAAATTTAGAAACGAAAGCGAGAGACAAACTCTGCATTTTCCGAAACCGCCCGAAATGCTCCCTAGCGCCTGCGGAGGAGGTAGATTTAACCCTTTGAATCATGGGGCGTTGCCCATGTGATGATCCTGCGCACGTTATTAGTTAACAATTTTGTTCATAACTGGCTGTACATATTGTGAAATACTGAGAATGATCCTAATCAGACAGTGAATTTGAAATACTAAGATAGAGGCGAGAACCTTCAAAATGCTATATATAATAAAGTGAAGTAAAAGCGTTGCTAAGTGACCGATACTGCTCAATTTATATATTGGGCTTTTAACTGGAGTATACCATCATTGTAAGATTTCTTTCATCTCAAAGTTCATTATTAATTAATGACGTAATTTTATTATTCGCATCTTCCTACCAGTGTTGTATCTACCTTCAAGGCAAACCACAGAAAGAAAGAAAAATACATTTGCTTTAAACATTCGTTGCGTATATCTAGACCTTGTTTATGCGATATTTAATTTGAAAACGGTCATGCGATCATGTCTGACTCGTGTTTGCTCGATACGAGCAGAAGTGACACGTAAACGGCAATTGAAAAACAGAATTCGTATTTGCGAAATGCGAAAACAGTATCTATCGTGTACATGCTTGTGCTTTTACGATTTGACGACGAATGAAATAATGAATCACTAGTTTTCATTCGATTCCATTGGGCGAGGAATATCAATGATAAACCATTAGCTATATTGTTCCGGCGTCGTGCAAACGCAACAGCTGTTAAACGGTGGATTTACAAAACGGGGCGATTTCCGCATCGTTTTTTTTAATTTTGCTGTTATCGTGTCCCAATTGACGTTAGATTTACCTCGGTATCTGGTTTCTATGAAGTCGTAAGTGTTGTGATAGAATATTTCTGCTGTGCGCAGACAATAATGACCGTTTAGAAAAACTATTTCTCATCGATGAAAATGACTCGTTCACGAAAATTGCGATTTAATGGAAACAAGGCTTAACAGCATAGCAGATGACAATTGGAGGGGGCTTACCCATTGTTGTGTACAGTGGGCTCGCCATATTTACTAGAGCTGCATGGCTAAGGAAATTTGTCCACCTGACCATATTACCATTTACCTACAAAAATCAACGTCGACTATATTACCACCAACATCTGCGATGGAATCTATTCTTTTCTTGTTGATTTAAAATCCTTCAAACGTATTTTTCCCTAAATAAATAATATGTTTACCACACTTAAAAATGCCTACATGAAGCCAAAGCGGGCAAAGGTTTTGCTGACGAGTGCCTGAATTAATATTAGCTTGGTTAAGAGCGCCTCTTCATTCACACAACCAATATCATTAAGTTGAAGTGTCTTCTTGACATCTTAATATTTCAAATTCTAATTAGACTGCCTTTTACATTATTGCGTAGAAACCTATAAACAAGCTGATTTTTGCACGCATACAAATACTGGATTGCCTTCCGCAATTTAAAAAAAAAGCTAGCACTTTTAATTGGCTGGTACGAAAATGATAATTGTGGTCAAGCTAATACATATCACTTAGAAAGAAAACGCGAAGTCGTTTGTTTGTTGCCTGATGTTTATCGTCCCGAGAATCGTCACTATTATTGTTGTTCAACCGCAAATATTGCGGCAGTAGAATAATGCTGTCGTAAGTGTCCCTGCAGTCATCGTGGAGTGAATTTGGTGTAGACCGCAGTGTGAACATACTCTTTCGCGTGTAAAAAAAAAGCTGGTACCGAGACAAAAAACGTCTCTAAGGGGAAATATTAAAGAATTCAGCGGAAGCGCTGGCAATTTGTAGGCGTTCAATATTTATAACTACGCTTTAAGGCAAATATCGATTAAGAAATAACAAACGAACGAGTGATGAACATGTTAGGTGACAAAGTGGTTGTGTTTCTGTTGTATTCTTTGACGACATACTGCCGTGTTTCTTCAACGGAGGTACCCATAATTACCCGCGATACTTACGACTTGCTACAGTATCCAAAATGCAATGGGAAAAGTGTTGAGGATTTTCAGTGTGATGGGAACTCTGAACGAGTTGAAGGTGACGATCGCAAGAAGACATGTCAGTGTAAATGCAAAAGGGGTTATTTGACCTATCGTGATCCCCAAGTTGAATATGACGTTCTAGAAGGATACAAGTATAAGGTTGGAAAGAGAGGTTGCGTTTGGAACGGGATCTCCAGAGAAGGTAAACGTTTTGTAACGATTGTTCGCTAATTACTCGACAATGGGGGGTACGATTTGGCATAGACTTTCGTGACTACGGGCGAGCTATATCGAATAGCGAGAGTTCTACAACAAGCCTCGCTCAAAGAATTATTCATTGGTTAATTTTTTTTGCCGGTTGTGACGGCAACATTTTAATGAAACATTGGGGTGCGAGCACGGAACTTTTTTAAACACAGGAAGCAAATATTAAACACAAATAAGAGCATGAGTGATAAGATATGAGTGATAAGACACACGGTCAGTTCCAGCAAAGACCGTCGTTAGCGTTGTTTTTGGAACCGTGTAACCTGCCTAAATTTGCCCTTTTGTATCTCGTTATAACGCCGACGTTTCGCCGATTGATGGAAGAGCAATTTATGATTTCGACCTGAGAACTTGGACAGCTGACAGGCTTTATACATGCCCTTTGGCACAGCCTAAACCTGCAGGGTCTCTCTAAAGCCAATAATAAAGAACATAGTAACATTAGTCAATACATTAAGCTAACCGGCATTTGCCCCCACCGACTAATACTAGCCGCATGTGCGTATATCACTAAATATAACGGTATGTTCACTCGCTTGACTTTTTTTTTACGATTTTCTGCTGAATAATTGAGGTAAATGGGAAATTTTACCAAGCGAATATAAGCGATTTTAAGGGGTGTTTAACATGGAGACTTCCATCCGCTTTCATTTAGAGTAAACCTGCACAAGACTGAGCCATTTAACAGACCTGGTAAGCCAGGGCCTAGCAGGGGGCATATGTGACCCCCAGTCCTTTGTGCCTCATGTCTGAATTGTTTTGACCCCCAGTAAAGGTCCCTGTTGAGATTTGAGTTTAGATATTAGCAAAGTAAGCATGTGCAGAAGAATGTAGTGAAGGTTCCTAAAACCTCGCTCTGTTTAGATGCTCAATAAGTGCCCCAGCATGAAATGAAGTCACAGAAACTAAAAATACAAAAAATGTTCTGGGGAAAGACGCCCAGACCCCTCTCCACGTCTTAAGTTACCACTTTCCAGTTAACGTTAGGTCTATATCATTTTTATGCCCCCCTCCACAGGATATTTCTTAAAAAAGGCGTTGCACAAAAACCAGACTGTCCTATATAGGATAAAGGGTTTTTAGAATTCAACCTATATACTCCTTTTGTTGTTTTTCAGGTTGTCACAATCTTCAAATGGAGGAAAAACTGATGTATAATAACAATACCAAATTTTCAGCACCTATTATTCTTGATCTTACGGAGGCTGGAAGTATAATCCTAACGAAGGAGGGTCTTTTAATTGAAGGTGGAAGCTATTGTTTTGATCCTTACGTTCGAATACCTGGTAAAAACCAATGGGAAAAAGTTGAAAACATTCATTTCGATCTGCAACGCGTAACAGGACGTCCGGATAAATATAAGTTATCGGTAAGAAAGTCGTTCAGACAGTTAGAACATAGTGAAAGAGTCGTGATGTGATCATGTGGAAACTCAACAGCGGCTTCAATCTTTTCAAATTTTGCCTCATAATATTTGAACAGCATGATTGCGTGATTAAGCGAGACGATATTATTGGACGTTGCTTCGTTATGGACTCGTTATTGACGTAATCCATTGTCTTCACAGGCCACAAGTTTGTATTGGCATGCAAAAAGAGATGGAACAAAGAATTTACCCGAGTTTCCAGATCACGTCTCCATAAACTATGTTTATGATTTCAAAAACGTTCATAAAAAAGGATTTCTAAGTAGGCCTAAACCATAGGTTGTTTATCGTTGTTCGCGCACGTGTGGGTGTGGGAACTTACGCTGCACGGGTAACACTCACGATTTTTTTTCTTTCTAGTGGACATTGAGTGGTAATCAGTTTATCTATGCCTATCAGGGTCTGGTAATGAAACTGAATTTCTCTGTGTGTAGCCAGCAGTCTCTTGTCTACTGTATGATTGCTAAAGTCGCCGGAACATACACTGGTTAGTATAGATGCAAGGAAGTGAAAATGTAACCCTTTTTTATGGATTAGCCGAACGGATGGATCGAGGCCATCTTAATGATCTTATTCCTGTGATATTTGATGCTCTGAAATGCCAATACCTGGGAGGGTATAAATAGTTTGACAATAAAGAGAAAATACCATCGTCAGCAATCTTTTTATGGTTGTTATACTGATCTAAGTGGAGGGACACCCTCTGCTACTATGCAGTAACCAACACATATCTAGATCATTAAAATAATTTGTTTGGAAATTGAATTCATTTATTTTAACGTATAGCATATGGTGTGACAAAACATAACTGATACCTGATATCAGGGTGCGCAATGAAACTGGAGTGTTGTTTTCCGCACTGGAGTCAGTACAACGGGAGCCGTTATTTGGCATCTCTTATTTCATGTCGGTTTTTTTATATACAGATCTGTTAACTTCAACTTTTTGTATTCAAAACAGGACATAGCAATTGTAAACATCGGACAGTAAACAATCGTTGCTGTATATTTCCCTTCGTCTATAACGGAAAAGTACACAATAAATGCGTCAGTACTTCAGACATGCCTGGAGGGACCTGGTGTGCGGTTAGCTTGAACCCATCGGTAACAACAGGAAACCATAAATGGCGAGAATTTTGCTCAAGTAAGTATCATGCATGCCTGCAGGAGCTCTGATTGTTTTGGAGTAAGTATAAAGTACATCTAGGACAAGACGTTCTGTATGTCTGTCGACACAACTCTCATGAACTGTAAAGGTAGGATCGTGAAGAAGTGAAGAAGTGAAGTGTTGACGGGAGAGACGAGCACTCCGTCGCGAGAAATTCATCTTTACCCATCTTTACCTGGGCAATATGAAACATAATTTTACCATAGGAACCAAAAGTTGCGGCCATGATATGTTGGAATAGAAAGCATGAAGTGAATATAGGAGTTGTCCATTCGACCATTAATATTGTCACTCTAAACTTCTAACCTCTTCACTTTGATGAATTGCCCATAGATTTGTTCTTGTAAAGGCCCTGTTACACGGTGCAATTTTTCTTGCAACTTGCAATTCAATTCAACTTCTTAGAGATGTAATATACATCTCTAAAAAGTAGAATTGCATTGCAAGTTGCAAGACAAAAATTGCATCGTCGGGCTATTCTATGTACATGTGTCAATTTCTTTGTGTCCACTATAGCTTCGACGACTACACCCAGTTCTCTAACCACCAGACCGCCATCTAGACACCCACCGATCATCCACTCACCACCACCTATGGAGAAGAAAACCACCCCCAAGCAACATATCAAAACTGAACCCCACCCTGCCCAAAACTCCAAGTTGCCAAAGGACATATACGCTGTCACTGTTACTGTTACCCAAACCTGCGGAGGAAGCAGCAAAGCTGTCCCGACAATTGTTTCAGGGAAAAGGACTGGTGGGTCAGACTCCAATACTGGATTGATCGTAGGAATTGTGTGTGTTGTTGTGTTTTTGGTGATCGTCGTTGCATTGGTGGCATTTTGTCTTCGACGACGAAGATCCACCAGGAGGAAGTATGTTCTAAAGCTGTTTATGTTCCAGTTTTATCTAGAGAAATCCGTAATGAAAATTAGAACTATATAAAATTAAGTAAATCAAAGAAAAACCTGCTGGAACGCTGTGAGAATATAACTCAATCTTCCGTAGGAATTCAACCAACATCTCTGCTATTATGGAGATGCTCTCTGTATAGCTTGGTAGAGCGCTTCTCTTTAATCGTGAGAGTGTTCGTTCATTCCTGTCAAAGGCAAAGGACTCGAGTTACACTTCCGCAAATTTAAATCTGTTTGTTTTATTTTCATCCTTCATTCTCCTAACCAATCATATCTCATTCGTCACGGTTCTACAGAAGAATCATAAACTAAACTGGATAGATATATCACTTAAAGAGATGTTATACCTATCAATCTTCAAAAGTTAAGGAAAAGTGATGGGATAAGGGAATGGGATCATAATAAACATAAATTGATTACCACGTCCACAAGCTATAACCGGGCGGCAGATGGAGTTCCATTAAACAAGAGGGGGGAAAATTATAAAAATCACCGTTGCCTTGCTTCATCACAATGTTAACATTAACTTCCTTAACTATTTAGCAGAAAATCTCGTCCAAAGAAGTCAATTTCTAGAGAAGATCTTGCAGGTAAGAATGAACAACGAATAGCTAGCTGTCATTCACGGGAAAAACAAGTTGACGTTTCAGCGTGTTATGGTTGATGAGTAATGCTTTTTAGCATTCTATTGAAGGATTTTTTATAGCCATATGCATGCCTCCCAATTTTTTAAAATGTCCCTTTGTCTGATGAAAGGTGCCCTTTTTGTAGAAGCATTTATTGCTGTAATAGCCTCGTTTACACTACACTTGATTCATTGGCACGGCACGGCTAAAATGGGTACCTGTGCCCATTTCATCTGTGCTCGGCCTTTGTCTTGGTAGCCTGAATACTAATAAAATTAGGTACGGGTACCAATTATAGTCGTCCCGTGCCGATAAATTGAGTGTAGTGTAAACGGGGCTTTATAACTTAGACCGTGCGCATGCCTTTTTAGCTTCTGGACACATCTACGTATACACGCCCATTCTAACTTATTAAATCAATGAAATGTATGTATGGAAGCTTGTACCCCTCAGAAAAGTTAGATGATCCTACGTCAATGTTTTTCATAATAACTATACAGCACTTGGTTGTTCTGGTGGAAATATTAAATCGTTTAATTTGCTCCTATAGAATCACCTTACGCGTCGTTCTATAGTAAAGGCACGCCAATAAACACTTTAAATCACCTCAACCATGGATATCAACAATCGATTGAACTTACAGAAGATCAAGCAGCAGCTATAGTCAGGCGGAGCTACCTGAAAGACAGTTTGAATGGCGTTGGCAATCATCACTATGATACTGTGGAAAATGGGAGTCGCCAGGGCAAGGGACTATCTTGTCCTATCTATAGCATGCCAGAGGCAGATTATTCACTTATTATGGAGCAAAGGCAAACTAAGGTCGAAATCTGACGATTAATCTCATTGTGCTATTATATTATATATGGGGCACTAAACAACTTCTAATCTTTTAAATAGATTGACAGGAATCTTCCACCAGTGCTTCCAGTTTTCCTCTCGGGTAGAAGAGTAGATCCCACCAGGCATCTGTATTCTGTGTTAGAGCGAGATCACGATCCATTCCGGAACCCAGAACCCACAGACAATGATTCGGTGTTCGTCGAGGCTAACCCTCTCTATGGTACAACCACACGTTACAAAATGAACCAAGGCATGAGAGTTAATGAAGGAGGTTTAGCTGAAGCCAACCCATTGTATGGAACTATTACTGGATTCGGCGTAAGTCAAAAACCGATGTCTTTGGCTGATGTTGTTCATTTCATTGTTCGTTACTTGGGGAAACATTACTTTATGATTGTAGACATTTTAATTCACTTCACTCGATGTAGGTAAATTCTAGAGGTTGAAAGGGTCTTAATTTCGAGTAGAATTATACACACTTCAAATTCAAGCCAGGAACAGTTGATGGAAAAATGAGTCAACTATCGGTCGCAAAAGCGTAGGTTCGATTCCTGCCGGAGGACCGATAGTTGACTCATTTTTTCATCAACTGTTCCTTGCTTGAATTTGAAGTGTGTATAATTCCACTCGAAATGAAAACCCTTTCAACCTATAGACATTTTAGACTCGTATTTATTTCTCGTTTTTTCGTTGTAGCGAAAAAAACCACCACCTCCATTGCCGCCAAGACTGTACGAGGACCCGCTGGAAATTGTCCCAACAAGAAATGATCGTCCTGGGCTAGGCGAGGCTGATATTTAAAATGAACCAATCACGGACAGCAATTGCGGCATTGCGCAATACTTTGAATTGCACCGTCCTAGTATAGGTAGCGAGTGTGGCGACTTTTTACACAAGTCTTTCAATCGGTCGCCATCCTTTCTCGGGATAGGTATAGTATACTAAAATTAAAGTAAATCGAAGTCTCGTCATTTCATTAAATATTTGATTATTTATAACGGTATGCTAAAAGATGTGGGGTTAATTTTTAAATTCTAAGGGTATTGGTTATCTACGATCGATGATAATAAATCTGCTATTATATTTTTGCCTAGTAGAAAGGATATATTGGTGTAGTATATTATGTAATACTTATAATTATATATTTAATCTGTATGTAATTAGCATTTACCAACGATTTTAGATTAAAAGTCATGTATATTTCCTTTTTCAGAGTCGAATTTTTGTTAAGATGCAATCCACTTCTGACGTATGCAATGTAGTCTGTTATTGCTAAAGCAATATTGCATTTGGGTTTAGTTGATTCCGCTGCTCAAAAATGTAAAATTGCTCCGACAAAATTGAATAGTGTGAACAGACCGCTATATTTTCCCTCGTGGTTGCCACATGTAATAAGTAATCTGAAATGGCGAGAAAGGACTGGCAGTAGTTCATTCCTCGGTTGAAACAACCATATACGTATACATAGGGCAGCCCGCGATACTATCTTATGTTAGTTATGTATGCATATAAGATGATGGTATGACGTAACCGCATTGACCAGGCTGAGCGCCTAAAGGCGGATTTCCACTTACAGCGAAATATTTGCATATTTTCTTTTGAATTTTAACGGCATAAATAAATTAGTTCGACTTGACTGTTCTCAATTCAAAAGAAAAGATGCAAATATTTCGCTAGCGAACGATTTCGCTGTAAGTGGAAATCCGCCTTAAGAAAGAACTTATTCAACTTAATATCTCTTGAAATATCATTTCGGTTTGATTTCTATTTCGACAATTTCTTTGAACGCTAATTGATTGGCATAAAAAAGAGGCGCAAGATCACCTGGTTTACTGGTAACGTTTGTTCCTTACATCACTGCTCGGTGTTTAGTTTCGATAATTCGATTCCTCTCGGTACACAAAGCCACGCTGGTAAAACACTCAAATACGACAATATTGAACATTGTTGTATCGCTCGCAAAATGTATTAATGAGCTGAAGGCATTATGTTTTCCGCTACATCGAGAACAACGTGAGCGCTTACCATGCAGTGTGCACAGCAAAAACTTCAATGTCCGACTGAGGTTTCTCCGTCAGATGTTCTGGGCAACTTAGAGAAGGGACAATGGTCAACGGGGATAAAAACGGTCAATTAGATAAAAACAATTAGATAAATTTCCTAATAACTGATAGAGCAAGTTTATATTAGAGCTAGGCTCGGCTAGCTACCTATATAATTGGATTACTTAGTTATTGACTGATCAAAACAATGCTGGCAGAAATGATTTCCCACAGAGAGGAAGAGTTTTAAAAATTTGAAAAAGAATAGGAAGAGATCAAGAGAAAAATTACAATAAGTCTCCTATTGCAACATGTTTTGCCACGCAACAAGTCAACAACATGCTAAAACTAGCCTACAAATCTTCCTGTTTGCATTCCGTAAAACAAAAATTGTGAAATCACAATTGACAATATAGTTCGCCAATCGCCAAAACAAAGTGAATAAATGATCGATTGATCGTTGAAGCTGAGCATATCTTCTTTTTTTTTGAAACTTGAAAGGTGTGAATGTGATAAAATATTGAAGCTGCACTGTCATTTAGTCGTAAATCGTAATTTTGTTAAACGAAAGTAATTCGGGGGTTGAAAGCTAAAAATAATTTTGATTTTAAACATTTTGCAACGGAAATACCCAACAAAGCAAATCGTTTCCAAATTTCAAACGAATTCCGCGCATTCCTAATCTTACCGCTAACTTTAGCGCAAATCTTGAAGTCCCGTATGTTTGCTTATGTAGCACAAACAACGCATGCGTTCAGTGTGACGTCATAAAACAACAAGAAGTTTTATTATTGTACGTTTAAGCAAGTTAGGTAATTTCTCTTCGTTTTCCCCTCGAAAATCATGACTATCTTACCGAAAAAGAAACACCCAGACGGAAAAAAGAACGAGGGGAATACAACCAATGATTTAAGACATTCTAGATCGCGAAATAATTGTGCTAGAACGAGCGGTGAACGAACGAACAGATCAGCTGATGAGATAAACGAAAGCAGTGTGTATCGAGGTGGAAATTTAGAACTTCGTGGTACTTCTGAGAGCTCTAGTAACGGAAAAAGACGCTATAGGAATTCGACTAACGATTATAGACGCCGAGACGAGGCAGGGTATAATAGCGAGGATGAATACGATGTGTGTAATAGCGACGAACAGCCCACGGAAGAGGTTAGACTTGGCCTCCAAAATACTTGATATTAAATTGGATATTTCGTTTAGTTCCTGTGTTGTGCAATGGTTATTTTGCCAACTTAGTTAATGGTTTTGTCTATTCTTTTGAGGTCGAGAAACATTTTGAAAAGATCTTAAAAGAAAAGAAGGGTTTCGTAATAAAAAAGACAGTAGAAGATGGGGCTTGTCTCTTCAGGGCTGTGGGTAGGTTTGCAGCGAAATCTAGCATGCTATGATGCTTAAATGTCTCAGGGATGGAATAGGCAAGAAAAGATATAGAATCACTCGCTTTAGAGATTTCTAAATTGATTAGTAATCACTTTTTGAAATCTGGATCTTCCCAATATACTTTACTTCAATTTGTTGGGGACTAATAAAGCACAGGAATATATACAACAGAGGCACAGCTGGATATTACCCAGAAGGAGAAATAAGTGAAGTGCTTGAATGTTTTGGTAGAATCATGGTTTACACAAGCCATACAGGGAAACTGTTTGTGCCCAGCCAAAAGTTATGAGAATCCTACATGCAGAACTGTTCCTAGAAAACAGGAAATGCAATCTCAGCAACTTTTACATTTGAAATTATCCAGAAAGCAATTGCCCCATTGATAGAAAAACTATACTTATACTACATGTTTTTATATAATTTTTTTGTTTTCAGCCGATCAAGTCTATGGTGATCAAGAGATGCATTCAATTGTTAGGAAACATTGCATGGACTACATGGTAAAAATGCATGTTTGTGGTGTGATGTTGCTAAAAAAAATGAATGATGCAATCAAATAAATTTAAGGAATGCATTCCCATTTTTTAAAATAAAAGTTTTGGAAAAACATACATACTTTAACTATCTGCCTACTTTCTTTTTAAATTTTCAAATAATATATCTAACCAATTCTCAAATAGTGGAATTGTACACAATTCAAGTTCATGCTAGGAACAGTTGATGGAAAAATGAGTCAACTATCGATCCTCCGGCAGGAATTGAACCTATGCTTTTGCAATGCCGGTTCAATGCTCTTGCCACTGAGCAAGTGTGTACTGAGGAGGACCAATAGTTGACTCATTTTTCCATCAACTGTTCCTTGCTTGAATTTGAAGTGTGTACAATTCCACTCGACCCTTTCAACCTCTAGAATTTACCTACATTGAGTGAAGTGCCAAAAATCATATTTGATTAATTCTCAAATAATATATCTCTGTGTTTCTAGGTTAAAAATGCAGACCATTTCTCGCAATATGTAACTGAAGAATTTGATGAATACATCAAAAGAAAACGGGCAAATAATTGTCATGGAAACAACATTGAAATGCAGGCTTTAAGCGAAATGTATAATCGGACAATTGAAGTGTACCAATATAGTTTAGGTAATGTGCATATCGGGTTTTAGAACAGTTTTTGAGGTACATTTATGAGTATCTGTAAATGGAGAAGTACAATTTCTTTTGCCATTCTTTATAGACTATACACCTAATTTAAAGTTGCACTTCCTAAACATTAAACTCTAAACATAAAATGGGTGATGGGGTATTACTTATTTAGTACAAACAGTCAAAACCTGGAAATTTGACTTCCAGTAACATTTATTTAAGAAAATTTGAAGGACTGTCATAAATGACACATTTCTAACTTTAAGAGCCTACTAAGTGGCAAACCATCGTCCCCTGTAAGCTCAGAGTTTTAAAGGGAAAACTTTTATTGGACAAGCAATATATTATTCATAAATCGAACAAGTAAATGTAATGGATGACTCGCACTGTTAATTGCAACTTTTTAACTTTTAGAACCCATTAACACTTTCCATGCTTCCTATCAATCTGATTACGAACCCATTCGTGTTAGTTACCATGGTAACATCCACTATAATTCTGTTATTGATCCATATAACCCATCTGTTGGTGTTGGATTAGGATTGGCTGGATATAACCCTAAGGTGGGATATTCTATTTACTTTGAATATGTCCTAATATCGTTTTAAGGGAACATAAACATTTTATGGACCTTCACGTTTAATATTTTTAGCTGGCAGATAAGAAAAACCTCCACGAAGCTGTGAAAAAATCTGAAGAACCCTTGATTGAGCAGGTATTAATTTGGATCTCCATATATGCAATTATTCTTTATCTTTTAAAATTTGAGTATTTCAAGAGAGCTAATAAGCAAGAGTTGAAATTTGACTGGGAAAAATATGTACGGATTTTACGGAGTGGAAGGGGAGGAAAAGCTGCATACTAACCAAGAAGTTTAAAATCCCCAGCAAACACGAGTTTGTAAAGATTACTTGGTGTAGTTTTTGTTAAAATGTTTGTGTATTTGTCTATTTCATAAACTTCAAGCTTTGTCTATTTAATAAACTTCAATTATTCTTATTCACATGTTGGAACCACGGCACGTTCTTGACCTCAGTATAGTTCCAACGGGCGAAGTCTAGCGGTGGTCTTTATCAACTCTCATCATTGCTTGATTACATCGTTGCTTCATTGGCCTTTAATTATTTTTCTCTAGGAAATGTTGCAGGATAAACTGCGAGCAACAGATTGGGAAGCGACGTATGAAGCGATGGAAGAAGCTGTTGCAAGAGAATCGTACTTGGAATGGTTGAAGGAAAACGAAAGGAGATCTAGAAAAGTGGTGGGTGCCTACCTTACCTAGCCTGCGCCGCAGACCCATGCCCGAAATAGAAAGGCGGGGAAGAAGAGGGTCTGCGTATCAGAGCCAAATTTCGTGTACTGTAATTTATGCAATATGTGACGTAAATTGAAATTGACGTAAATTTTCGCATTTTATGCACGAAACAGTTATGATCAAATTTCACAATTCACATTTTCGTCGATCTTCCTTTGAGTCTGCAACAAAAACCTTATCGTCTTTTTGATCTTCATTAACAATTTGCAATGTAAATGCCAATGTCGAGTACTCCTTTGTAAAAAGATTATCGGGAGAGCGAAGGACAAATACCTAGTTCAAGGACGGAGCAAAGAAGACTTTGTGTTTGAGCTTAACAGCTTGCCATTTGTTGTTGACTCGCACGAAAAATATTTTTATTATTCCACTCTAAACCAATCAAAACTTTGTTGATCGTGAGTAACCAATCAGGCTTTGTAATTAAATATGTAGCCAATCACACAGCGTCCCCCAGATTCTGGGGATAAATAATTATAGAACACGGAATTTGGCGCTGTTACATAGACGGTATTTCCGCCATATTCCGTCTATGCGTAGACTAACCTTACCCTGATCAGTGACATCTACCACGTGCGATAGAGCAGTTGTAAGCTATCGAACTCAAAAGTAGAAAGCATTAGAGCGGCCTTGTGCTTTTTCACAAACGCTGGGTTTCACAAACACTTTGTTGTGTGTCAAAAAGTAGACGAGTAGTTCATTTTCTAATCGTTAAGAAGATATAAAAATGTGATTACTTTCATTTTATTATTTTATCTCCAGAGAGTGTTTTCAGCCAACTATTTGTTGTGAAAAACTCATCTCATATTTCCTATGTCTTACAGCAACATTCCAAAGGTTCTTCGGGCGCCACGAGTAGTAGTACATCAACGGTCACCTCCGGTGAATCTTCACGAAATCGCAATATATCGTCGCCCACTCGGGCGGAACCGGATAGTCCTCCTCCTAACAAATCTCCTCGTCACTCTCCACCAGACTCCCCGAAACCATCACGAGCGAACTCTCCGAAAATCACTTCGTCTGATGTTTGTAGTATTATAACGTCATCCAGTGTGGTTACGGTTTGTTCAAATCAATCTAAATCGCCAACGTATGTGAACACCTCACCAAAAAGTTGTTACTCGGAGGGGACTAGTTCTAGGTTTACTGAATACGGGCCTGGGGACTACGGCTCTACAGCTTTTGGTAAGTACGAGTACTACCGACAAATCTACTACTATTGATAAATCACATAACTTTATCAATTCTAGTCTGTTTTCCTTATTTGCTTATTTGTTATTTTTCATGCATGTTAATAATCCTAGTTACTAAATGTGTTGAATGCGGAATATTTCGTCCAATCCTGAAGAGTTCACCGTGGCTTGCAGGTGGCTCGTTTCAGCTCTTTGCCTCATGCAGCTATACAACGCATTAAACAGGGATATCTAACCTTAACATGCATTCACTAATCTTTTAGGTTGGGAGGATGAGGAGGGTCTGCTAGCAGCCGTACTTGCAGAATCACAGAAAGAATATTTAGACAGTTTAAAACGCAATATGAAAGACCATGATACGAATAGCAAATCATCAACGAAGAATTGATGAAGGGCGACCAAGCCTATAGAGCTTTTAATCTGCGATAGCCATCGCCTCAGAGTAAAATTTCTTGCTATAGGTTTCCGGCATATTGGGCCGCACAGTGTGGAATGCACACGGTAAATAATGGGTTTTTAATCATACGGTCAGCGCGAAGCTGGGTGTCGAATAGACGCGTTACTGGAAGGATACAATTGCGGATGAACATCCTATAATATCAGCTGAGGCTGGACTTGTATATACTACAATAGTCAAATGTCCATTCATCCTTTTGTGTTTTGCATTATATCCCCACAGCGAGACTGCAGCTAGCGTAATAAGAATATACAAGTATAGCTTGAAATATATACAGTCCGTGTTCAGGCAATAAAATTGCCTGTTCAAAACCGATCAAACTGCTGTCCTATATATATATAAGTATATATTTATAAAACATAAATCAATGATTGGGCAATTGAGGTATTATTCTCATGATATATTTAAAACAAAGTGGCGCGCTATTCTCGTACGCTCAGCCTGATCTTGAGCCAGTTATACGACGTCGAGCAGTAAGACAGCGGTGGTTGACAAAAAAGTTCGTTTTCAGACGCGGCTCAAGTGGCTTGTTATACCTAACGTGCACGGTTCACAAAGTAAGCATGTATTTTTAGGCCGGGCCTAGCAAGTGCTTGTGATATAGGAGTACAAAAATATATATATACAGTATATAAATATATGTACTCAATGTGTATATAACATGAAGTTTCTAGTTGATGTAGATAGCTCAGCTATTTGAAATTGTGTATAAAGATATATTGATGACATATTAATTATAGTTAAGGCCATTTGTAATCTTTTGCATGGCGTGGGAAGAAATATGGAAGAAATATTCCTACAATTAATGGTTGGTTTCAATTCAAATTTTAATTGTATTGGGCGTTAATTGCATGTATGTGTCTGGACATGACGTTGGTCATGCTTAGGAGAGTCGAACTAGACTCTTGTATCAAACTCTTCGGTATAAGCTGGATGAATAACAGCATTTTCTATAGATTCTTCCATTTCTGAGAGTTCGCAGGGGCCACTGCACACCTGCCCTTGCTACAGTGATTACCCCCCCCCCTTAACCCCTCAACGCTAATGACAATCAAAGAACTAGGATATTAACATGCATGCAGGATTTTATAAAAGCAATGCTTCCCCCTACAGACATCCAATACTGCCTACTCACACACCCATGCAGAAAATGAGCCCGATCAGGTCAAGTATAATTCTGTAATCTCCCTAATGAAAAACCCTAGCATACGACTACAATTTTTCGGGTGGGAGACAAATGACTTCAGCAGCAAAAACTCAACTTGAATTAGTTTCTATTCAGCAAAAATTGACCATTTAGCTATAAAATAATGCTTTGCAAGCAATTTGTTATAGTTTTCGACATTAAACTGAGTGTTCGGTGTTTCATAAATCTATTTAAAATTTTATACAAGTCTAATAATATCTACACATTTCATCCATGAATAGGAATAATGTTGTTGACGACTATGTCTATGATGTGTTCGGTATTATTTTCTCGTTGCAATCACGGCCGGTGAATACAGAGTGTTCTTGATTTTCTTGATTCTGAAGTAAAAAAATGAAAAATACGCGAGGAATGTTTTACACGATTTCAATTAAAGCCGGGCGCACACAGCGATTTTAGTCGGCCAATTCATCTCTAAATGCATGTTATTATCTAAATTTGGTGATCTAGATGAGCCTGAACGTACTATCAATGCCATATTCAGTATTTTAAACCTGAATCCAGTAGGCTTAACCGACTAAAATCGTTGTGTCGCTGTGTTACTTGTGTGTGTGCACTTGGTCGTGTGAACTGATAAGCACAGAGCACTGAAGAGAAAACTGAGTTTACTGTTACACTTACTGTCGTTGGAATATGCAGATGTAGACAATTAATAATATCATACTGAAGACGAGGATACCCAGTGTAATAGCGATAAGAATCAAAATGATTTCTTGCGTGTCTAAGAAAAAGTAAAATATGCATTTCATAACGAATTCACTAGAAGAATAATATCCCCGTTTCAGATCAAAGAGTTACTCAGTTACAGGTGTATGGTATACGTACGTATATGACAGGGGGAAATTAAAATAACGATATATATGTATAAACTAATTCACAATTCAGTAAATGTATTTACTCAACAATTATTTATATGGTTATGCCGTATCAGGGCCGATTTCGGCATCGCGACATTTCGCTTTGGCATGCTGAAAAACTGTGGTGTGAGTGACGGAGATATATGTACGTGTTCGTGGCGGAGAAATCAGAAACATCTGACTGAATATTGCCTGACAATTTAAGCTTAAACTTTTCATACATCTGTCAGTACACTGAAACACTAAGCCATTCTATTGAGGTGTCATACATAAGACCATACTGATTATCTCTTTTATAGTCTATTTTATAGAACAATAAGATAAATGAGATTAGTATTAAGTTTAATTTACCTGAATCTGAAGCCATTGTATATCTATAATGGTAAATAAATGATAAATGTTAGTCAGTTTTTCTGGTGTAAAAACGTCTATACAGGTTTGGTTAAACTGACCCTGACTAGCTATATTAATTAAGCATGTTGGCAATTTTCAAAAAGAACTAACCTGCGACTGCGTATAAATTGGGGTCAAACCCGCTTACGAAGCTTAAAGCTTGTGTAACAGAACGCGACCAAAAATCAGTAAGTCACTGATTAGCCGGTCTTTAGAAATAATCTAGAAATCAATCGCCATCGTCTTAACAACATCATATTCGGTCCAGCAGAACTGAACTATTCATGATAACTTACCTGGCTGGTTGAACTTTAGTTGAAGTTTAGAAGAAGTTGGTTAAAAATCACCGAGTGAAAATCTTACTTTTATACAAAAAGAAATAACCAAGACACACAGTTAACTTTACACTGCAAACTGTTTTTAAATACGTTCAACTTTCCTTTTCTACCTAAGTAGCATTGTCCAACACTTGGTCAAATATCATTAGGCAGGATATATTAACCATAGAAATATATGCTATGCTTCATTTATCTTTTTCAGATTTTCCTGGGCTGATATCTATAATATCCTGAATTGGTTTAAAGAATAAGCTTGGAGTTCATTGTTCTTTAAAACGGAAAAGTAATTGACGTATTTACATTTCTTACCTTCGTTCTAATCACATTCATATTACTCCAGTTAGAAACATGGTACATCGGAAGTCATGGATTTGTAAATGTTACTTACATGAAGTGTCGCTTAATATGTTCTTATCATATTGCGGGCGCAGGTCTTCGATGACGTGTTTGTGTTATTTGTTTCATGGATTATATTGAATTTATATTTTTTTTCGATCTTTGCTCAAGTTTTTCACCGAAGACCGTGAAAAAGGAGTTCAAAACATTGCTATTTAGTCCTAATCGTATTTCAATGACGCATGTCGTTTGACTTGAACCATGACATGAATGGCAGCTCAAATTTAATCACAAATTTAACAAAGAGAAACCGGACAAAAAGGGATCAACAAAACGGACACTTTTCGAACGATAGTTACGATACTGAAACCCCCGGTCAAATGGTCCCTAAAATTCGTGTGGTTTCGGGCGGTTATGAACCAGTCAATTTAATTCAAGAGGACGGATCAGGCAGTTTACTTGAAAATGGTGAAGCTATTACAAAAGTTGATGAACATAGACTTGAAAATGGCACTGTAGTTGATAAAAGTTTTGAACATGAAACTGAGAATGATATTAAGGAAGAAACATCGTTCACTATAGCCTTTGAAGTTTTAATACCGTTTTTGATAGCTGGCCTAGGCACTGTTGGAGCAGGATTATTATTAGATAAAGTACAGGTAAAGAAAATCAAATTTTTATAAAAGGGTGTTTATGAAATTTTCATGTTTTAAACTGGCAAGGTGCTGGTTCACAATATATGAAGAAGCTAGCAGCTGCCTTGACTTATCACTTATTGTTGTTTTAATTTAGCATTATGATGTCTTTGAACAAGTCAGTGAGATCTTTATTCTGGTTCCAGCTCTACTTGGCTTAAAAGGAAATCTTGAAATGACACTAGCTTCTCGACTCTCAACTGCAGTAAGTTTATGATGATATTGTTTAGGAATATTTGGGTGGCACTGTTGTTCTGTATGCAAGTATATAAAATTGAAACTTTATTTGGTCTTCAGGATCAAACATGAAAAATTAATTCATTGTCTGTAACTTTAAAAACAGGTGTATTCCCTTAATACTCACCTAAACGGCTAAACCTTATGATAAATTTTTCAAAACAAGATTACGAAAGATATATGTAGTCTGTATGTGATAATTGCCCGAATCTTATTTTTAGGCTAATGTTGGAAATATTGACAGCAAATCCGAGCAGTGGAAATTAATCAGTGGAAATATGGTTTTAATTCAGGTAAAATTTTGTTGAAATTTGGACAAAAATCACCCTTTCCCATAAATATTTGTATACAAGATGGAAGATTTCTTTGTATTTTTAATAATAAAGCATGTAGCATTAGTGATTGTAAATGAATTTTAATTTATATCCAGGTACAAGCTATTGTTGTGGCCACCTTAGCTGCAAGTGCTGCAGTAACAATGGGTTGGGTTGTGGATGGCCATTTTAACATCGACCATGCGACATTGTTATGTGCAAGCAGTCTTGTGACTGCTACTGTGGCAAGTCTTATACTTGGTTCACTTATGGTGGGGATCATTTTGTTGTCACGGCGAATCAAGATAAATCCTGATAACATTGCAACACCAATTGCTGCAAGTCTTGGAGATTTGGTCACCTTAGCTCTATTATCAGGCATTAGCAGCTTCTTACATAGGTGTTTAGGTATGGTGGGAATTTATTTATAATCATTGATAATATTATAAAGTTTCTACCTTTGCTACTCTACTGTACAGGTATTTAATAATAAATAAAGCATACAAGGCAGACATTAATGAGATTTCAAATCATTCCAACTTTGTAGGTTCAAATCACTGGATAGCACCTTTGATCAGTGGAGGATTTTATTTACTTTTGCCATGCTTTATATACATATGCCATCACAACAAATACACACAGAATATATTATACAATGGGTGGAATCCTGTTATTAGTGCTATGGTCATAAGCAGGTAAATATTGTCTTGTATAATTGATAATGATCACTCAATTCTAGTTGTGTATTTAAAGAATGAAGCCTAATCTTAAATGTGACCCTTGGTTTAGCCTGTATGCTGTATCATCATCTGAAACAATTGTATTAATATTCAAAAAAAAATTTCACATTACTCTACAATTGTTGGTGTTTTAAAAAAATTATACAAAATTACAAAAAGCTGTACAATGTTCCTTTGGGGGTGAGGTTAATTCCCTGGCTACAAACATATTGGTTAATTATCTAAATTTTTTATGTTCCAGTGGTGGTGGTGTCATTCTTGATTATACAGTTGCAAACTACAAAGGAATTGCGGTTTATAATCCAGTTATTAATGGTAATTTGAAAGATAAATCTCTGTGAATTATTTTGTTATACATTTGTATTGTATCAAGGAAAGTCACAGATATGTGTTCTGGGAAATCCAGATTTCTGGAAATTCAATTTGAGTTTAATACAGGATGTTTTGACTTTATTAAGATGTTCTAGAAGGTTGTTGCTCACAACTTGTTAACAAGTTTTTAATTTGTTTATGGTTATTTGACTATTGACAAACACTGTTTTAATAAATGTTAGGTGTTGGTGGTAATTTAGTTGCTGTACAAGCTAGTAGGATATCAACTAGCCTTCATCAGAAAGGCAAGCCAGGGGAATTGCCCAAAGGAGCAGGTTTTAAAGGATGTCTTCATGCATTCTTTGGAAAAGGTAATTTGGTGTTTATCAATGCATTGGACTTAAATTGGCATGGTCTAATTATGTGACTTAGGTTGAAATATATTGGAAGTTAGCAAAATATAATGTAATGCCTGTTAAAATTATAGTTGATGAAATAATTAATATAATTAATTAATGAAATACATACATATGAAACATATGCAAAATGAATTTGTTAATTATTCTCTTTGCAGGGCAAACTGCAAGGGCAGCCAGAGTATTGCTTGCCTTGGCTATACCAGGTCATCTTATATTCCTGAATATCATTGCTAAGCTTCAAGCTGGTCATACAACAGTGACTCTAATCTTTACAGTAGCGTACTTATTGGTTGGTTTTCTACAAGTAAGTATGAAATGTTCAGGACCCTTCGTTGCTTTTTAGTCACTGGTTTTATCAACTTATCTTGTGGGTGTGGCTATGACGAGATTAGAAACCATTTTTGTCTATCAACTTGTGTGTGTGTGTGTGAAAACGTGCCCAATTGTGAAGCCAAGGGCTCTTCTATAATTTCATTTATCCCTTTATCAGGGAACTGTTCTTTTGTTGACTGCTGATTGGCTGGTTCATTTAATTTGGAAAAGAGGAAACGACCCGGATAATGTGGCCATTCCATATTTGACTGCCCTGGGCGATTTGCTAGGGACTGGATTCCTAGCCGTGGCATTTCATATATTGTGGTTGGTTGGAGACAGGGATGCTGATGTTGGAGATTAATGATTGTAGAATTGAGCGGTAGCTGAACTACGAACGAGGAAGACAGAGAAGAAAGAGAACAGCAGCGAAGTAATATATCGACTATCAGCTATTCCTCGGTTTCACGCGACGTCATAGATTCGTGTGGGGGTCAACTTGAAATCGAGGCAAAGGAAACGCATTGAGTTAGTTGTTTACTGCACGTGATGACATCGTGTTTCACGTGTGTGCAATTTCGTATCATTTGCTAACTTCTATAATATGCAGCATAATCACCGAAATTGAATTATACATTTGAGACTGACCCCTACATAAATTACTGATTAATTAAAATAGTCCGTGAAACCAGGAACAAATTATCTTAGGAAAGTCTTTTTAAACTTTTCTCACATTTTTTTTTAAATTTATGTGCTCCCGTTTATATGTGCCATATTGGCAAATATTTTCGGTTGCGATGCAGAATTTTATAAAAATGCAAACTACGTTTTATGACAGATATTTTGGTGTCCAGCGCTTCATAATTCATACAGTACCTTGTCCTAACCTTACCCGTCTAGCAAAATATCGGACATGAATCAATAGTTGTATCATTAGAAATATTGTATCCTGTGTATGGAACCACCTTAATTACGAATATTACCAGTCAACGGATGATTTTGTAAAAACATAGGTCATTGCCAAACTTAAAAGCGAAAATTTTTATTGCGTCATCTTTAAGAATTTCATAGCTACCTTCCGACAGTCGGATATCTGCATGGTGCCTGATATAGGGTAGAAACAATACCAGATTAATAGATTTTTTATAATCCACGGCTATGTTTATTTATTCTCCGTCCTTAGTAATTATTTTCTATTATCGTACTCGCGCGTAACCACAATAAATTATACCTTTTTAATTTAAAATAAAAATTTGTAAAAAATAGATTTCAATATATACATATAGACCTATGGCTGTGTCTGGACATTTTAAACAGCATTCCGAAGTCATATTCCCCAGTTATTCGAAATTGGTAAGTATGACGGTGAAAGCGCGGGCAAAGCGAATGCAATGGCAAACAGCCTTTATTGTAAAGTACTTTTTAGGATTTGGCTTTAGGTTAGCTAATCATAAGCTAATCTCAATGATTAAATTCCTTGCCTAGGCAGCAATACTCTTATGAAAAATAACTAATAAACCATAAGATGAGAGATTTTAAAATGAAGGTGTTATGATCGGTTCTTCAGTTAATACGATTTGATACAATCCAGTCCTGCGTAAAGCTTTGTAGTCAAGGTTGGAAATGACCCAAATTTATTACTTAAACTGAGGAGCATTACTCGTCTTTAATGACCACCCTGCAGCTGTGAAACAGAATAGTGAGGTTCAATATTGTTACCATCGTTTTTACCCCAGAGGCCCAGTCTACAGTTTAATGAGTTCTTCGTTATTGGTGATTGTCGGGAACTAAAAAAACATTATACATCTGTCTTGTGTCAAATGAGCACCGATTATGTCTAGAAAAATGACTCAAATGAATCACAGTAATCAGGTCAGGTCAAGGTTAAAACTTTGAATCTTTTTGAAGCACTTTTGAAGCCACTACAGTCTACAGACAACAGTCGATTGATTGGCACCGCTGAAATTGGCATCCGTAGACCATACCCATCCGTGCATAGGCTAACAGCACAAATGAAATTGGTAACGGTACCTATTTTAGCAATACCAATAAATTTAGGGAACAGGGAGTTAGCGGAGCTTAAAACAACTTGGTTACTTGGGTCGGGAATGTCGGTCGCGACGCATTTTGAATGGTATATTAATTATTAAGTATGTCTTCAAGCACATAACTCAGATCTCAGATAAGGTTTATGTCGCTTCCTGTAGAACTATCCGATATCAGAAACAGTACCAGGCTAAAAATTGTGGGGATGGGCAGGCGAATGATTTTATTAAAATTGGATACTGAATTCAATAAAAAGTTGTCCAACTTTTCTCAATTCAAATGTTTCTGGAGTGGAGAGTCCTCGCCCCTTGTTAAATAACGTCTTCTTTTGTTTTACCAGTTAGGCAGTTACTAGTAAAAAAGCATGAAATGTAGCGTGGCTCGTCTCAACCTCGTACCCAGGGTCTTTTCTCTGTGCTCACTCTGGGGGGAACACCCGCTGAGAAAAGACCCTGGTATTGTTTGGTCACGTGTCTCCAATTATAATTTCATCCTTGGGGGGGGTTAGTTAATGTATATGTATTGTCGCCATGTTTTCAAACTCTAAATGCGGGCTTTTCCTTTCGTGTTTGCAATTTGCAATACAAAATAGTTTGTATAGCGAATTCATGTTAAAGCCAAAACAGGTGATTTGCTTAGAAAAGGTATTTTTTAATTCGGATGTTCTTGCGGTTTTACCAACTGGATACGGTAAATCATTGATTTTTTACTTGCTTCCTGCTCTGTTATTTGCGGCTAAGAACGGTGTTGCCAAATACACCGAACACATTGATTCTATAATCGTCGTCGTGTCGCCTTTAAATGCTCTGATGAAAGACCAGATTTCACGATTAAATGCGGGTATAATTCGTGCATCAGTCCTCGACGTTAGGAACGTAGCAGCAGAAGACTCTGAGGATGCGGAAGACAAAGATGATGGCATTAGATCTGATGTTGTTTGTGACTTTCCTCTAAATGACAAAATAAAACTTGAAGAAGGATATTATAATATTGTATTTGCACACCCTGAGTCGCTTGTTTCCTGTTTATATGGACGAAGATTGATGCGAAGCATTGTGTATCAAAAGAACGTTTGTGCTATTGTTGTTGATGAGTCCCATTGCATTTTAGAATGGTAAGTGTTTTATTACATAAAATACATTGTATATATTACACAACTTTTCCTCCTATAAAACAAGTCTTGCAATTTCAAGTGTATAGTATATATTTATCATTTCAATGTGTTTTATATTTATATCAGGGGTAAAGATTTCAGAGTGGATTATGGAAATCTGGGTGCCTTGTGTGCCACATTTTCAAATGTACCTGTCATAGCCATGACTGCAACAGCAAACCGATATGATAGGGATTGTATCAAAAAATCCCTGGGCTTAAAACATGTGTGGAAATCATTGGCAATCCTGATCGCATGAACATAACATACAAAAAGCATTTCAGAACTGGACCAGATATTGATTCTCTCACAGAAATCCTTACTCCTATAGCTGAAGGTTTGAAAAAACAGCAGATGTGCTATCCTTTGACAATAATCTACATCCCCTTGAAGTGGTGCGGGTTTGCATATAAACTGTTTGAATTTGTTCTGGGATGTGATCAATATTATCCCAAGGGAGGCAGACCAATTCCTGAAAACAGATTATTTGCACAGTTTCATTCGCCTCAAACTAAGGAGATGAAGGATGAAGTCTTGAAGCAGTTGACATGTGCTACAGGAAGCACAATCAGGGTTGTATTTGCAACAGTAGCCTTGGGGATGGGTGTTGATATCAAAGGCATCAGAAGTGTTGTGCATATCACTCCACCATACACAATACAAGCGTATGTTCAGGAAACTGGAAGAGCTGGGAGAGATGGAAACCATGCAACTGCAGTCCTATATTACAATAATCGGGATGTTGCAAAAAACAAACCGGGGATGCAAGAAGATATTCGAGTTTATTGTCAAAACAGAGGCACATGTCTCAGATATATGTTGCTGAAATCAATGGACACAGATGAAAGGTACATTAAACCACTTTCTCCCAAACACTTCTGTTGTAGTGTTTGTGGTGAAGAATGTGATTGTGCTAGTTGCACTTCATAGATCCTATTTAAGAACAAATATAAAACATATGTAGTGCTGTGAAACATAATGTACATATTGATTAAGAAAGGAACATCTTGACTAAACTACATACAGTTTACCAATGCATTAAAAAGAACAAAACAAGAGACTCTCCAAAGATGGTTAACATTTTTATATGGTTTTTTTACTAACTTACAGTTGCCTGATGATGACTGAAACCTAGTTGAAACATTGAATAAAATTGTTAACCAATTTTGCAGTGTCTATTGCATTGTTTTTTTAATTACCCAATGGCAACTTTATTTTCACCAATACATGTAGTTTATATTGCTAATACTGTAGAAATTATTAATAGTAATTAATAGTAATTATACAATTATTATTATTCTAGTGTACAAAAAAAACTATTATATTTTTGTTAACATAAAAACATGGGTTCTATATACAATACTATACTCTATATACAATACTATACAATATATACAATATTTATAATATATATATATATATATATATATATATATATATTATATATATATATATAAATAAAGTGTTCTGAGTTCTACCTTTTAAGAGTTCTGATTTTCTTCTGGTTCATCAGTTTCTCTCTGTCAGAATCTAAGTCACTAACAACAGGAAAATGTAATGCAATGTTCTTTTGATGTCTTTTCAACCATTCAGAAAACTTTTCTTCATCAAAAGCACAAAGTGGGTTTGATGAAATTCCAGCAAATGTTGTATGTGATCTTCCTTGAACATACGAAAATGGCTTCAATTTGCGCAAATCAGCAAGAACTTTTTTTTCATCTTCCAATGAGGACTTGTGCGAGTGAGCTGATGATTTTTGTTTAATGGAAGCTTGGTTTTCAAAAACATCTACAATCTTACGGATTCCTCCAGCTGCCTTGCTCATCCTTTCGATGGCCTTCTCTGTCTTGTTTGCTCCCATCAAACTAATTAGCCCCTTCATGTCCCTGTTCCGGTTCTCTTGCAACAGGTCTATTTCAATGTTTTTACCACCACCTCCTTTCCAGTTGACTAGTGCAGCCCATTTACACAGATGTGACTCAGCAGGTGAGAGTAAAACTTCATTCTGGATGGTGGTAACTAGCATTTCAATTGCATATACATTAAATCCAGAAACAGATGAGAAGTAATACAACATCTGTTTCTGGATTAATGCCAAATGTTCTCCATTCCCATATGCCACTGCATCTTTGCAATCAAATAGAACCATGAAGGATCGAAGAAGATTGACAGAATAATTAAAAATGCCATCTGATGAGTTGTTGTCTGAGATATTTTCCTCTAAACTGTCAACATCGCTGCATGAAGTGTCTTGGAAAACATACTCATCCAAGAACTTGTCTAAGACAGTCATTAGGTGGGTTTTTTTTTCTTCTTCACTCAAATCCTCTTGATCAGGCAATGGATTATTTTCCTTTGGAGAATCGTTTACATTTTCCATCTTGAAGAACTCTAGCAATGCTTCAACAAGATAGCAATTGCCAACACTCATGAACAGCTGCTCACAGTCTTCATAATGTTTTATATCGACTGTAACATTTCTCCTGTTGAGTACCTCTCGGAAGTATCTAATGGTACCTGCTTCTCTTCCAGAGTTCTTGTAGAGTCTTTTGAAGACAGACTACAAATATAATGCAAGTTTTATTTAACTTTATGTTCTATGTAGTATTAGGGCAAGATGCAAGATATCAATGTAATAGTATTGTAACAGGTAGTAGGTGTGGTAACAAGATCCAATATTGGACCCTATTTTTTTGAAAAATTCGTCATAAATCAATCATAAGACATGATGTCTTCATGCAACCAGAAAAATCAAATCTAGCTTTAGTTAATTCTTCCTGAAAAACCTGAGATTGCTTTTTTCGAGGTTTTTATATGTTAGGTTGAAACAAAACAAATAAATTTGTTCAAATGTATTTTAAAACCTTTCAGGATTATAAACAACTGCTGGTAGTGTCAATGATATAAAAGAGTAACATAACACAATTTTGTAACAGGAAAATCATATCCATGACCAGGAATTTACCTTTAAGAAACTTCTTTTAGCATGCCATCCAACAATGCGATACGGGTACAAATGATCCAGTCGTTGTTTGGGTGTATGGCATCCAGAGCGAAGATCTCGTGCTCCAGCAAACCTTACTCGGGTCAACTCATCACCAAAACAGGGAATTTTCACACCTTCTAAAGGATCAGTTTGGGAACCAACTGGTGGGATATGTGATCGTGGTTGATCTGGGCGTGTGGGCACCTGAACAATAGGATGGGAAGCTGTAGATGGAGATTGATCAAAGTTGTATATGCCACTAGCTTTGCACACATCCTCTGTCCATTGCTCCAATTGATCCAAAACATCCACACAGTCACTGTACTTTTTTTCATCCTTCATGAGAACTGGAAGGGTCATAATTTCGGATTTCAAAGCTGTCTTCTCAGAATTTTCATGAAGTACAAGATCCTCTGGAATGTAGGACTTTAAACCAAATAGTTCAGTGAACTTTTGAACCAGGATTCTCGCAATGAATTTTATACCGATTCCGAATTGTTGTCATTTCTGCATCTGACAATGAAACAATTTCACGAAAATTGCAAGTTGCGATATCTTTCTGTGGACCATTGTCAGGTAAGTGGTCACTTGGCACTCTGTTGAACACCATGCTAGTTGCACATGCATGCACACTCTTGTTTTGATGGTCTGCTCTCATGTCATGCACTTTCTCTTCCCAATCTATGTTATCAACCACATAGACAAATTTCATCCCAGATTTGACCAACTCGACAGCACGATCCAAAAAATGTTTCCCAATATCGTCAAGCACAACATATTTGTTAGAAAAACTCAAACAGAGCCCATATTTGTTGAATCGATCAATCAACTAAAAGTAAGTAGATTAACATGTATAAATATGTATCCCTGATGGCATGAATCGTAATAAATATTTTCACTACCTGGTAATTAAAAAAATTTCAGCTAAAATTCAAATGCATTTTTTCAAAGTTTCAGAGGATAAACATCAAAATAATACAAGGTTTACCAATATAAGTATGATAGTTGTAGCTTGATTAACACAACAGTAATAACAAATAGCATTCATAATAATCACTTCTATTGTGAACATAAGCTGAATAAAAGGAATGCATTATGCATGACAATTTGTCTATGATTGGGTTTTAATAGTAACAGCACAGTTAGAAATTCAAAGATCTAAATAATCAAACCTACAAAAAGTTAAAAACCTTGCGGTATTGACTATTGTGCTAACTATTAATCAAACAAACTTCAAATTATAAATATGGATTTAAAAGAACATACATTTTTAGTTGCTTTCCCTTCTGTCAGAAGAATGGTGTTGATTCTTTGAATGCGGCTCAAGTGATGACATCTCACAAACATGATAATGCCGTAAATTAGGGAAATTGGCGGTAGTTTATTTCCTGCATCCAAAATAGAACAATCGAGCAAACTTGACAATATTTTTGCAACATTAGGACACCTCGTCGAGAGCTCATTTACCACTTCTGTCATCCAGTTTGACTGACTTAATCCTGCGTATGTTCCATTCCTTAGCACGGATGGCTCGTCTTTACGGGCAATATTAATCAGTTCTCTGTTCGCCTCGTTTAATATTTCATCCAACGCAGTTATATTCTATAACAAATCAAACGCGGTATTTTACTAAATAGCGACACGTTCAAACATACAATATTTTTTTTTCGCGGCATTTGTAGTAATATAACACAAGATTTCAAAGCTATATCAATGTTTTCTTTATATTTTATATGAATTATTAATAAGACGCAATATGTAAATTTGAGAGGCAGCTTTATGTAAATATACACGACCAACTTTAACAACATGTAATACCTCTTTATCAGAAGATGGAACTTGTACCCCAAAATTGAGCGAAGTTCTTGCTGAAGGCCCAGATGTGTGCAAACGAGTTCTTGGTGGTTGGGATGCCGACGGTGAGGCTTCTAGGCACCGTTTCACTCTTGTTTCACAAGGTTGTTGCTGGCGAAATTCGTTCTGTGTTTTTCTTACAACTTCTCGAAATTCTTTAATGTGCTTTAGTCTGCGCTCGCATGGTCGACACAACAGATGAGGCAAACTTGGATCTCGCAACAACGGATGGCCGCACAATTGCTCTACAGTCCTCAATAATTCTTCGTTTAGTGTACTAAATAAATTTTTGCGATGATTCGCGTCACCAATAGATCGACAAAGTCTACAGGACAACGGGTCAATCGAAGAATTTCTTGCTCGATAAATTTTTTTCGGTGTTTCCTTCGAAGCCATCGGGATAAAAGACTTTTTGGCTTTTGTCACCCGAAACATGTGCTTCTGCTTATGAAATTTGATATGAAACTTGATATGTTGCCGCGATGCACAGCTTAATAATGCAAATATAACAGAGTTCATATCTCCGTATTATTCAACTCGCATTATACTCGCAGTTCGAAACTTCGAACAAAAGTTCGCTTAAATCATAATAATACTCAGCCACCCGCCCCTTGTAAAATTTTTTTGTAACCTCCCAGAATCTGGGAGACACGTGACCAAACAATACCAGGGTCTTTTCTCAGCGGGTGTTCCCCCCAGAGTGAGCACAGAGAAAAGACCCTGGGTACGAGGTTGGGCTCGTCTAAGTTTATTGATTGATCAAATTTTATTTTTTTTAAAAGTGTTTCAAAGAACCAAGTCAATTGTCACCAACATCGCTCTGTACCGGAAGTGAAGCGCTTACAGCTGCCGGAAATGTCTCTTTGACTGATGAACTTCTCATTTTTGAAAACAATACCGAACGATTAGGCGATCAATACTACGATACTTCGTTGTCGGGTGAAGGATGCTGCTTTTCTCTTGGACCTTAAAACATATATAAGGTGATGGTTGTATTGGGTCGACAGAGGGACGGCTAGGTTTTCAATATGGATCGTTAACTATCAGTTTGTATTAGAATTGACTAGACCATTTTGGACGAGCTTTGTTTTCAATGTTTTGAATACGTCCGTGGGTATTTTAACACCGTTTCAAAGCTGCTGTCTAAAGTGTTTTTTCGACCTCACCAAATTATGAGAAAGCATATACGATATCGTGTTTTCATGGTCGTTATTATCCTATTTTCATGGGCTATATTCTTTTATTCTTGGCTGTATAATGCAAGTTGTAACTTGGAAGAAGGTAGGTTCTTAAACGTAAACTTTCCCAACAAATTCTAATTTAAGCCGTAATCTGTCACAGTTGCGCTTATCAGCATGATTCCTAAAACATGTGTGCTATATAGATAACTGTATTCGCCTTTTATAGCCTACAGATAGCTTACAGATAGATTAGAATTTAGCCGAAGCATATTTCACGATAAATCAAATTGGTCGAACATTTTTCAACAAAATCCCCTATTTTATATTTTTATGAACTTGACATGTGTTTAATTAATTTTATACCTGCACCTCGAAATACAGCTGAGGATATAATTGGATATAATGATATTACTCTCAACTGTTGCCGATTATAGGACCGAAGGCTTTTTCCGAAACATTTGACCACAATATGCACATATTTGGTATATACAGTACTTTATATCTGTCCGAATAACATTTTGTGGGCTGATAATTCCGTTAATATAATTAATCTAACAGGTTTATACAGAATATTAATTGTGTGCTAATTATAGTTTATTACCCTCCCTTCTATTGTACCAACAACAGTGAAATCCTAAGAATTTTGTTAATTATCTATCTGGATCTCTTACAACCCATTTAACAGTTGGCATATTGGTGTGCAACCAATTTAACAATTCATGACAATCACCCTAACAATTTCATCATCCAGCAAGAGAATAAATACTTTATCTGTAATCTATTCATTTCTAGAAACAACAATTGTAGAAGATAAGAGATCACCAAAGGTTCATGAACTTGATTCCAGGTTGAAGTCAGCAGGCAAAAAGATTGAAAGTTTAGAGAAAGAGATCTATAAATTAAGAAAACAGATCAGTAGACAAGAAATGGGGTCATCCAGAGCATGTGACTCTAACAAGACAGAGTTGACAAGTGAATGTCAGGTTAATTGCTTTTCCTTCCTTTGCTGATTTTGTAATGTATATATTTTTTCCTTCTTCTATCAATATGTTACTTTTGGACCCTTTAAAATGAATAGATGGCAATATTAAATATGTGATGTTTTGTCCACAATGGGCATCTTAGTTTGCATTCAAAGTAGTCCACTTGAAAATATGTCACAATTTCAGTTAGGCATTGTGTTAGGCATTTAGCAATGAATTTTCTAGGCTCAATCACCTGAAATTCAAAGAATAAAAACTGCAGACAGAGAGTCAATCTTGTATTTCCCTTCCCCCATGCAATGCCTGCTAAAAATGACTTGCTATTATTACTAATGTTGAAATGTTTTGCAGACTTTACATATCGCTGTTGTTTGTTCTGGCCATTCCACAAGTCGACAAGTTGTCATATTAATCAAATCTATCTTGTTTTATCGTCGAAATCCTCTTCATTTTCATTTTATCTCAGACAAAGTTGCAATAACTATACTCACAACTTTATTTCAATCTTGGAATATACCTTTAGGTAAGGGCAGATATGATACTTTGAGCAGTGTCAGTGTCACTGACCAGTAAATTTAGACTTTAAAAAAAAAAGTGATCATTTATCATCATGATATATCTCCCCTAATTAAAGACTACCAGAAATTATAAAATAAAAACTGTGTGACGATACATAGTATTAGGTTCACTTGGTTAGCATGCAAATTAAACTACTCCTTGCAAACTAATTGTTAGAATTAGGCCAGGTTGCCATCTTGCACCCATAATTTTAATGTACCCAGTAGTGTAAACTGGTTATTTTATAAACTGACATGTTTTTTATTTAGTCAATATTTCATTCTACTCTGCTGATACAATGATGGTATGTTTAGGACTATATAGGAATATTTTTCACATTTTGTGTTGTATTAAATGAAGGAACCAGTTTGTTCATCTGATATCATCTAGGCAGCCCAGAACTATATAGCTGCTTAATTATCGTATTTTTTATTCAAATTTATATTTTACTCCATATATATAAACAAAAAAAGAAAATAAGAAAGTAAGAAATAATAAATATCATTTTGTATATAAAATATAGCTCTTGTAAAATATATAAAATATAGTTCTTGGCTGTCTATGGGCTTATGCTGATATGGCAAAAATTAATTCAATATGTTAGACAGCCAGTCTGAAGGGTGATTATCTCAACCTCATACCAAGGGTTTGGATAATATCAATATGCAGACTTTGAGACTATTTGATTGTCAACCTAATTGTTATTGGATGACAACTTAAAATTTGGAGTGAGTTGTCTGCTCTATAACTAATAAAATTTTATTTCTTGATATTGCTAAGCAGTTTCTATTTTCAACAGACAACAGACTGTACATTTTTGGTTATGTATAACAGCTATAAATAGATGATGACTAAAAAATTTCCAGTCAGCAGCAATTTAAATAATAACAAAAAATGCAATTATTTTTCCATAGCCTGAAGTATCCTGGATTCCCAATAAACATTATTCTGGTGTCTATGGTCTGCTGAAGTTAACTTTAACCAAGCTTTTGCCTAAGAATATTGATAGGGTAGGATTACATCTTTTCAGTAACTTGGTTACTTTCAATTCTGGCCATCCAGCTGTGTTTGGTAGCCTGAAATGTCCCTGCTACTATCTGTTTTTAACTGTTAATTGATTCAGGTCCACTACCTTACATTAAACTTTCCTGCAATATAGCCTAATTTCAAAAGAATATTTTGACTGTTTTTAATAGATGGCTGTGTTGGATTCAGACATTATCTTTGCGTCAGATATTGCAGAACTTTGGGAACTTTTTTCAGAACAATCTGCCAAACAGGTAATTTTCATTCTATTGCAACCATCAATCATTTATTTTTATGATGGAAAAACCTATTCACATTGACATTGTACATACTTTCGAGACTATCAGCAAATTCTGCAGTGACGAAGCCCATCAATTTAGAAAATAATTTTCATTTTGCAGTGCATTAGTCTGGTTGAAAATCAAAGCAATTGGTACTTAGGAATATTATGGAAAAACCATAAACCATGGCCGGCCTTGGTAAGTATTGCACAGTGTCACTGTCCTAATGAAACATGAAGTCCACGAGACCATGATACAGTTTATTGAGACCAGCAAAACACCTGGTGGATGTATAGCTATAGGCTCTTTGCCTTTGGCAGAAAGGGGCCTACAAAAAAGCTTTATTTTACTTACTAATAACCTTATACTGACCATAGCTAATTTTAAGAATTTTTTATCACTGTACATATCATCACTTGGGACATAGAGCTTCTGCAGTGCCTCTCACAGAAAATGTTCTGTATTTTTGAGTCCCTATGATTGATTTCCAGCATTTTGGGGGACAATTACTGACAAATCCATCTCAGCATAGTGAGGTCTTTTAAGAAAATACCATTTATCACTGTACATTCTACTTTTATGATCATTCCACAAATTTGTTATCACTGCATGCAGACTAAAATTAGGTATGATAATGACTGCGATTATAGGCAATTGCTTTTTTTTTAAATCGTTCATCGTTCCAATTCATTGTATAAGAGGTCACTGGTGTAGACTCGTTAATCATTTACTGGTTGTTCCAAATATATATATATATATATATATATATATATATATATATATATATATATATATATATATATACATATATATATATGTATATATATTATATATATATATATATATATATATATATATATATATATATATATATATATATATATATATGCTAGATTGCCACAACTACTGTACAAGTAGTATTTTGGCGGGGTTAAAAAGGTATGGCTATATACATTTTCAGGGTCGTGGATTTAATACTGGAGTTATGTTGCTGGATCTCAAAAAGCTCCGAGAGATTAACTGGATGTCGATCTGGCGTTTGACTGCTGAACAAGAGTTGAGCACCTATTTGGCAACTTCATTGGCAGACCAGGTAAGTTTATTTAACAAGGCTGTTTGCTATTGCGTTCGCGGTTCGCTTTATACCCATAAAAATAATAGACATTATTTCTATTATTTGTATGGCTTTACCCGCGAGCGATGAAGGTGTCTTTGGGGGTTAATTAATTTCGAATATTACTGAGATTCGCTGTCATATAACTCGCCATGCACTTGCAAACATAGGTGTCAGCTTTTGTGGCCAGTCACTATCTGCATGCTACCCAGCTTTCAAACAAGTATGACATGTATGTGCTGGCCCCCGAAATCAGGCGTAAATCTAGCTCAAATTATCCATGTCATCTTAACAACGTGTATTCTCTAGGATATATTCAACGCTGTGATCAAGAAACATCCGCACCTCGTGCAAAAGTTACCTTGTGGTTGGAACATTCAGCTCAGTGATAATATGCGCAGTGAGGTAAAGTTCTCACTCTTGTAATAGTTACGTCGCGTAACCTGTCTTGATTCCACGTCTTGCCAACTTTTTAAAGTTTTTCTTTCTGGGGAAGATCAAGACAGAATTCTCTGTAAGCCGTATATAAAACTTGCTTGAATAAATATCTGAAAAAAAAACTTAAAAATAAATATTTATACATTGCATATATAGAAGTGATATATATTATTTCACCCAAAAATCCAATGCAATAGACAGAATTTGTTTACCATGCAATTAATCAACTTTATTTTAGTCAATAGAAAATTGTTATGCCGAAGTGTCCAATCTTAAGGTTTGTCTTTTTTCTGTAAAACAATTATATCATTGTATAGCATTTAAAAGCAATGATTTATTCTATATATCATTCTACTCTCTTTGGTAATTTTAACAATTAACAATTACCATAAATTATAGATTATCCATTGGAATTCGCCAAAGAAATTAAAGGTGAAAAACTCTCATGCAGAGTTTTTACGAAATCATTATCTCACCTTCTTAGAGTACGACGGAGATTTGTTAAGGTAAAAAAAATTGATTTGGTACTCAAGTGTGTTGAATGATTAATTTTTCTCGAACGCATTTTATTTTACTAATGAATGTTTACTTTTAGAGGAAGATTGTTCAGTTGTATGGAAACTGACGAAGCCCGGTCATCTGTGCTTAAGGTGTGCACGAAATTCGTTCATGTTCTTAAAAAATAGGCCCGCTAAGCGTCCACAGATTAGTGGTGTCCACCGCATCTATTAAGGATCAATGTAACAAGTGCATTTGTGAATATAATCATAATATAACTTACACATGCATATGAGGCAGGGGGGGGGGTTGGCAGAAACTACATACGTTCTGACACATCAGAGCGCTCATGTAACTAGTACTAGTACGTACATCTTTTGAAACTGATATCACAACGTACACGTCGATAGAAGTTAAACTGAACAGACACTTGACAAGTGATACTACCACATGTTATTATATTCGATTATCCACCCTGATGTAAAGTGTTGTCTAAAAAGCTCACTCAGTTGGGACTATATATATATCTGGCTAAACCCTCAACTCTTGTTTCGTAATTTAAACATAGAAATTGGAAAGTCGTCATTGATAATTTGATCTTTAACCATGTTTAGAGTCTTGATGAGGACGATCCGTGTTATGATGTTCGCCGTGAACGACTGTTGACTCGTAGAACTCATTTATACTACTTGAAATACGACTTCGTTAAGGTACGCTCGTGATTTGGTCTGTCACAACCAGATACGCATTATGCAAGGTACAGCGCAGACATTGCATGGTTGAATAACAACGATTGTCTGATTAAGGCTGGGTAGTTGACTAATTGCTTGAGTATAGTACAATCTCTAATTTAATAATTGGTTAAAAAATAACTGAATATACGAGTCAACCAATTACGTTCATCGCGGTGCACGTAGATTGAATACATGAGGTACTGTATATATAACAGACATCCCGATGATTCCATCACGTTTCATTTATGAGCAAATTGATGTATATAATTGATGCGCAATTCAACTAAAAGCTGAATGTTTTATGATTAGGTACCTGATTGATCTATTCAGTGTTTTCTTTCACCAGCACGACAAATACGATGTCACATTAGTTGCACAACTTTCAATGGACAGATTACAAATGATTGAAGCTATTTGCAAACAATGGAAAGGTAGCTACTTGAAATGCACAATGAATGTTGTTTCTTCACGCACACGTTCTTGAGCTCTACACCGCGTTTTTGTTATTAAAACATTTAATTATTATCCCTTCACTACACATGTTTAGGTCCTATAAGTTTTGCCTTGTATCTGTCTGACTCCGAGGCGAGACAGTTCACTGATTATGCCCAGTTTTCAAATATTTTGAAGAAAAGAAAGAACGTTGCTTATCATCTCGTGTTTAAGGACGGCGTAAGTTGAATTAAATGTATTTGCAGCAGCTGTAGCATGCGATGCAAGCTTGTCCCTAGGTTATTTCCTCGTATATATAGGCTAAAAGGCCTCCATTTGATCGCGTGGTTGCTTGAGAGATGAACAACTGTTTCTAATGTTATCTGTTATCAACTGTTAACGATCCAAATAAATATATCTTTTTATTGTAATTGCTTTATTTAGACATTTTATCCTGTCAACTTTCTACGCAATATCGCCTTGACCAACGCCAGAACGCCTTATGTTTTCTTGAGTGATATCGATTTTATTCCCCCTGACAGTCTGTATGATTATCTCAGGTTAGTTGATATTTTAATTGGCGTATATTCCGTAAACTGTGAATACGCGATATTCTTTTGAAGTCATTTAAAAACAATTTAACTTCAATTGATGGGGTTGAAACCGCCGTTTACAACTACAATGACTTGGGAAATGCGAGCACAGACTGCGGTTTAGCGGAGTCATTTTATGGTACATCTGTTTATGTTGGACAAGATGCTCTGAAAACATATTTTAAAGAAATAGTGACCTTGTAATAACATTGGGTTTCTCTAATTTTCGTATTACAGGCAAATCATTCGTAACACAGATATGACGAAAAAGGTACGCATGATACAAACGTTGTTCACATGGTTGATTAGAAAAATGTAAATGGTTGACTATAGCAATATGTGATGTACAGTGCAGTGCAATACAGTACAGTACAGTGCAGTGCAGTACAGTACAGTGCAGTGCAGTACAGTGCAATACAGTGCAGTACAGTACAGTGCAGTACAGTGCAATACAGTACAGTACAGTACAGTACAGTACAGTACAGTACAGTACAGTACAGTACAGTACAGTGCAGTGCAATACAGTACAGTACAGTGCAGTGCAATACAGTACAGTACAGTACAGTACAGTACAAAGTTAAACTTCTAGCTTTCTTTCTTTCTTTTCCTTCTTTTTCTTAACTTGTTCATTATGAATGCATGAATATAGGAATTTCATTACGTCTATTTTCTCAAATTCGCCCACAAATTACCAAACCAATCTCTAATAGTCATATTTCTCCTGCAGGCTTTGGTCGTACCGGCGTTTGAGACACTTCGCTACAAACTTTCTATACCAAAAACAAAAGCAGAACTGCTCTCAAAATTGGACGAGGGTTTGTTATACACATTCAGATATCATGTTTGGCCTAAGGGTCATGCACCAACCAATTATGCAAAATGGAGGACCGCTATTAAACCATACAAGGTAAAACTTAGGGTGGATGGTAGGGAAGAATAGGCAACTAATTGTGATTTAGCAAAAATCAAATATTAAATTGAGACAAATCAGAATAAAGCAATTTGACACGTGACGATGAAGGGACTCGTTTCAACAAATTCCTTGCCATTCAATAAATCTTTTCTATCGAACTTTTATCGCATATATCGCATAAGAGGAAGAAACATGCACTGGCTATTGTCCTGTAGCACACAATGAAATAGTCAAATGTTGTTGATTGTAACATGAATAATTAGTTAATTATTATTTATCAGGTGCAATGGGAAGACGATTTTGAACCGTACATTGTTGTCAGAAGGGACATTCCACAATATGACACAAGATTCGTAGGATTTGGTTGGAATAAAGTCTCACACATCATGGAATTGGCTGTTCAAGAGTAAGTTTTACCTCGATCTTAACCCCGTAATGTAGCTGAAAGAAAGAGTGAATAAGTGAATTGAATGATTTGAACCCTGCTAAAATCTACGACGTCACGTGGAGCCCAAGAATTAGTTTGAGTTACACATGCAGTCAAACTAGCTATCACGGGACAAAAGTTAATTTAAGGGGATAGAATGGATTTATTTTTCGTTTCAGTTTTGAATTTGAAGTTCTTCCTAATGCATTCATCGTTCACATGCCGCATGGTCCTTCATTTGACATTGCAAGACATAGAAATACCGAGCAATATCGAAGGTAAGAGTGCCATTTTCTACTACTACTACCAGGCGGATTTGCTCTGCGAATAATGAAGTCAACAATGTAACTGGCTAGAACCGGCTATTAAAATTCTTTCTGGTCAAATCTCCATTTGGATGATGTCCAAATGTCCACGACAGAAAACGACTATATGGATTAGGGGGAAAATAGCACATATAGGTAAAACGTACAGATAGATAAAGTGTTCATCAGGATAAAATGTCTGTACGGTCAAATTTCTATGAGAATTGAATGTTCAAGCAGAGTTGAAGTAAGCGAAATCAAGTGTCTTTACCATGGCGTTTCTTATATAATGAATTGTGTTGTTTTTTTTGCTAAGCCTCCTAGACAGACTGTACAGACTGCGGTTTTTATTAAACGGTTATCAAAGAGTGGATCTAGATCAATACACTAACTGTAGTGTTAATGATTTTCAGGTGTATGAAAATCCTGAAAGAGGAGTTTATGGGTGAGCTGAAAGCCAAATATGGAGCTCAAAAAGTCGAGCAAGTAACCATGGATTGAAGAACTGGATAACCAAATCAGAAATTAGGAAACAGTTTTCTCGCTATGAAATGAACATTTTATGGGACAAAGAAGTTTCCCGTGCGCAAATGAAAGCTCCGCAGTATCATTGTTGGTTTCCCGTGTTGAAGCGAACGCTTCACGTGGCAAAAGAGTGTTGTGTGGTAGAATATGTCATAATAATATTTACTCTGCTGGCAAATCAACTATTTATAAGGCGACACATTGGAAAATTGCTGTAAATATTGAATAAAAATATTTAAACTTGCCGACAGGCATCATTAAGATGTGGAGATTATGAAATCCCCTGTTTTCAAATTTTTATTGTAAATATTCTAAATACAAAATTTAAAAATATTTAAAAGATATTTAATAAAGGCAATTACTGGTAGTCCTTTTTTTGTCTATCAGCAAGCGTTGGACAGGGCTGTCATCTTCTTTACTATGATTTGCCCAAATAGCTAAGTTTTAATAAAAAAGTGCAGTTTTCTTTTTCAGACAACAGAAATTTTTCGAACATGCGGTTTGATCACGGTTTAATCAGTGGCAGAATGTGCTAAGACGGCAGTTTTCTGTCTTGAACAGGCTAAAAGAAAAGGACAACGCCCTTCCTTTTCGCGCCTTTGTAAGCACTGGGCATCGGTGATTTCACTGCTGGGCAAAAGTTCTGCTGGGCATTCAACGTCAGCAATACATTTCATTCGTCGTAACATAAAGTAATGCAATTTAACTACAAAATAGTTCGATTGTTTCAGTTTCATGTTGAGAAGCTGGGGGAAATTTGCCTCTAAATTGCTCGATTTTTACGCACTTCCAATTCGTACGATGTCAACAAGAATAGATCTCTTTCAAAGTATTGGTTTGAGCGAGCAAAAGGCAAAAGAAACGTTGAAGAATGAAGCCCTTGCAAAGCATTTGGAAGACGTTGTTATCGCAGTGAGTTGATATGTGTTTATGTGTCTAACTTTAATTTTTGTATTTCTATTGATCGATATAGCCTGATCATGGTAGATATTTTACACATGGCTTACCTCAGTGAGCAAATACGGTCAAACTTAGAGTATTATAAACACTATTTTCTTTTCGGCTGTTGCATCAGATCAGACCACCTACCATTCTGTTTCGAAACACGTGTACATTCTAAACACGTGTACATCCTGTGTGGGTCTACCTCACCCTGAGTGGGGTCTACCTCACCCTGAGTGGGGTAAGGGTAGTAACTGCAATTTCGTTATGCAGCAGCCAGGCTAGTAGAGGCTACAAAGTCGGGCATGCATGATATATTTTGAAACACAATATGACTTAATGCAGTAAGTACAAGTACTGTGTTTTTAAATACTGTTTAGTATCATAATAATGAGTTAATTACTATAAATTATCCATTGTGTCACCATAATCAGTTAGGCAGATATCATAGAAATAATGCAAATGAAGTTGTAAGAAAAAAAATAGGAACAAAAGAGATTATAATTAGGCACTTCTGAAAGTACAGGATCAAACTTCCTTCTTAGGCAAACAAGGTGAACAATGATTGTCCTATCAATAAATCAGCTGGAATGTTGCTCTACTCATTTGCCACTGGTAACATAAAGACTCTAGAAAGGTTGAATATGATGGTTGATTATATTTGCACTGGCAAGATTGCATCACAGGCTCAACTGTCAGGTAAATAAAACTATGTAACTAAAAAAGTATAGTGTTTATTGTAAATTAAGTTATAAATATTAAATGAAAGTTTTATAAACCAGTATATTTAAAATTTTATTTTCATTATGTCATTTATGTGATACATTTCAGTAGATTTGCTCATTCCATCATGTTGTTAAAAAATTATCAATGTTTTTAGCGGCAATGGAGTATCTAAAAGCCAAACCAGTAGATCCTGTTGCAGTTGAAGAATTTGAAAATGCATGTGGTGTTGGTGTCAAAATTACTCCTGATCAAATTGAAGAATGTGTAAGTATGTACAATTTTACATATGAGTCAAAAGAAACATTTAAATATAAATATATACATATACATATATTTCAGTTGGATTAGATAACTTAGATTAAGTCTTAGATGACTAGGTATTTAGTTTTTTTCAATTTAGCAATTCAATTTATTACAAATAGATTGAAAGGCTTGTTGCTGCCAATAAAGATGAAATCTTGAGCAAAAGATATAAATTCAATACCGGCATGATTATGGGTGGGTACACATTGTCAAATTATTGTCTCTATCAGTGAACTTTATAACACCCTAGGTACCCTGCATTTTATCTTTTATCATGTTTGTTTTAGCAAAGGCAAGAGAGGAACTAAAGTGGGCAGATGGTAAAGTATTGAAAGCAGAACTTGATATGGAGGTACTGGATGAAAATATATCCCAATTACATAAGGGAAATTTATGTATATAATGAGGGAAATGATGTGCATGCAGGCTACATGTGTGTTTCCATTACTGGTTTATTGTAGTGATTTAGTGCAATTTTTTTATGTAGTTTTGTTTCGTTACTAAAAGTATTCATTTCCATAAATGCTATAAGTTAATGGCTAAATGCTGCACTTCATCATATTAATTCAGCCTTATGCAACAAAGCAGTGTTAAGCTATTCAAATATGTCTGAAACCGTAGGGTGGAAAACATCATTTTGCACTTGGAATATGAATTCTAAAAACTTTATTTCAGTTGTTAGACTTGTTGGGACCAAAAACTGAAGCTGACACGAAGAAGCCAAAATCTGAGAAGGTATAACAAATGAATGTGTATCTGAAAAAAATAGTCTTAGAAATAGTTGCAGTTTGTACATGTTCTCATCAGAATGCTGGTGATTTATTTGATAGACTCCCACAGCATCTAAATCAACTGCAAAACCTAAGGCAAAGCCACCCAGCAAGGGTAAGGGTATTTGAAATATTCTAGGTTTACCAACATTGGATTACCAGCTGGATTATTTTCAATATCTGCTTCCTCTGCATGTACTATAGATTTGAAATCAGAAGAAGTATCCCTGGCGGATTTAGGTGGAGAAGCTGCTAAATTTCATAAACCAGGTGAAGAAAATCTCAATGCGATAAAGAATTGTGCTTTTGTTAAGTTATTATCATCTTACTCTTTCTAAATGGGGTTCAGGTGAAAATTACCTTACACCGGGTTATGTTGTGACCCCCAAAACAATGGAACTGTTGCAAGAACATCTGAAACAAACTGGAGGAATGGTCGTGACTCGATTTCCTCCTGAACCAAACGGAATCCTTCATATCGGGCACGCGAAGGCAATTAACTTCAATTTTGGATATGCTAAGGTACCTTTTTAAAGCAGTGTTGAGGTCTGTTCACACGATCCAATTTTGTTGGATCCAATTCACTTCTGACGTATGAAATATAGTCGGTTATTGGTAAAGCAGTACTGCATTGGCTTCAGTGGATTTGCTCCTCGTATACATTACAAGACAACAGACCATAAAACATCCATCAGAAGTGAATTGTTGCCAACAAAATTTGATCGTGTGAACAGACCTTTAATACTAACGCAAAGCGTTGGATTCGTGCATGTCTTGTCATATAAATTCCAAAGTGATTTAAATGTTAGAAAAGACCAGTTTAATAACATTTGTGTACTATTGTGTGTTTAGGCGCATGGCGGAATTTGTTATTTACGTTATGACGACACAAACCCAGAGAAGGAAGAGGAAAGGTTCTTTAAAGGAATTCAGGAGATGGTCGCTTGGTTGGGTAGGTTTTTCGTAACTTGATAAGGTTTGACGTTCCTAGAAGTTGATTTCATAAGATTGGACGGCAAGTGCGTGCATTCATAAGTTTGAAATTTGTATCTTATAAACTACATTTTGCTTTCTTCTACCAGGTTTTAAACCTTACAAGATAACGCATGCGTCCGATCATTTTGACAGACTTTACGATTTTGCTGTTGAATTGATCAAGAGGTAAAGGAGATAACTAGTTGGCCTTAAAAGAGAATAGTTAAAAACTGACTTCTGTTAATGTACAACACTTCCTGGACGTCTATGAAGAACTGAATTAGCTTTGCCTAGATTTTTTCCGGTAACTGCACCGAGCCAAACATAATTTACAGTGATCTTTTCTTAATACGAGGTAGGCAAAATCAATCTTTGAGATGTCTTGCATACAGTGTTTCTGTATTCTTAGAGACAAGGCATACGTGTGCCATCAGCAGTATGAAGAAATCAAGGGATACAATCCTCCGCCCAGTCCCTGGAGAGATCGACCAATCGAGGAATCACTTCGTCTGTTTCAGGATATGAGAAACGGCAAGCTTAATGAGGGAGAGGTACCGTAGTTTGCTTTGAACAATGAAAAATCGCTGTTGAATTTAAACTCTAGGCTTTAGGAATTCATTGATTATATTGGGTAAGCAAGTTAATTTTGAGCTTCGCTTTTTACAGGCGACACTTCGTATGAAGTTCACAATGGATGATGGGAAGGTTGACCCCGTCGCATATCGTATGAAGTTCACACCACATCCACAATCCGGTGATAAATGGTTGGTTCTAACACTATAATTACTGACGAGGATTAGGGTGACTTTTAATGTTACCATGACGTGATAAGGGGTTAGATTAGGATTAGGAATAAGATCCGGTTTAAGTTTAAAGTTTGAATTAAGGCTAAAATATAAGTCAGTTAGGATTGGTGCAGAAACTGAGCCAAGACTTGTTTCCTTTGTCGCATGAACCTCGGGCTTTGCCGCTCGAACAACAGCATCTCATTGTTATACTATCAATTTGATTTTTTTGAAAAATTATGTGGAAATAGACATCGGGGGTGATTTAAGGTGTCTATATATCTATTCTTACAACTTTAATCTCCATGTCCTTTAGGTGTATTTACCCCACTTACGATTTTACACACTGCATCTGTGACTCGCTTGAAAATATTACGCATTCACTGTGTACGAAGGAATTTCAAAACAGGTAAAGTTTTGTTGCTGAAACATAGCCGTCCAGTGTTGGTAGTTTTCTAGTACACGTACCGTAAGTGTCTAAACTACCTGCAAAAGACATTTTGTGCCTGTAGGGGCAACGTGGTTCTAGCTAAAATATGCTCGCAAAGAAATATTTTTGCCCGAATTATCTAGAATTTAACAACAACTTCAAACTGGCTTAACGCTATCTTCCGAATTACGTATTAAAATCCCCCAGGTATTCAGACCTGAGCCAAACACGCACGTTTCATTTGTTTAGACGGTCAGCGTACTATTGGTTGAACAACTCTCTCGATATTTACTGCCCCGTGCAGTGGGAATATGGAAGATTAAACATGAATTATTCTGTGGTTTCAAAACGAAAGATTGCAAAATTAATCCACGAAGGAATCGTGAAGTAAGCTGTCAATTTCGTTGACTTGCTATTCACATGAAAATATTACCAGTTGGTTTAGTATGAGCTATATAGATGGTTTTCAACTTTCAGAGATTGGGATGATCCGAGATTGTTCACTTTAACTGCTTTACGTCGGAGAGGATTTCCTCCTGAAGCTGTCAACACTTTTTGTTCCAAGGTAAAGACAGTGAACTCAAATAAGACTGGAACGCTCACTCGCTGACTTTCCCTCATTAATGAGTGAAGCCAAGATGGCGGATCATGAAGCCTTTCTTGTAGGTATGATCCAGGCCTCTGGCGCGGAAATTTCAAAGGAAAATCATAATTGCCGCCATTTACCTCCGCGCCGGAGGCCTGGATCATACCTACAAGAAAGGCTTCAGTGGGCTTCAGTGTCCGCCATCTTGGCTTCAAACTTCCGACAGAGTGAGCGTTCCAGTCTTATTTGAGTTCACTGGGTAAAGATGACTTGGATTACCCGGTGCAAAGCGCCGGGAGAGGGTACTAATTCCGCCCAGAGATTTTAATTATCTCCGTACTCAGTACTGAATATATATTAGATATATAATAACTATAGTGAAACACGCAATGTGATTGGTCAATAGCCGTGCAGGATCAGACAATCCTGCACGCGTTTTAGACAATCCTGCACGCGAAATTTAATTTTAATAAAGTTAACCGTTGTTTCACTACAGTTATTTTATAAAACAATTACCAAATGATTTTCCGTGCAGGATTGCGTGATCCATGCACTTGGGATGTTGCTCGACTTTCGGAAAGCGTGAAAATACACTCGCCTACGGCTCGTGTATTTTCACGCTTTCCGAAAGTCTCGCAACATCCCGCGTGCATGGATCACGCAATCCTGCACGGAAAATCATTTGGTATTCCTTTAATGTTTTGTGTATCTTATGCTTGTTATTACCAGGTGGGTGTTACCATGGCTCAAGTCACGATAGATCCTGAGATGTTGGAATCCTGTGTGAGAGATGTTCTCAATAACACTGCTGTAAGGTGAGAAAGCTGTTGCTGTTATTTCTGGTCATCGTAAACGTTCAAGTGGCGTATTAGACTTTAACAAGAACATTTGATAACATTTTTTTCATCATATTATTTTAGGGTTATGGCAGTATTGGATCCAATCAAAGTAACCATTACGAATTTTCCTTCACCGAAAGTAAGAAAATTTTAGTTTGTTAGCTAGATGAAATAATTTATGGCTCACTCTAGTTTTTATTTGATTGCTTTTTTCAATATAAACAGTTCTTAGAGGTCCGCAGTTTCGCTGCAAAGGAAAACTTTTTCCGCTTTATAAACACTGCACATCGGACAGTATAATACAGGCTTGTTCTTCCTTTAGAGGTTCAAAGTCAGAGTGCTCGAAGAACAATGTATAAAACTATTAAATCAGGAGGTTTTTTCTCATCTATAGAACGAAATTGATGTGCCCATTAAGGAACCTACAACTCTATCGATGAATAATTTTGATTAATTATCTTTCAGCCAATTCCTATCTCTGTGCCAAATATTCCTCACGACCAGTCCAAAGGTTCACACGAGATTCCCTTTGATCGTGTCATGTACATCGATCGTTCTGACTTCAAAGAGGTAGGTTTCTGATTGTTACATTTTATATACGTAGCTATATTAACTTGATGAAATCTTGCCTATGGCTCGCTCTATAAACACACGAAAAAAAGTGGACTCTGCAAATCCTCCCGTGTGGACCAAAGATACGCAAAAGAGAAATTCACGTCTTCCTAATAAACAGAATATAATATGAACAGAATTTGTTGGCAAAAGTTGTTCCTTAAAGTGTATTTAGCTGCTGAGAAATCTAATCCTTATCATATATACAAATTTATATCAAAGTTCTCCATTGTAATTTTTTCTTTGAACTTTTTAAAGGTCAACAACGAGAAGGGTTACAAAAGATTAAGTCCAGAGCAAAGTGTTGGATTACGTCATGCTGGCTACGTCATCTCGGTCCAGGAGGTTGTCAAGGTAATTGGAACTAACGTAACTTTTCTTAATAGTAAAACGAACTATGCAATTTTCTAACGTGTATAATCTCCGCAGGACGCTAAAGGCAATATTACAGAACTCAAGACTACGTGCGAAAGCGTGTCCAACACGGTGAAACCCAAAGGCTTCATACACTGGGTGTCATCGCCATTAACCTGTGAAATTAGGATATATGAACGACTGTATGTTTGTTAAAAAATTTTTTAAACTTATCAGCTTTTGACATCACCGTAAGAATATTGAAAGAACTGCATGACAAAATCTTGTCCAGATGCGGCAGACTCAAACGATTCAATGGTTAAGTGGACCCCCTGCACGTATAAGACAATTGATTTTTATTTTTACTTGGATGAAGCATTCCTCTATGCAATGGCATAGTCGCATCACCTAACTGTATTATTAAAATATAAATGTATATATATATATATATATATATATAATATATATATATATATATATATATATATATATATATATATATAAGCAAATTTTCAGAACATTTGTACAAGCAAAAACCAGTTGTTCAAAATTCAATATACAGTGCAGGCTTTGAAGTTTTCCCGAGTTTCCAGACCATGTCTTTTTTAGCTCTGATTTGACATGTGTAGGTCAGACATCACAATGGCAGATTACTGTAGAATACTAGATTGGGTATTTGTATACCCAACCCCCACATCTTTTGATAAACCGCCTTTTTATTTCTATACCAAGGTTTAAACACAAGTTTCCGGAGGATCCAAATGTTGTTCCAGGTGGATTTTTATCTGATTGTAATAAGGTATGCTTTCTGTCAGGCATGTTCGGTTTCAAATATTTTGACACCCGCGAGAGTAAGCAAATTATCTTCATTGTTTTCACTACATACCATACATTTATTTGTTATTAAACACAAACATGTATTATAGTTAACATGCATGCATGCAATGAAAAAATTTAACGGCCAATAAACTCCTTTTCCTTCGTAAAGACTAAGTTATACCCTCAACTTGATTTTACAACCTTGAAACTGGTAAAAGAAGAAATTAGGAAAACCCCACGGGACAAATTAAATGCCTGCTGTCCATTTTCTCACAGGATTCTCTGCGGATAATTCCGAATGCTTTAGTTGATGTCACAGTAAAGGACGCTCCTGTTTTGAGTAAATTTCAATTCGAGAGAGTTGGTTTCTTTTGTATTGATTCTGATAGCACAAATAATAAGGTATGTCTTATCCTATTGATTTGGAGAACTTAGAATATAAGTTTTATCTAGCTGGAAGCACTAGATACTGTGTGTGTTAACGACACTATAACACAGCTAACGTTTCGGAATTCAACAATTTCCATCCGAATTTTTTATAGATCGTTTTCAATCGCACAATTCCTCTCAAGGAAGATGCTGGCAAAAACTAAAACATGAACTGTTGGCTCATGCAGTTAATAGTTCAAAACTCTGATCTTAGTTGATACAATAATTCAACAGAAATGTGAATCTTATTAGCGAGGTGTATTCGATACATTTAAAAAATATTTTTAATCACAATTTTCGTCTCTCTTGAGTCATCCAAATAGTCCGGCAATAAGTAATCAATGCAATGTGAAGCAAGTTCAGCATAGACGACGCGAGAGAAATCTTTTGTTGACAAAAGATTGTTTAGTATCATATTTTCCTGCCAATGGCTGTTAAAAAACGGTTAAAGATTTTTGAAAGCTTTGCCGCGTGCAGTGAATAAATGTGTTATAGTACTATGCCATCAGCGTTTGTGCTACCCGAGTGAAGGAGGTTAGGATCACCATGATCTTTAGAGCGAAAAGTACTTGGTGCTTGAGATTAACATCAGGATTAGCTTTAGCTCAAAGACATGGTACATGCACGAAGTCATCTATTTTTAAATCTTAGTTGCATATGTTCGATATAGACAACAACAACGAATATTCATTTAATTCAACTGATTATATTTTCACATGAGTATAATGTGTCTACAAAGTAACTTAGATCGTACTTTATAGTTAATCTTTTAAAGATTTCAGAAGTTATTTTTTGTGTACGCACCAGAAGCCGTACCCGCAGTTTCCTGGTCCCGCCTTGCGCTTCGGCATTCCTCTTTTCTGCGGTACATTATCCCGGGATGCAAAAACATCGTCGAAGACATCATTTTCGAAATCCGTTTCAATCTCGTCACACTGAGCCAAGGCAAACAACAACACACAAACGAGGCTGCATACGAATAGGAACCGCATTTTCTGAAAGAAAAAATATTTGGTAATAAAATATTTGGTTTGTAAAATTCGAAACACTGTACGTAGCCATGAAAGCTAATGGCAAAGGGTCTTAACTCGAAAAGATTACATTTAGAAACTGTTCTATAATTGTTAAGGTCGGTTGAATAATTATACAATACCTTTTATATAATTTAGCGTCAAAGTGTGGTATAACAACTGCCTAAAATAGACAAAATAGACATACCTTTTATATGCTTCAGAAACTTTGTTTACCCGACCAACTTGAGCTAGCTTTGTTGATAAGACTCTGTTGCAACTCTACAGCCGCCATCCTTTTTATAGTCCATGTTTGAAGATGGTAAGTATTTTAGGATTTATTTACCGCAGTTTATAATTGTCCCTCCCCCGCAATTTGGAGCAAGTTATTTGCACAAAATTAGTACACAATGCCAATGGCCGGTAAACATCGATGTAAAGTTTTTAATTGTTATACATGTTTTTTTTTCAAATTTTAGTAGCTATTATGTCTAAAAATATAGTTATTGTTGTTTGAAACGAGTTGCGAAAAATAAACTTGAATGGATTTAGGGATATGCACCTACTAAATTAAACAACAATTAATTTTTACAATGCCAATGGGTCACTGATAGTTTATAGCGAACTAAAGCTAACCAATGGCGAACTGAGAGTCGGGTTAGTTAAGAATTCTTCTCGTGGTCACTGAATAAAAAAAGACAAAACTAAACTCTGCATAAAGGTAATGAAGGGTTAAAAAGCACCTATATGTAGCATAAGAAAAGTTTGCTTGGGTAATTCACTAGTTCAGGTTACGGGTTACAGAACATTCAATCCTTGATCAAATTGGAGACAGGAATTTGAAAAGCAACGAAGCAACCAACATTGAAAAATTAGCGATTCTAGACCTTAAGACAAATAAAGTTACAATGTTCACAATCACTGCATTTTAGCGTGGGTTTTGACATTTAGAAATCTCACATGTACCATTACAAAAATATCTCAAATTCCAAATATAGTTTGATTCAAATAAAGCATTAATTAAATTAGTGATAAATTAAGAAAGTAAATGAATCAACAAATAATTAATTTGCTGCACTGAAAGATGCAGTGGAAAAAATAATGATTCTTAAAATAGAAGAATATAAAGCAAATATGCCAATTTTCTGCCTCATGCTTATTCACATGACTGTTATCAACATGGAATACAAATCAACGTGGACACAAAATTAAGTTCAACAACAAGCCGCGGGTAGTGTTTTTTCAACCGTTTCAACTAACTAAAAATGCTTGAAAGGCAATAAAATTTCAGCTTTGGAACCATAAATGATTAAAGAGGATCCTGGATTTAATCATACCAAGAATTTATCGAAGTTATACCCAACAACGTGCGATTTTAAAGCGATTGAAAAAACCACTGGTGAAAAAACCGCTATCCGGTGGTTAGCGCTATCCGGCTTTCATACCAACGGCCCCAAATAATTAAGAGAACATGCAGTGAATATCCCCTTACAAGACGAGGGCAAATAAAAGATTCTCGGTGGGTGTATATTAATTCGAAAAAATCAATAGTTTCTTGAGTCCAAAGTTTAGTGAAACTGTAAAAGTCATAGTTTAGCTTAGGCTTTTTTCCTGTGCACTTCTCCTAATAAATATAATTCCAAAAGGTAGGGAGGTATGTTTAGAATACGCTAAAGACTGGTTGCAGAACATTTATCCCCAGGACTTTGGACAGGAAAGTTTCACTTGACTAATAATGTGTTCTCAACCAAAACGCTTTAATTAAATTTATTCCAAAAAACCTTTTACGCCCATTTTGTTGCTAGAAATAATTTTTCAAAGAAAAAAACTAACGTTATATCATATTGAGCACTCCGCATATTCACGAGTTAACCAAAATGACTTATATTACCGAAACACAATCGGTGTATATTGTGTATGTCACTAAGCTATGTAGCTCAGTATGGCTCAGTGGTGTACACCACTGAGCTATATAATAATTCCGCGGAATTATTATATAGCTCAGTGGTGTACACGCGACTAATTAACATAATTAGCGAGGGATTGGAAACGAACGAATGATACGATAAATATTTAGCTTAGCTAGAACAGCTAAAACTAGAACAAGTTTTTAAATTGGTATTTTGTGTATCAGGATTTAAGCTTTTGGGGATGAATTTTACAACCTAAAATATGGCTTGGAGTTCTTTGCCGCTGATAGAGGTATTGTGATTTTGTTTCCAGAGAGATCGGTTTCACATTAGCTGAAATATTGGCGGTTTTGTTAGTGTGAATGGCTGACAAAAGTTGAAACGTTGTATTATGGTAAAGTATTAATAGGTTATATTCCACAGTATATTCCTTCTCTTCAATTTCATATTTTCCGTATAACAGATGGATGACGTTAACATGAAGAGAAACAGTAACGAATTCAGGGATAATATAAGGTTTGATGAGATTTTTTCTTGCATGTATAAAGGTCATTGAATACATTAATTATTAGCTACTGACTACAGTGGGTTAAGTTAATAACTGGTTGTGTAAATTGGTTACATCGTCACATACATAGGTACGTTTGTTACAGCGCAAGCTCTATAGTAGAATCTCTGAGTTGCAGATTGCATGCCTGTTAAAGGGCTAGAAATTGCATTTTTACCAAATCACTGTTGACAGGAAATAGTTCGCAAAATGATTGTTTTGTCAGGAAAAACTATGTGACTGTTGTTCACTATATGTTGGCAAATAGGCAATTACATATAATCATAGTTAATATAGATAATATATTAACTATGATTCAGTATCTGTATCCCTGCACTTATCTACTGGAAGTTAGAACTTAGAATTCTTTAGGGATGATAGGTACCATAGCCCGAAGATATGTGTGTGCTATCACTCTTCATCATCCTATATGAATCATCAAAATCATTTTATTTTGCATTCTTTCCCTTCACTTACTTTATTAAAACTCAATTATTTCCTCAGTTGTTGGGAAAATTATCATTGTTTTTTATTTTGATTTTTTACCACATTTTTACATTTTTGCATTTGTTTACATGGTTACTTAGTAAGCTTTGATGGAAGATGCTTACCTTGCCTCAATAGGAAGGTGTTATCACATGTGATATGAAATGTCATACCCTGCTTAGGTTGAACTTAGAGAACTTCCGCAGTCAATTAACCTTTAGGAAGCATCTTTTGGGTCAGAAAGGGAGTTGAATTTCCTTTTTAGCATATGTAATACTTACCCTCTTGTCAAAATATTATTACGTGTCCATAACTCTTCAACTTCTGTAGCCTCTTTTGCACAGTTGGTTCTGGCCCAGAAATGTAAATTTTGTGAGATTAATCCTGAAAATGCTTATACTATAGTAAAATTGATTTTGTTTATATCTAAAAGTTGTATACAGATTTTCATTTGAAACTTTTCATACATATTCATATTTTTATGTGCTGTTTTTACCTCCAAGAGCAATTAAGTGTTAGTTGGCGCTATTTGAACTATTGGGAACATTAAATTACAGTCGAAAAAGTTTTATTAAATTAATCACTTTAACTTGCATTTGCTAAAAAAGCAAGCGTGGCCTTATTTACTGAAGAGTCTCTATATTTTCTCTTTACTTTCCAACCAGAAATCAAAACCCTGGTGATAATCTTGAGAAAGACATAAGTAAACAATTGAGTGCATTCAGGCAGCAAAGTAAAGTGAGCAAGGACTTTGGTCAGGACAGACCATCAGTTGATGAATTTGGACGAGATGTTTACACCAAACCCTCAAGCGAAGGGGAACAAAACTTTCCAGATCGCGAGAGTGGCAGAAGAAGGGAGAGAAGTCGTAGCCCACGACGCTGGCGTGAAGATGATGACAGGGGAAGGGAGTGGGGTAATGAGGAGCAACGGAGGCGGAACAGGTATGCTTGCCATGTCGATGAGGGTGAAGATGAAGGAAGGAATGGGGAGAGATATCGAGATTGGTCATCACGCGGTCGTGAACCCGATCGTTACAGAGATAACTATCGAAGAGATAATTATCGAGATCGTGACGAAAGGGATTATCGTGATCATGATGACAGAGATTACCGAGATCGGGATGAGAGGGATTACCGAGATCGGGATGAAAGGGATTACCGTGATCGAGATGACAGGGATTACCGTGATCGAGATGACAGGGATTACCGTGATCGGGACAACAGCGATCATCGAGAACGTGACGAGAGGGATTATCGGGATCGTGGCCAGAGAGACTACCGAGATCTAGATAAGAGAGACTGGAGACGAGATAAATATGATGAAAGAAATGATGAGAGGAGACGAGACTATCGAGACAGATATAGAAATGATGTAAGTTGTTTGATGATCAGACAGAAATATTTCTCCTATAAAGGGAACAGTATACGCAGTCTAAATACTTCTTAGAGAAACGTCTTATTCCGGTTTTAAAAGAAAGCCTCCTGGTTGAGGTTAGTGACCAAAGTTTAGAGTCTGTGGTGTAAAATTTGACTCTATTTTAGGATGATAAATACAGTTCAGAGCGACGGTCACATGATGACAGAGATTATGATCGCCGAGTCTATCGTGAAGAGCCAAGCGAGATTGTCATGTTGAAAGGTTTACCAACCTCTACTGAAGATACACAGGTAAGAAGTGAGTCTGGGGTGGGTCTGTGCTCAAGTTCTATGGATTGTCAAAATCTCAGTATGAACTGGTTATGTCTAGATTTTGTTGTATTATTTCCTTTTTTTACCTGCCAGAAAACAGATGGGGTAGCTTTAATTTAGAACCAGGCTTATTTGTAGGTGCATGCATTGGGTTGCAGCTTGCAGCACCCCACTTCCCTGGCTATGTAATTTAGTTTCACCCAGCCTTACATTGCAAAATATATTTCCCTGTGTAAGGTTTTCTATTGTCATTGGATTTATCGTTATATTCTTAACCTGATTTTGCCATTCACATTAAGCTACGAAGTATTTACACAGCGTAGACATGTAGCTACATCACACGGCCTATTAGCTACAGATTTTTTGTTCACTTACAGTATTTTTCTGAGATTCCAAATTACTGTACGACAAATTCTACAAGTGCAGCATTCTTTACTGAATGCATAAGTGAACTATTTTTTCAGTAACAGATACAGATATTATTTCTGTTTACCTCAGCAGTTCTATTTTCTGTTCTGTTACTCTCATCTCATATAACGACCACGATTAAACTGGCAAACATTCCAGGGACCACAAAATGCTCCCCAGAGTCTCTGAAATACATACCTGCCAGTGTTCGTAATATTATTCAATGAATTATCTTCGAAGCCTTCTTCCACAGTTGTCGGTTGGCTAATCACAGGTGATCCCTGTTTCCGCTCTTGTCCAAATTGCAGAGATTCAGCGTGGTGTGAATCGTGGGCTGTAGAAAGTTGTTCTATTCCATGTATATTTATCATTTTTATTTGGGTGTTCTCATCTGTCGACTTAGGAAATCCAACTTCATCTCTCAAATTCTCAGCAGAATCTTCAATTGTCTTCAAGACTAACTTATTCAAGCGAAAAGGGCTTTCTCCTGGTAAATTTTCAAACTCTCCTTGTTGGAAGGGAACCTCTTGGCCAACTCTCAATCCAAATAGAAAGCAATTTACATCGATATTGGTGTTTCTTATGTTTGCGATAAATACAATATATCTTCCCATTCCTGTAACAAAAAAGAAAATAATCCCAGGGATTTTCCAGGCGAAGAAAGCTTCTTCATTTTGGCCTTTGCAAGGAGTAAAAGGTGTCAAAGAAAAACAGCTACAGTCAATCTGGAAACAGACCTTAGTTTTGACTAAAGAAATCACACTTCCTCGTTTCTTCTGAGTCGGCGACCTTACTGGCTGTCTACTATACTGTATACGGTGATTGACATTACTATATACAGTACTATAACATCTAGTCGGAAATCTCTATAATGTCATCGATATTGGCTATGACAATACAGTCAATGCTTACCTAATCCAGACATGTTGTTGCATACAGTATAACAGTCCCCAACACTCGGTACGAACAACGGTATCTTATGATGACTGTGCCATTGTCCAATATTGCAGAGTCCATATTTTTCTGTCAAGTATTCCCCAGTGCGTTTTAGATAGTCTGTATCTTGAAAGAATGATGTCGTTGTCCTTCTACACCCTTTGCCAGGTCCGAGAACAAACTGAACCACAGCTGTGCGTTCATCTATCCATAGACCGAACAGATCACCACCTTTTAAAAATTATTTTCAATTTAATTAGTTCAAAGTTGTTCCATTTAATGTGAACAAGTTGTTATAACAAACTCACTCGTGCATGCATGAACAAGTCGTTTAATAAAGCTATCGCATCTGCCACATAACGCGATAAAATGAAAAACCTTATTATTCAACCAAAATTTTGTAGATATACGTGATGTTTGTTGCCTTACAGTACAAAAAGGAAATCAAAAGACGAACAAATCTTTATCAGAGTGAAATCATACTTTGTGGAATTTCGGTAAAATCGGTATAACGAGGAACCAACGAAAAAATCGTCTTTTTCGTCAATTTTTCGAAACTAAGTGGAACTACATTTTTCATTAAAACAACATTTGAGCACATAAAATATACTTTGGATAAGGTGAATCGGACCAAAGAAAAAATCGTCAATTTCGTCAAATTTTCAAATTCGGTAAACTACCTTGAAATAGTTTGAAACTGGAATGACATTCTTTCATGATAACGATATAAACATGCAGATAAGAAAAAAGAAAAAATTTCAAAGTTTTCGAAATTTCAAAATTCAAATTATTGTTTAACACTGCATGAATCATCCAGTCACTACTTTTCAAGGTTTCTGTTTATTTAAAGGCAAACGATTCAATGCCCCACCTGTTTCAATATCAGGCATCCGTTTCACCCATTCATGTATTCGTTCCATCTCGCCTTCGTTAATATAAACTTTAAAATCGTCTTCCTCTCTTACTTTGTCCTGTGTATTTGTCGTCTCTTTATCTATATTTGCCAGACATGCAGACATTTGTAACTCAGGTGACGCTATACAATACGGGATTTGTGGGTCACGCATCTTTCAAAGCAGTGAATATTGTAGCAGATGCCTATTATATAGTTCGATGTCTTTTGTGACATTGGAAATCTTCATAGCTTTCAGCCAATTCATACCGAACATTAGACCCACTGCGATAGCAACCTGATAGGGGCCGGTTGTTCAAAAGCGGGTTAAATTTAACCCTGGGTTAGCGTTAAACCTGGGTTAAAATCCTTAACCCAAGGTTAGCTAACCCCAGGTTAAAACTCCGTTGTTCAAAGCAATGTGAAAGTTGCGGTTAACTAACCCAGGGTTAAGGCAGTTAACCTTAGGTTAAAAAGCGCGCGAATTCTTGCAAAATGGCGGACGTTGAAGGAGGGAGACAAAAGAAAAGAAGAAAGCTCAACTTTACGGTGACCGAAATAGACACTTTGACCAGCAGAGTGCAAGAAAATTTAGGACTAATCCAGTCAAAACTAACCAATGCGGTAACGAATCAGAAAAAAAATAAAATTTGGGAGAATATCACAAAAGAAATAAACGCGATAGGGGTGGCAAACCGCACAACAAGCGAAATTAAAGAGAAGTGGAAGAACCTGACCAGCTCCGCTAAGAAAACGTTTGCCGATGTGAATAGGCAGATGCGAAAAACTGGAGGTGGTCCTCCACCTAAAGAACCCACTGCAGCGCAAGAGAGGATAATCAAAATATTTGAAGATACTCCTCTTTTTACCGGATTAAGCGGCTTTGAAACAGGTACCGGTGGGAAGTGATTGCATTTGTTGCGCTGAACTGTGGTACAAGTTTGGGCAAGTCTCTAAATTAGTTTCCAGAGCGCAACGCTTAATTAAATTGTAATCATATATTCATTTCATATCATCATATTTGCACGAACGCGGCCATGTTTGCAAAGAAATTGCCAAGTTTTCAACTATTAATATTTGTTCAACTCCATTAGTGAAAACGGCTTCCTAAACTAAGATAAGTTTTTTTCTTTCTAGTTGAAATTCTAACTTTGCCAAGACTCTGCTATATATAAATGCTTGTGTCAACACTTTGCATTTTGCAGTTTCGCCTTTTTTTAAAGCATATACTTTGTTTATTGTATATGTATTATGTTTTATTATTTGGGTATTTTATGTCTCTTCATTTTTCAGACGGACAGGATAGACAATCCTTGGAGGGTTGTAGCACGCCCGCACTTAGAGACGGTATCCTTCAAGAATTAACAGAAGTAGGACAACTCGACTCAGATGATTCAGATGAAGATAATTATGATCGTGAAAAACAGCGTCCGATACCACCATCTTTCAATAAGGAAGAAGTCTTTACTCCTAATTGTTTACCTGTGCCCACCACCCTTATCCCCGCCCTCCCTCCACCAAGCAAAACAGAACGAAAAAGGAGAATAACAAACCAAGAGGTTTTAAAGCTGCAAGCTGAAGTTCTACAACACCAGAAAGAAGTTTTAATATTGAAGAAGGAAAACCTAAAACTAAAAAACCAGGCTTTAAGAGAGGCACAAAATAGTATGCTGAAGCTTTGAAGGGTACTGTGTCTATTCATTCTTTTGATAACTTAATTATTTCTATAGACTATACAGCTTAATTATGGTTGGACTTTCAGAACCTCAAATTCTATGCATGCAAGTGGTAATAGGGGTTGTAAGGTACTAGGCATTTACACATTAAAAGCAGACAGATTGCCTTGTGCAACAAATTTTCATGTTCATGATTGTAAATACACACTCTCAAGTACTTATCATTCTTTATTCCTCCAACGTTAAAGGAAAAACTTATTAATATAAATTTCATTTAGCTGTATATAATTTTGTGTGTAAAGTATTTATATTAATGTTATATATTTATTTTATTTATAGCATTCATAAACTGTTCATAAACTAATCACAATTACATATTTGCAATATAATTTATAACCCATACTTTATTGACACTGTATATTAAATTATAATATTTGATATGATAATATTTAATATTAATTAAATGGGTATGTGGAAAAAGTAGAGTGTACACTCAGTCATTTACAAGCTTGAACACATCAATCAACTTACCATAATAGCCTGTGGTTTAATATACACAAATTCATGCCAATTAATAGCTGTTTAAAAAAAAGTGTTTGCTATATGGTCTCTGATAAGATGGCCTGTTTCATGCCCTTGATATTCCTGTACTTCCAGTTCATCATCATCATCATCATCCATTGGCTCATTAAATGCAATTGCAATATTATGCAATATTGCGCATGCACCAATAAGCTGGCAAACCTTTTCCGGGTGCATTCTCACTTCTGAGTGCAGAAGATGGAATCGTCTTTTCCATCTACCAAATACTTGTTCAATTATGACCCGGGTCCTCCTATGGGCTCGGTTAAACCCCCTTTGATTTGCTGTGGCTGGCTCATGATATGGTGTCATAAGGTATGGCTTCAGTGCATAGCCACTGTCAGCAAGCAAAATTCCTTGCTCCAAGTGGTTGTGGTTGTTCTCAAGCTGCTGGCATATTTGAGATGTGTGGAAAATGTGGCTATCATGGGTGCTGCCAGGCCATCGAGCCACAATGTTTGTAAACCGTCCTATCAGAGGAGTATATTAAAAATGTAGTACATTTAAACGTGTGGTGTAATGGCTTTACTGATTCAAAAAGTTATTAATTAAACTGGACTAATCTTTTGGGACGCCCAGTACAAGTAATAGCAGTGTGATTATATATAATTATGATACAGTATCAGTATGTACCTTCATGATCACAAATGCCCTGTACGTTGATAGAGTGATAGCGCTTCCGGTTCACGTAATTATTCTCGTTATGATGTGGCGCCTGAATTCTGATGTGTGTACAGTCAACACAACCAATCACAGACGGAAAGCCAGCTTGTGCAAAAAAGTGGTTCTTTACTTTCTCGATTTCGTTTATTGAAGACGGCCATTTTATGAAATCATTTCGTCTTCTATTCAGTGCCAAAGATACATCTCTGACCGTTCGAGACACCGTTGATTTGTCAACACCGAAACTATCTCCAACAACTTGTAGGAAACTGCCGGAGGCATAAAATCTCAAGGCAATTAGGACTTGTTGTTGTGGCTCAAGTGCATGGCCTCGCTGCGTATTGCGAATTAAATCTTCATGAAGGTTTGTAATGTAATTTATTGTGTTTCTGCCAAACCTATACCTTGCCCTTAGCTCATCGTCGTAAAGGCCGTCAATATTTATGCCACGTGGACGATATCGTCTTTCCCGACGAGGATGATTTATTCGAAACAAATTAAAAGGAAAGCCTGCCATGTTTTATTTGCGAACTTGATACGTTAACCTAGGGTTAAGTAAGTTAACCCATCTAGCGAGGAGGGTTAAAGTTAACCCTTCCTTTAACCTAGGGTTAAAGATAACCTAGTTTTGAACAACGCAAAGTAACCCAGAGTTAAAATTTAACCCAGGGTTAAGCAAATTTAACCCTGGGTTAGCGTTAACCGGCTTTTGAACAACCGGCCCTGGACTATATATATAATATATATAATATAAATTATATATATATATAGTGTGATGGGTGCTCCAGATAACTGGGGATTTTAGTTACATGTTACTGTATATAGTAGATACCTGGAAATGTATTCACAAGCGTAGCTTATGCTACGAACTTAAGAAAAGAAAATAATGGTTCGTCTTATATCCTATATGTGTGTATGTACTGTAATCTATATAGTAATATAGTATTATATATCAGGTCAACGCGGTCAAACGACGAATTATTTCTCTTGCCCATGCGATTAAGTTATTTCCAGACGGACAATCGGTTTTCTAGAATAAATCAAGCTGTTCGGTATTGTGTTTGTATATATATAACGTCGTAGATTGCTGCAGTGTGTTTAAAATAATCGTCAAATGTAGCAGACTACGGAGTGTCCGATCACAACACTTTACCAAACGTTCATGTGAGCATTTATTATATATGATTTGATAAAGAACAATTGAATATACCTTACCTGTTTCGATATCATCATCAGCTATTGGCTTGACTTCCACCCTTTCGCATTTTCGTTCCATCTCGTCTTCGTTGTTGAAGTCGTTTTCGATCTTTCTTTTTGTCTCTGTCCTCAGCATATCCATTTGCCCAGACATTCTGTATCTTAGATCATTCAAAACAACGTAGTTTCGATTTTACTATTCTTCCGTCTGGTTTGAGTTGCATAATTGTAACAATACCAGGAAATGAATTTCTAAGAACATGCATTGCTCGTATTTTTATTATTCATGTTCGTACATGTCAAAGGTCAACAAGAACGATACCATGTTTTTTGAAAGGCTGCATTTTTAAAACTGTGGGCGCCTTAATTCGTGCCTGTCCGAAGTGCTTTATGACTATATAATTGTTAGTTGATGTATTTTTTGAAACTTTTGTTGTTCCTAAGAGGAAGTGGCATAGGGAAGACGATAATTTTTGGGGGGGCACATATTCATATATTCATGTTGTGCAAAATTAATTTCTTTTCAAATCCATAGTTTTTACAGGTCTATTAACATGAATATATAAATATTTGCCCCCCCCCTCCCCCCAATTATCGTCTCCCGTACGCCACTGCTAAGAGGGCCCAGTCTTATGGGTCATGCGTTGCCACTGGCCCACTGCCGAGGTGTAATATCAAGTATCAACTTGCTTATTTTGGTATTGCATCAATTTCTTCAATCAATTATCCACACGTTCTATTTATCTTCTCTAACCAGCGCAATGCACATTTTATATCATCGTATGGTGTATGTTACTAGACCTATATAGGATTTTCCCTTTATTTGAAATAACAAACCATATAAAAACTGTATATTCAGTAAAAAAATAGCATCTAGAGCATTGGCTAATAGGTAATTTACTGTTACTCCATTTATCGTTATCTTTTCTCGTGTGTTTTTAGTTTTGTCTTTGCCGTCTCTGCTTGTCATATAGTCGATCGTTGTTATTCTAATTGGTAAACCCTTCCGCCTCAGAAGCGCTTACATTAATTCTTGCACTAGTCATTCTGGTGATCCACAGAATGTTTTCATCATCTTCGGTGCATGGTTATATCTCTTATTTTCTTTCAGTGTCATGTTTTCTTTCGCGTTTCTTGTCTGTCTATACTTTAAACTTTATCTTGGAAAATATATCTCTCAAATATTTATTTATCTTACGTATATTACGTATAAAAGGGTTTTTCCATGCGGTATATAGCTTTCAATGCATACATTTTACGGTATTTTTCATGCACTTCACATTACTCTTGTATTTAATATCCATGTATTTTATTTGTTTTTTGTGTCAGTTGATTTTCATTAGAAAAGACAAAGTGTTCAACGACGTTGTTAAAATTTATTGCAAGCATGATTTCTTATTGTCATAAATATTAATATATATGGTCCGCGGTATATGCAGTATACATTATAGTTAGTTATGAATGTATTTAATTTTATGTTTTTGAAATATTCACAAAACTTAATTATTAAGAGAATTTCTTTGTTTTCAGATTCATGAAATATTAGCCGATGCCAAATTACCGTACAAAGATGTTCGTGTTGTTAAAACCAGAGAAGGTATATATACGCCACGCCGCTTGTTACTTTTCGCCGGTCGTTGCTGCATGTAAAAGAACAAACGCTATTATAGACCAAATTAAAATTACATTTATGTTTACATTGGTTACGATCTCGAACCAATGTAAACATAATTGTAACCAAACCAGAGAAGGTATATACCCCACGCCGCGCTTGTTACTTTTCGGCAGTCGTTGCTGCATGTAAAAGAACAACCGCTATTGTGGACCGAATTAAAATTACAATTAGGTTTGCATTGGTTACGATCTCGAAGAACCTAATGTATCCATGTTTGTCTATGCAAGGGAAACTTTTATTATTTTATTTTACTTCGCTTAGACAAGTGTGAGCTTTTTTTGATACACCTTGTGTATAACGCCAAAATGTAATGCATTCAACTTCGTGCACTTAAAAATTTTACATATCAGATAATCAGAATACAAGAATACATTGTACATGAAACACAGCATAAAACCAAATTTCAATTATCGTAATTTCAAAAATCTTTACCTCGCAGGATTTTCTCGTGGTTTCGCATTCGTTGAATTTCTGGACATGGAGACTGCAAAAAAATGGATTGATAATTGCAAGGTATGGAAAATTGGATATGCATTTTTAATATCGACCAGGGGCCGGTTGTTCGAAAGGCGTTTAGCTTCATAATAAGTTCAAAATGAAAAACAAAATTATCAATTTATTGAACAACTGAGCCGAAATATTTCAATGTAAATAGTTAAATTTTCAATGGAAGTACATATTTAATGCATAAGATGCAGGTTCAGTCATTGACAAGATCTATCAGACTATTTTTAAACTTTGGCTTATCCACCGTTTAAGCTAAACGCCTTTCGAACAACCGGCCCCAGAAGCGTAGATTGAACTTATAAACTGTTTTAGGCGCTGTTTATATGACCTCGGGTACCAGGGACAACCCCCGAAACGATTTCACCAAGCGTTTGAATGATAACGTTCAAGTAAATAAGAAGAGATAGTGTCTGCTTAAGAAATGTTCTATTCGCTATTGCGCACACGTCGGCAGGGAAAGTTAACCCTGGAGGCCGAAACAAAGTGTTCACATGGATAAAAGTTGTCCCTGCCGCTAGGGTTATAGCCTTTTCCCTAAACAGGGTGGTGTCCCTACCCCCATGCAGGGTGACCCTACCAGCCGAGGCGAGTTTAAAACCTTTCATATAAAACTTGCCTTTCAGCTGCTATAATATGAATATGATTTTATCTTTATCAAGGTATCTCGGGGGCTAGGGTGTCTCTGGTACCCGAGGTCATATAAACAGCGCCTTAAAGCGTGTAAAAAAATATATGCATCAATCCACCCGTAACTTTCGTGTGAACAGGCAAATATAGTTGACTACTGCGCATACTTGGCACAAAAAATGTTTGCATGCATAGATTCACAAGTTCCACTTCTGCATGTATTTCCTACTTTGTGCAATCTTTTTTCTACTACTACTGCTGCTAAATATAGTTAATTACTTTTTTTTAGGGGAAACTCACCATTGAAGATACGACGGTAATCATGGACTTCAGTCGTTCGAAAATGGCCGTAGAATCGCATCGAGACTGGGTTTGTAGCAAGGTGAGTAAAAAATAAGATGTAATAATCAGTCTTAGTGTTCCTTGACATTTTGATCAATTCTGTATCGTGTGTGATGTTTTATATGTTTATTTTATCTTCCCATAGTGCGGGACACAGAATTTTTCCTCAAAGAGGCGAAATACATGTTTTACATGTAACACACCAAAAGATGGTATGTCTATATTTGATCACCTTTTCATACTCTCCCTGGGGATTTTCCAGCAGTCTAAGACAATATAGAATATGTTATTCATTTTTCTCAGAAGAGATTTAATATAGCTATATAGTATTATGTTTAATTCCATTTGAACAATGTTTTTACCGCTTATACTAGCATCTAGCATACATGAGCCCAACTGAGATAAAAAAAAACATAAAGAATAATGCTAAACTACATTTGGGCGCGCGAGCAATACTGGTGCATCTTAATAAAATCCATACTGTTTTTTAATAGAAAATGATGAAACCAAAGAACTTGGTAGTACACCGTGTAAAGGTACTGTAAACACGCATAAAATTCTCTGCGGTATCTATACATAGATTGTTCTTGATCGTTGTCGTTTGTTAAAATTTACGATGTTTTCAGCTAACCTCAAACTGTATAGCAGCAGATTACGAGAAAACAACGGATATTTTTTTATTGTATACCTAAAATACAGCAAGAGATTCATTATTTGAACCAAAGGCACATACATGTATATCTGTTCAGGCCACCTTAACCACGATTATCACCACGACTGCTTCCATGATTACCAACACGACTGCCTTCACAATATCCACAATTACCACCACGACTGCCTTCACAATATCCACGATTATCACCACGACAGCCTTAATTCACAATAACATCACCATGACTACCATTTTACAAACAATCAAATCAAACCATTCTGCCACATCTCGTCTCGTCAGTCATTTAAACTAGTAAGACTTTTATGCAGTATCGGCGGTAACACCACAGCAAGTCTACTGAATGTCCTTTTTTCCATAATGGAATCTGACGTAGATAATAAGCTTGCTCGAATAATACAGTCCTATAACTGGTGCTTTTATATTACATTTACGAATTTGTCCTTGACTAAAGTATTGTGAATTCAATTCGGGATATCTCAATGGAGATTAGCGTTAAAAAACTGCTTCAATGCACCGTACAAAATGAAAACAATAAGGAATCGTCAACGCTGTGGTCAAGTATTCGTCAAAACGATGTTAGCGCTTTATTATTACATTTTGTTACAAAAGTTCTATGCTATATTTTACTATATAGTTCTCATTCTTCGAGGCCTGGATATTCTCACAACTGAAGAGACGGTATGTAGTATCCTGAACACGCATTGGTCACGCGGCGTGCGTGTAATGGTGACGCGTTGACACATTTAAAGCATAAAGTCAGCACGCTGTGTACATGATATGAGCGTGTGCATGCCTCCAAAACGATGCCAGCACGCCATTGACATGCACTGAACATGTACTGATCACGTACTAAGAATGCTCCTTCAAAGTGTGAGCTTACCATGCAGGATTATGGTATATGCCTACACGCAGGAATGCGTTGCCAATAATCATCAATCATGGCTCATTTAAAACACTCGATTGATTGATTGAATTCGTTTTAAACTGTCCATGATTATGTACTTTTATAGGCTGCGTATACATTTAAAATTAATAACCACTAAATTTCATGTTTTCTATTCTTCTGCACTTAAAAAAAGTACATTTGTATCACATTATATTCATGAAATGGCAGAAGCATAACTGCTATGCATGTCATGCATGAACTTCAACCAACCAAATTTCATCGAAATTGGGTATGAATAAACCGGTTATTCTACGAATTAACGATTTATATTCGGGGAACTTAGAAAGCATTTCACGCAGTTAAAGCTGAATTAATAACTATCTCAGGAATTGGGAGTATTTGAAATAATAACCTGTTGGAGCTATATCAACTTCTGGAACGTTAGTCTGGCTATGGAAAGCCAAGTTATTCTGGACCGTCAATTCTTGGAGAAATCAGTATTTTTACGGGGTTTTAATCGACTCTAGTTCTTTATCTCATCTCATGCCATTGTTTTTCAGATCCGCCAGTCGCTGGCCTCGTTTACGTCCACTCCAATCTTCGATGTGCGGCTTATTAAAGACAAGTTGACAGGCACGTCAAGAGGATTTTGTTTCGTTGAGTTGGGGTCCATTGAGGTAAATAAACAATTTTTACTATAGGTATATGACTTTATCAGTTTTAAGAACTTGTCATCTAGCCTGGGAAAGATCAGGTCTTAGTCTAGGAAGACCAGGTAAAGATTATACCAGTTATACTCAGTGAACTAATTGTTTTTACAAGAGAAAATCTAAGCTTACCATATTCGTATTGTCTTGTCTGATAGGAAGCGACTCAACTTAGGGAAGAACTCCAAACTGCTTCATTCACGATTGACGAGAAAGTATTGGTCATATCCTACGCCAAGTTTGCTACCAACCCATCCAAATCAGGGTAAATGGAAATATGTTGTGTGCAATTATTCATTACAGAGGCCGCATTATTGTACACGAAACATTTTCCGTGATTATCTTCCATGAACGATTCTAGTGCACGAATAGTGCAAAGTACAAGAAGCTTTCTACTCAACCAGAAAAATTTAAACTTTTGGACTAAAATACGATTTTCCTCTTTTGATGGATGTGAACGAGTAGATAAGTTACGGATGCTCAAATAGAACTTGTGCATCAGAGCATTCATAACTACTCCAGCTTTTCCATCTATCAAGAGACGAAAATGCAGCAAAAATTGCAGGACTATAGTGTAAGCCGGTTTCAGGTAGCAGGAGTGAAACAATAGGCAGAAATTGACGAAGAAAGGCGATTCACCTTTTTAATGATCAATTAAATATAGGACAGTCGCAGTTGGCAGCAGCTCGACAAGTGCTACTACCTCCGTTACTGCCACAACTACTTCGTCATCATCCACGGCCAATAAAACACGTTCCAAATTTGCAGCCAATGCCATAGCCCAAGCTCGTGCAGCTGCGCAAATGGGACACACCACTGACTCTCAGCTGTCGACCTCCATGGATCACTACTCTACTATAGAGGTATTTATAAATATGACATAGCAATAGGTCTTAGCTACCTGTAGCTGTTTCCGAAGCATGTATAATGCTGACATTGTTTAAACATAGCAATCTTACTGATATTCCTGTAATAATCTACTATATTCAAAACCAATCTTGGTTTCACAAAGAAATGATGTTATTTTGTGTCTTTTTTTGACAGGATACTTCCGCATCTCAGCAGCCAGGTTGGTGTAATTTTCTGTGGTTTTGCAGGTTTTAATAACTTCATAAACATCAACTGGGTTTTTTTCTAGCTGCGCTTATTTCATTTGCATATCTATATATTCAAATTGACCATTCCGACTCAAAAACATTATTGCTCTGAACGTTTTCCAGCCTCTTCAACAGCTCAAGACGTTACAACGAATGCAGGTGTATCAAGTGAAACCCCAACAGATCCCTCAGTTGATAAAACGGCTAAAGCTGGTGCGTCGCAGACCATATCATCATACGTTTATGATGCTGCAAGTGGCTATTATTACGATACCACAACAGGACTGTATTACGACCCTACAACACAGGTATAGATATGTATACGAATATGAACACTGTAACAGCTTTTCTCACCCAATTTGTAATATGCATCACATAATTTTTATTCATTTGTGACCCAGTCGGACAACTGCACAACAGAGTCTGTTGAACAAAGTATAAGATTTTGACTAAACTTTGACAAAATTTTACTAGAAACATGAGGGGGGGGGTTAATTTTTTATGTGCACCTGTTATATATACTAAATCAGGAAAACATAAATGCAGACTATGGACCATTGGTTAAACGTGAGCAATAGTTACTTTAGATAATCATTAGATCCTCCGAATATACTCCTTATGGTTATAGTAAAGTCTATTGGCGCCATTCTATTTTTAGTACTACTATAACAGTACAACCAAACAGTATATGTATTGGGATGCTACAACACAACAATATGTCACTGTTGTGTCATCTGCTGGGTCAAGGTATTGAAGCATTTGTTATATAAATTATCTTATCAAATATATTACGTACAGTAAAGACCATATAGATGATCAAAGACCATATAAATTTCTGAAATTAAGTTATTTATATACAGTGAAACACCCGCGACTACTGCAGCAGACCAAACTCAGGGTGCAAGTGAAATGGACAGTACGGCTGCTAGCAAAGGTAATCTTTCAAAATTCTGAATTTCTGTAAAAAGTATGTAGTAGTGGTAGTAGCTTTCCGCATGAAAATGTTTCACTGAGTAAACAGAAGAGAAAACCAATTTTTGTTTGTTTTTTTTTCAGAAAAGCAAAAGAAAGCTAAAAGTTTAAATGCTAAAAAGGTTCGTACAAGCTAGTGTTCAATCTTATAGTTACGGTCAAGTTTTCACAAAAGCATGTATATAATCCTTTCCTGGAGGGAGGGTAAATCAAATGATAGCTGAAGCATATGTTCACTCCTGTGTTAAGAGAGAATGACACGTTCTTAAACATCAAATAAGCATATCTTCAAATCAGAACTTTAATAGTTTTATACAATTTCAGATTGCGAAAGACATGGAAAGATGGGCGAAGAAACAAGCAAAAAATAAAGAAGCATCTCGTCCTCAGGCCACTGCACTAACCACACAGGACACGGTCAAAGAAAGCACTTACCAATATGATCCTAATGATTTGAAGGTCTGTACAACCAACAGTTGTTAATTGGGCTGCACATGCCACTAAAACTAGTTCCTTGTTTTAACACTTGTCTGTCGCTTGCATACGTGCATATTCACGCAGCTTTTGGATTAATTATTTCTTATTACTGTTTTCTAGGGTGGAATTAACATGAGTATTACTGGGTCCACTACCATCACACCACTAGCTACAGCGAGCCCACTGGCTGCTCTATCTGAACTAGACAATCCAACCGCACCTGCGATACCAGCAGGTATGTATTGGACGAACGCAAATGTCATAGAGACAGACTAAACTATAAAGGTGACCTAAAAACGTCTTTTTTAGCGGCCGGTAGCCTAGTAGCAGAATATGACGGTGATGATTCTGGAGGTGATGAAGGAAACAAGGAAGACGATTATACTGATTTAACAAAAATGGCTTGCTTGTTGTGTAAACGACAATTCCCAACAAAGGAGGCTTTGAGCAGACATGTTCAACTCTCTGACTTGCATAAGGTACGAGGTTTATAAATAAAGACTTATTAAAGATAATTTTACTGATAATTTTACTCGTCTACTGAGTAGAAGAAATGTACACAGACCAGTCAACATGAACTAATATGGTTTCTGTGATTACAAATTGGATTCTTGCCTTGGTAAATCTTTGTTTTCATAGAAATTTCCAAAATCGTTATGGAAGTGAGAACAGTTCTTAACACGGGGCACTTCTTTTCGATATTTCGCGTAAATACTTCAAAACATAGAACGTACCCAAACAAGATTCCTACTCATGCACTATAGTCATTGTATATAGTATATTGTATATTGTACGCCATTCACCGCTATAGCATGGTCAAAAATCTCAGTTGAATATTGTCTTTCATTTTAAATTTCTAGCAAAATTTGTTGGTTCAAAAGAAATTGAAAATGTCTTTTAATGAAATAGACGAGTATGAAAAAGAGCAGAGAGAGGTTGGTTGAACTTAGCCTCCTCCGCAGGCATCTCTTATGTATTAGCCTTTTCCCAAAAGAGGCCACAGTGCATTCTGGAATTGTTTGGAGGGAAAAAAATATGACAACAGGCGTCAAATATATCAAAAGTTTTTGGTATTTACTATCAATATCAACTAACTACATTGTAAAAAAATGAAATATCTCCATTTTACAACAAACATTTAATTTAAATGTGTGTTGCCATATTTCTTGTCCCTCCAAAACGGAATTTGCGCGACCAGTTCCGGGACTTTGGGTAAGGGCTAATTAAATTATATTAGGCATAGGTCACAACTAACCCATGCCTAATATAATTTAATTAAGAACTTTGCACCATAGAGTTTGAACCAGGTCTTCTACCAATGATCACGTCAACTGGGATTAGGACACGATCTATTTTAGGTGCACCAAATATTCCCTCTGAACGTCCATTATTTCAAAGATTTCTAATTTCTTAATCGGTTTTTAAACTCCTGCGAAAAGCCCGCTCAAAACAACCAATATTTTGTTGTTGTCTGCAGTGTCGGTTTGCTATTAATGATCTACATCCTCCTAGGTGAATTTACAGGAGGTTACATAACTTAAATTTTGCAACCAGCCTAACAAGCTATATCTATATGTACATTTCTGTTTATTATCATTATTCATTTCTTTGAAAATTGATTGTTTTTACATGCAATCAATGGACACCAAAATATTGGCATGGCGGGACTAAATCGTCGGGTTGGTTACGCCGCTGATGTCAACCATTTTAAATTTGCTGAATCTGTTTTTCAGGCAAAGTATCGCGACAGAGCAAGAGAAAGAAGAGAGTTATTTGGTCAACCAGACTCAGCACCACCTGGTAGTAAGAGAAAAAAAAAGGGAAAGATGTGAGATCTCATTTTGTGTATCTTACCAAAGCGATATGAATTGCAGAATATAAGAAAACTTACTTTTTACCTCCAGTTGCATTGCTTCTCCCAAATGCACTGCAGTGTCTATACACTTGATCTCTTTATTCTGTACTGGTTTGACCACTATTTTAAAGCATCTTCTTAGTTCGTGTTTGTGATATTTCTTATTATTATTCTCGGCATTCCTGAAATGACTATTTCTAATCCTCCGTACCATGATCTCTCTTACGTTATGATACAATAATTCCACCGAACATGTTATAGTATTTTAGTCTGGCTTTGACCGGCTTTGCTTCATTTCTTTTGGTTACCCGTCAATATCATCCGCGCTTCCAGTTTCAGGCTTAGTGGCAAAGAACTGTCTGCTTTAGGAAATATTTTCAAACACCTTTTCACCCTTATTAGATCGTACGAGCAACCGACAAAAGATGGCATCACGTCGGACAACATTGGCAACAAAATGCTACAAGCGATGGGTTGGACAGCTGGAACAGGTTTAGGAAAAGATCGACAAGGAATTGTTGATCCAATCTTGGTAAGAGAACTGCTTAGATATTGCATTTAAAATAATCAAATTGCAATAAATCGACCATGCTATACATACTTCCAAACTACACAGTTTCTAGCGCTGGATTATTTGCGCTCAGACAATAATAATGATCGCCTGTTTATGACGGTTGAGAAAGGATTCACTGATGAGAATAAGTATTTATCAAATAAGCCAGATGGCAGTAAGATTCTCATCAGTAATGACCGGACAATGAAATACTGATTAGTGATTACTAACCAAGTTCATAACGAGTTGCACTATCATTACAGTGAGAATGAAATGTTTTTATACAGGCGAAGATGCGAAATCGTACGGCAGGCCTTGGTTTGAAAGGAAGTGATTTCGGTGCGACTGCTGGTGACTCTGAACGCGATCTACTGAAGAAGATGGTATGTATTTGATGATTGCGATTAGGGCAAGAGCGACTTACACATCTGTCTCAATTTATAGCAGGTTAACTTGAGGGCGATGTTGAAACTACACTAAACTGTCCCTGGAGTTCTTTAAAGGTTCCTGCCTCCAGTGGCTATAAAAGGCCCTGACAATTTTAACTTTAGAAAACTGCATGTTATAATATTCAGACAGCTTCAGATTTCGTTCAAAACTGAGGGACACACCTTTTCATAAAATCTAAGATTTGATCAGCAGATCGATCATCGATTGAATTAGCCGTATTTTTATTTCCTTGAAGGCACAATCACGTTACAACGATGCATGAATGCTAAAGAAAGGAGACATTGCCAAGAGATTCTTGACTATCGGATGATGCATGCCCAGATTCATTCATTCGTTTCCTTCAACAACTATAGAACGTACGAATTCGAATACACTTCATCTTTAATACATTAATACTGAATTATACAGCGTTTGTCTGAGTAATTACAAACATTGTTTAGTCGTTGCTACTAATTGATATCCATAGCTTTGTTTACAGTGGCGACTTTAAGCTTAGCATTACTGGTCTGCATTTTGTAAAACTAGTGTTTTTTCTCAGCACATTAGTCTCTTTCCTCTGGCTCTTAACCGCCCAGGACACTGTGAAATAGATCTATTTTCTTGAACTTTGTCAATTAGAATGATTACTTTCAATAGTTATTCAAGGGGGTGAAATACATATTTCATGGCACCAGGGGAAACCCAACATGAACATTTGTAAACTCAATATTTTATTCTACAAAACTTTCAAAACATCTACTTATACTTGTAGTAAAATTATGGTTTATTTGTTTTTCACACAATAGTTTATTAGGTTGTAAAAATGCCGTTCGGTCTATAAAATTCTTCCTTGATTGTCGAACTACGGCTGTATTGCGCTGGCTTCATCACCTTCATTGCGTCTTTATTCTTCCAACCATACTCAAAGGAGCTCGTTATTGGAAATTCGTATTTATTCTCAGGAATAATGGTCTTTCGTTTCTCCAAATAAGCATATCTGCCCCCGCCGTCTGCACTGAATCCTTCGTAAAGTAACTTTGTTGTTGGCTTGGAAGCTGGTCGCATTTCTTTCGTGTATGTTTTTGGTTGACTTGCTGGCTTCGTAGTATCGGCTTTTTCGTCCATTGCATTGTCTGGTAACTCATTTAGCTTGATTTCCAGTTTTTCCTGAAGATTTTTCATAACAGGTTTCACGTCTACGCTGCCTTTTTTCGCCCTTGTCTTATTAAAACCACCTGTACGAGCAAATTCTTTCGAGTATTGAGTCTGCCATGCAAGTCGCACCATTGCCTCTTTTCTGATACTCTCCTTCCAGAAATTTTGCCTTTGCGTGTCCATATTCAGTTCACGCACCATGGTTAGGTCTTGGTTGGTCACAAAGAAAGCAAAGGATAGCCAATAAAGAGGCAAAGAAACCGCAAAGTTCAGGCTTGTATTTTATAAACACTTCGAAACGTGGTCAAATAAAATTGTAAATAAAACCATCATAGGTTGTCATGGCAACATGGTTTGAAGTTGGAGTATTTGTGGTCAGAGGTCAAGACACTAGAAAGAATTCATGTTATAGCGCTTAAAGTACATAATGATTTATGAGTTATGACCCCTTACCAAGAAGACTGTAGGTGTGCGGACTTTAAACGTCTGCACGAATAATTGCTTTGAAACGCATCAGTTATTTCAATATGTGTTATAAAACACAGTTCAAAGCAATTATAAAATATTTCTAAATGCAAACTCTTACAGTCTAGTCTTTTCTAAGTCTAGAGGTCTTTCTCCTAGACAACGTTACTTGTACATCTTTGTTCAGGATTTATAGATGTTTCCGAAGAAAAAGCGAACCTATTTTCAAACGTTTTGTTTTATACCGAGTTAGCTCAAAATGACGCAATTTTTTGCATCATTAAAAATTAACATATATTACCAATATTGATTATCTAAATTATAGGAACTTAACGTTTTCCAGTACAAAACGAACCTGTTATAAACCGGTCTTGTACTGACTCGCAATACTTTATCACGCACAAGCCGTCTTTTAAATAATGAACAAAATTGATTATTAAAGTTGGGGAAATTTGTGTACATTACTAATTTTCGCCTGCTTTGTATTTGAGATCAGCCGGTTAAAGATAGTCGAGAGATCGGGTTCAATGCAGTTTAGCTTAGTTGAAGTGTGTGCGAATATTAGTTAGATAAGACTAGTTTGATACATATATTCCGTCAATGCATGAATTGAAGTCTGTGAATAAGGTTAACAGGAAATAAGTTCATTTCTCCAATTGAAGATCCTTGGCTGTCGTAGATAAGATAGATAGACCTTGCGAACACTTTAGTTGAGTCCAGGTCTGCTCTGCCATGCAGGTTAAGGTCTGCTTAGCCTTTCCTTAGGTCTTTCATGTTTTTTCATAAATTATCAGTGATCGCCCTATAACAACATTTTTTGTACTAGTTATACTTCAACATCTGCTTTTTACTTGCATCCTTACGTGTCGTAGCGTATTTATTTAATTGCGTCAAAGGCGGTTACTCAGTTTACGAGATGCAAAGAAATTTAATTTGCATCGAAACGATACGCCATTCATCGAAACGTCCTGAATTTTAGGTTTGCCACAAAGTCCGACAAGTCAGAAGACATAATGTCTAAAGGGATGGATAGGGAAGTTAGGAAAAGTTCACAGGATAGTTCCTAAGGGCTGAGTCGAATACAACCTTTAATTAGTTTCAAACTTTCAGCGGATCAGCATGTGGTGAGATGTGGAGAAATATTCGACAGTGGTCGCATGGTTAATTGGTGATTATAACTGCCAGCAAACACAAAAAACCCTCTCCGATCGAATCCTTTTTGCAAAGAACGAGATATGTCGCTATGGTAGTTTAATCGACATCAGTTCGGTGCGACTTGCTTTAAGTGACGTGAATCGTTGCGTGCATTCATGTTGAACGAACATTTGCGCTGCATGATCAAGGTGGTCGTCGTGACTAAGGCCTGAATAAAAGCAAGTTAATTAATTACAGCCTACCAAATAATGTTATGAAATCGTTCCGCATCTTAACTGATAATGCTGTTACTTTTATAGACAATTTTTTCGCCGGAGTCTCAATGAAAGGTTATAGCTTATACGATATAAAAATGCGGTAGATATTACTTGCTCTGAAACGTATTTTGATTTATATTTTATGCTATATTTTAATATTGGCATAATCTGACAAGTGTACAGAGTAACAATAGTCCAAAAAAATACCTGCCATCATTTTGCCTGATAAGTAAACCTATAGGTTGCATTCTGGCAAGCAGGCAGCTGGGCTGGCTTTTGGGGGCAGCTTGAAATGTGATAAGTAGAACAGGCTCAGATTAAGAATTTATTTGCTGTTCTGTCAGTTCTGAGTAATCCGAGACCGAGAGAACGCCAGAAAGTTCCCAACATGTTTATAGAAGCAATGAATTAAAATTTGGGGAGATCAACTGGGATAATTTTCATTATAGAAATCCACATAGTTCTGTGTATACAATTTTCGTAAATAGCTGAACTGCTTTCGCGGATGTTAATCTATCTAACCTTCCTTATAGTCCCATAGTATACATTTACGGAGTGAAACACTCTTTATCCTAGTATATTGTCCGTGCCTGTGCTACATACACCTATCCAACACGCCACATTTCTACGCTCAGTACGCGTACTGCTTAAAAATATAGTTTTATAATTCAGGCAGTTTCTCTTTGTATACGAAATTGCGAGTTTAACCTTTAAAATTAACCCTAATAATATATAACACTTGATGCAGTACTATACTATAGTTTTATACTAGTTTATTTGAGCCAAAACGCCCTTCGCCTTTGCTTTGAGGAATCATGTACGCGCGTGTGTTTATATTTCAATTCTTGTCAAACTAGATTGGCCACTGTGTGAGTTTTGTTGTTTAAAACCCTGTTCTAAAGCGGTCATACGGGTATCTGTCAGTGCAAAAATCCTCTCAGGCAACTCGTTATTTCAAACTCATCAGTCAGTTGCAACGCGAACACAGGGCAAATCTTTTGCCGAAAGTCTACTAATTCCGAAGTCGGTTTAGAACTGAAACTTAACCTTATACTTAGTACGGACTTATATAGCCAGCTTTTTGTCAAAGCATTTGTATTTGTTGTATTTTTTATGAATGTTTAATGAAGCTAGAGGTCGACAGCGCTTTGAGTTGGCTTCAAGCGGTTTCAGCTTTTCTTTTCCACGCTGTCTTTTTTGGACTCGTTTTCTCGTTTGGAATTTTCTATGTGGCGTTGTTGGAGGAGTTTCCTGGCCAGGAAAGCGAAACTGGTACGTTTTATCCTTATTGCGTTCAGCTTGTTTCATCGGATGCCGACTGTTGTTTTATTCATCGATGATTTATTCATAAAATATTTGAATATCAATGCATTGTTGTGATACTGAATTGTGATCTTTCGAACTACGAAACCCAAAGCTACAAAGCTATGCCAATTTGAAGACCGACCGAGTTTAACTGCCTAGTAGTAATAGTAACTACTTTTAACTGACTTGCACGACCGATTGTTTTCTCGCTTGATAAATATTTTGAAATTTTTTTCATTTAACGAGTAGCTCGACACCCCATGTCAAGGAGTTTCTATATATATATAACAAGGTCTCCTATGGCTATGCCAGCGCTCAGACAAATGATTAGCTCTTCATCACTTCTTATAGGCCGTAACTGAATATATACACTCGCTTATTTAATTATTAGAAGTAGATTTGTAACTAAATCGCAACTGCATGCGGTAAATTTTAAAGCCATCTATTTATTAACCTGTTATAATCCATGGTTTACTGAAACATAAACCAAAACACGAGTTGGCATGAGCTAAAAGGTCAATCTGTGTTATGAGGAAAAACTACATCAGTTTGGATTAATGCGACAAAATATGATATGGTTTTACGACTTCAATTTTTTTTGCATATACATTTACCTATAACTTGAATGATTACGAGGCAGACTCCCGTTATCTTAGCCGGCTTCGATCGGTCTGAAACCTGTTTTCGAATGGATAACGAGCGAGAGTTATGGACGTTATGCAATATTTGAGTTGAGGACACGGGTATTTGGCACATAATTGTAACCCTAAAGGTTGGGAGACCTTTCTAAAACACAAAAAAAATGAATACAAAAAACCTTTATCATGTAATTATAGGCGTCTTTGAATTGATATCACTCAGCTCTCATTTACACCATAATTTAATAGGTATAGAGCCTTGCAGACTCATCCTGGTCACGATATTTTCGTTTGCGGTTAAAAAATCACAGAATCATTTTTAGCAAATTATTGTTGATTCAACAGGATTATTCATGATCTTTCGAGCTTTTGACATAAAGATTCTCACAGTCTTCCGATGCTCGAAAAGAACTCATCATTCATTACTTTTTCATAGAAAATCTTAAACAGGGTCTGAAATAATATGGCAAAATTTTAGGTGGGCCAAATTTACGTGGGAAAAAATCCAAAGCATTTTTTTCCGGTTATTAAATCCAGCCTAAGCGAAGATCACTATTTCAGTCGAGTATTTCTTATATAATTACATTGACGGTGCGTGACATTCACATGATGTTATACAGCAACAAAGTTACCACAATTGGCAAAATAGCACTAATTCATTTTGTAAAACTGCTTGCAAACAAAACCCCATTGAGTAGCTTTTGCGGGTCCACGCACCACGCTGCACGTGATTTGGCGACAAACAAGAATTCTTTAGTACTCTTTGTGTCTAAAATTGTCTCCGGATCGAAAATTACTTCTGAGAGCTACGTGAACCAGAGTGTGGTGGATACAATGTGTCAATATCAATTATTAGCTCAGTATTGATAGGAATATAGCTTGCGCAGCATTTCTTCGGTATGTTTTCCCCTTTCATTTCTGGTGTTCGACTCTCGGATTCCACTCTTGATATTCTGTTTGCTGTACTTACCCACGCGATTGCACTAAGCCACTAAATACCATATACTTGCTTCTACAGCATGGATCAGCGGAATAAACTTTGGTTTCGTGATGTTGACGAGTCCATTGACAATTAAATTGATCGATTACATGCCAGCGCGGGTGGTCTGCTGTGCAGGGACACTGTTGGCGTTATTGGGACTCTACCTCTCGTCAAAGGCAAGTACGATATGGGTTTTGTACATGACTTTCGGTGTTATGCATGGAATGGGCACGAACTTTTGTTACATATCTGCCATTTGGGTGATTCGACAAAACTTCCGAAAACATAGAGACGTCGCGTTCGGCATGGCCAGCGCAGGGAGTGGGGCTGGAGGAATATTGTATGGGATTGTGTTACCCAGTATCGTCGAGTCACGAGGTTGGCGCTGGGCGATGCAAATGGTGAGTTACATCACGCTTGCTTTCATCATCGTTTCCATGATGATGGTACCAGTGAAACAAGAATCGGAGAAATGCGGGAAACAGGAAAGGAAAAACTGGTTGCCATGGAAAACAAAGTTGAAGCAAGATAGGCTCTCAATCCCAAGTCCTTGGCGAAATCGCGCGTTCGTGGTATTGAGTATCGCCGTTTTGCTTTGTGCGTTCGTCAGTTTAGTTCCTTATTGTCATATTGTAAGTATCTTTATCGACGGATGTATTTGTTTTTGTTTGCGTTTGTGCTCGGCCCGGTTAATACATTGATCATTGTTGGAGTTTCACGTTGGTAAACTTTACTTTTCGGGCTGGAATAGCTTACTGCTATCATGCTTAATGGTATGAGAGTACCGACATAAAAATCGATGACATGTTTTTATAACTGTTTATTTGTTTTATAGGTGAACTATGCGATTCATCAAGGCGTAGGTAGATCAAAAGGAGATAGATTACCTCTTTTCATCTCTACTGGCTCACTCATTGGTCGGATTATCGTCGGAAGAGTTTCGGGTTTCCGAGGAATCAGGCGAATAACTTTGTGTCAAGTCACATTTCTGGTGGGGTGCCTAGCTACCACACTCTGCACGCTCGCCACGAATTATGCCAGTTTGGTTGTGTTCTGTTTGGTGTTTGGTGCATGTGATGGTGCATTTTCGTTGTTGATGGCAATTGTCGTTGATGACGTGTTTCTGGATAAAAATCAGGCGATGAAAGCAATGGGACAATTATTTCAAATCATGGCTATCCCGTACCTGTTGGGCGCCCCTCTTGCAGGTAAAGTTTGACTAGCAGCTGGCGAGCTTTGATTTTCCCTTCCATACAGATATTGATATACATAAACATAGATAAATCATTAGGTCACAAAAGTAGCTAATCTAACTTACTCATGCGTACTAGCTTATAGGAATAAGTTAAACCAGAGTTAGACCAGTAAGACCATTCAAGCAAATTATTAAAAAAATTAAACTCTTACGACAGAAATAATCAGTTGCTGCAAAACTAAATCTAATATTAAGGTACTGAAAGTAATTAATATGCCATCAGGCGGAGAATTCTAACGAACGTGTACTATCCTTTTTTTCCAGGTTTGATTTATACTAAGACAGGAAGCTATCAGGCTGCATTTTTCATTTGTGGAGCAGTTCTTTTTTTTGCCACTTGCCTGATTACATTGGTGCGTTGTCTTCTGCAACCGAAGCTTAGTAGCCCAGTCTTGACATTACCGGAAAAAATAGTCGTATCTCCAACGGAAGAAAGTACCAGAGACATTAATATTGTGCCTTGTACGTCTTCAAATCGGCTTATCAGTTCAAGAGCATGTAGCTTTCTTGACCTGGCGATTGAAGTATATGGAGAAAATCGTTACCAATCAAATAATTTGGCCGTTTATTCACCAAGCCGACGTCTGGGCGCGAGAAATAGAAAGGACGGCAAGATTTGCTTCCAGGACTTCTTGGAGAATAAGGCTTCCCGGATTGCTGGAGAAAGCAATGAGCCTGAATATACCGACATAAACACTCAGATCTCAGGACTGATGGAAACAGAAAATACCGGAATAACAAAAATGGAGGAAGATTGTCAGGCTGTTCAAACTCAGGCAAATTTACTGCAAGTCGATAACAAGGATGTTAAACTATTGGTGCCCAAGGATAATAATGCCGTTACATGCCTGGATGGACACTCCTCAGATGCGAGTTCGGTAGAGAATACGGACTATGTTTCCAAGCAAAGATTGTCAGGGTCAAGCACCGATGATGCCGGATATTTCTCAGCTGCTGCACTGGCAAACTATGTGGACAGCGATGATCAGTCTGTGACTTCTAGATGCGATGTAAGCATACGTATAGAGTCTCAAAATGAATCGTTGGATAGCTTAATGGATATAGACTATAACAAGGATTTTAACGATAATACAAACGTTACTATCAATATGGAGCGGAATATTGAACATGTCACCGGGATGCCAAAAAACGTCAATAGAGTGTACGAGTGATCGATACAAGAAAGAAACAGAAAAATGGAAACGAAAAAAAGGAAAATGATGCTTCAGAACCGTAATAGCATAATCTGTTTTGGGTCGGCGAACACTGAATGTCACAAATCCTAAACAGAACTCCAAACAGAACTCAAGGGTAGAAACCTAAGCAAAAACTTTTTTGAATTTAGTTTTGTCTGCATTGCCCTCAGAATTGCAATCAGATAAAACCACTTGTGGTTAAAACTTTTTCGCAGGAAAGTTTTTTAGCAACAGGTGAAATCTTGGCCTCTGATTTCCTAGATACAGAGGATATTTGATACAGATTCAAATGAGCAATAATATATTTTGTTGAAAAATTAATTTTAATCTATTGTTATAAGTTCGTAGAGCGCACAGTCAGGTTCAAAAGTATGGTTGGTAGAAAATACCTATAAACATTATTTAAAACGGAACTACCAGGGGCCAGTTGTATAAAATTCTTTATCTTCATTTTGCATAGTTAAATCCTAGTTAACTCAGAAACACACGCGACTCTGATTGGCCAATTCTCTCCTTAACTACAGTTAAAAGTTAACTAGTCTTTTATACAACTGGTCCCAGGTGCTCAAGCCCCCTTCTCCTCCTCAATTCAAGCCCCGTTTACACTACGCGCGATATTTGGTACGGCTTCATCCTCCTGGGGACGAGGATGGTAAGCCCCGTTTACACTACACTCGATTTATCCATCGGCACGGCACGGCTAAAATGGGTGCCCTTTTTATTCGTGCCCGGACCGAGTGTATTGATAGCCTGAACACTAATAAAATTGGGTACGCGTACCCATTTTATCCGTGCCGTGCCAATAAATTGAGTGTAGTGTAAACGGGATTCTAGTAGTCCGAGTACGGATAAAGATGGTACGGGTGCCAGTTTTATCCGTACCGTACCACTATCGCGCGTAGTGTAAACGGGGCTTCAGTGTCGCTGATGTAATGAGCAACATGTACACATGTACACACGTGTTAGGTCTGAGCAACATTGATTAGGGGGAGAGGGGGAACGTTGCCTCCCAAGACTTTTGAAACAGATTGCAGTTTATTCAGATTTAGTATAGGATTATTGTCTCGTGGTCAAAGTACAGTATAATGATGCTTTGCAACATCTATGTAATTCAAAATTGAAATACCCATTATAGTAACGAGTCTGACATGATTATAGATAAACAGATATAATAAACAGATTATTACATGCAGATACTAGTATATTTATTCAATATTTAATATATTTAAATCACTTATTTATTTTATTCAAACATGTGATGTACTTTGATGGTGTCTGCTAATGCTTCGAATGTTTTTTCAGTGACGTCTCGGAGCTAAGGCTGCTAAGCTGGAGAGGGAGAAACTATAACCCCGCCAACCCGCCAACCCTTTGTCAGTCAAAATTATATAGTAAAAGACCTCTACCGTACCAGAATTCAGGGCTCATACATTCGAGATTCAATGATTCCAGAGATGTGATTAGCACTGTAAGTCCTCGTCACGACGTCAAGGTTGTCCAGTTAAGCGTGAGGTAGAAAATGCAGAGTGCATGTCAAGTGTTATAATGATTAGATTTTTTTTCAAATTGCAAAATGAAATTATTCTAAAAATATTGGGGATAATTCAGGGTGCTATAATATAGGTGACATGGGATAATTAGATAATAGATATTCGTCCGCCACACTCCAAAATCTGGGGAACGCGTCCCCATCCCCAGGAATGACGCCCGCGTTAACTTTTATTTGAAATCACATGAAATCATTATTATTGAAAATTTGAAATATCTTTTTATGAAAATGCATGACTGGTTGGACTGGTGCGAAGTACGCATGACCATTCGGAAAATTTAAAAATCAAATGAATTTTCAGGGCCCAAGTGGAAGGCACTTTTAGGTGCATGCAGTTAAAATATGTAGCTCAGTGGTATGCATAAAAAGATCAAGAACACCTCAGGCTGAGCTCTTTAGTCTTTTCCACGTTGCTGTTTTCACCTCAAGTACTCCGAAAAGCTCAAAAGCAGTTAATCGCCTCAAAAATGTCTGGATACCATCGACCTGACCAAAATAAACTGCAATTACTGAACGACATCGCAAATAAGCTGCGAATTCATAGCATCGAATCCACAAATGCATCGAAATCTGGGTATGCTGTTGTTGCAATTGTGACCAATATTTATGTTATGTAACTTTTGTTTTCAACAATCATATATTACATTTCTGTGCTTTTCAGGCATCCAACATCATGTGCTTCTATGGCTGAGGTTATGTCTGTCTTGTTTTTCCACACAATGCGCTATAAAGGTAATTAAGCGACATGAACTCTGATCGCTGTAAAAACTATCAGAAGAAGTTCTAAATTTAACATACTTTTAATATTAAATATGTCCCATTTAATACCCGCCAGTAAGTTATAATTTTTTGCTGCATACTTATCAGAAGTGTAAACTGAAAAGCATTGCCTTTTTTGGAAGAATGATGACACATTTGCTGTAGATTTTGGAAATCCTTGTTTTGTATTTTGCATCAAGTTTTCGATTGCAATAAAATATGAGTATAGACACACCCCCATTTGAGTTATATAACTTAGGTATAGAATAAAAGATCACGTCTGCTGGAGTTTTTATTGTTCTATTTGTTAGTGTTGTTGATTGTTAAGACACATCATTGAAAAAAAACATTATATTGAAATATATATAAATTGATTATTCCAGCTATTAACTAAATTTTGATGTAGGCAGGAAGGAAGCAATCTGAAACCACAAATAGCAAAAACATATTGTAATTAATGACCAAATCTACAAATTTCCAAACGTTTGGAACCGTCTTCATATATGTGTTTTTTACTTTGTAAAATGACAGTAATATTTGCCTATTTATCATATTTGAATATCACTTAATTGTAAAATAATGGACAAAATTGTCAGTACATATGCTCTTAATTAATCATCTGAACCCTTTTGCTGGTAATCTACCCATATGTTCTACTTTAAATATAATGTCAAAGTACTATTCACATCTTGCAAATGTGTTCAATGGAGATATTTCAAACTTTGGAAACTACAGGATAATTTTGGTTTTTAGTGACTGATCCTAGAGATGCTTCAAGTGACAGATTTGTTTTGTCAAAGGTATTCAAATCAATTATTCATCTACAAATTTGTTCTAAGTGCAGAACAAAATATTATCGGAAAAAAATTAAAATTAAAGAAATTTGCTATGGATTTGAATATAACATAGTATATGTAATATATTAACTGTAAATTATATGATAGGAATGATATATTTTCAGGGTCATTCTGCCCCCATTCTCTATGCTGCTTGGGCTGAGGCTGGACTCTTTCCAGCAAGTGACTTGTTGAAGTTGAGGAAAATTGATTGCGACCTGGAAGGCCATCCTACGCCTGTAAGCAATTTACTCTTTTATTTGAAATTGAATTATTTCTGTAGTTTTTAAATATGGTGCTTTTTTATTACGGATACATTTTAATTCTATTCTAATTGGTATTTAGAGATTGAGTTTCGTTGATGTTGCCACCGGCTCACTTGGCCAAGGTCTTAGTTGTGCAGCAGGAATGGCATATGTTGGAAAGTATTTTGATAAAGCGAGGTAGGCAACTTTTTTTCTTGGGGTGGAGGAATATGACATAATTATACAATTATCCTATAATCCCTAATTTATCTCTTACTAAGACTGAAACACCCAGTAAACTAGCTTTTAGTTGAGTAACCCAGTAACTGGAGCTATGTCTCTATTAATTATACCCTTGTTCTCTTGATGTTAGATGTCAGGATAAAATACTGATTAGGCTTAGTTTAAAAAATTGTCAGCTAAGATTATACATGGCAGTTCAACAACAGCGAAAATTAGCAGTTCAGAATGGAGAATATTTTTGGTGGAATTTAATTTGACTTAGATTAAAGGGAACTAATCTATAAGCACTGTTTAACTTCTTAACGACCTGTTAATTAATCAATTATAATTTTGGCTGTTATAGCTACCGTGTGTATTGCATTATGGGGGATGGAGAGTCGATGGAAGGCAGCGTCTGGGAAGCAGCAGCATTTGCTAGTTATTACAAGCTTGATAATCTTGTTGCAATTATTGATGTGAATCGCTTGGGTCAAAGTGAGCCAACCAGCTTGCAACATAATGTTGATGTTTACAAAGCCAGAATGGAGGCTTTTGGGTAAAGTGTATAACATGTATAAGATATATATTGTCCACTAGTGTCTTAATTTTTTCAATGTACTTTGCAATATGTTACTCTTGTGAAATTATAGCTATGACTGACTTGAAAGACAATATTAAATCTTTTTTAAACTTGAAATTTTTTTTATTCATTTTATATTTTCATTTTAGTTGGAATGCTATAGTGTTAGATGGTCATGATGTTTCAGCATTGTGTCGAGCATTCTATGATGCCAGTCAAGCTAAAGGAAAGCCAACCTGTATTGTTGCCAAGACCTTCAAAGGAAAGGGAATTACTGGTAAGTTTCTTGTGTAGTTACTTTAATAATTTCACATCCAAAAACCAAGGGAACAGGGCATAAATCGAATGACTTCTGGTCTTTATTTGCAAAAAAGTTGTAACTAGTTGATTTTTTGCCAGTGTAACTTTGTCAAATTGTAATCAAGACATCGGATATTACTCTGCTCGCTTTAGGTATTGAAGATGAGGAAAACTGGCATGGCAAGGCTTTAGGTGACAAGGCAGCAAAAGCCATTGAAGAAATTCAATCACGCATTCAGAACAAGGGACCTCATGGCCTTGGCCCACAGCCGGTCATTGATGATGCACCAGCTCTTACCCTTGATGCAAAATTGAGTGAACCACCTAACTATACATTAGGGCAAAAGGTAACATTATTATTTGTATTTTCTAGCGGTTTTGGAGTAACAACATTCTTTGCTATTAGGCAACATTCCTCACTGTTAGGACAAAGCTCTAGCGCTAGCTCTTGAGGACTGAAAATCATTAGTCACGATAGTTTACTAATGGGAAGAGTCTGTGTCAGTAAGTTCCGAACTTTAGTCCATTTTTACAAAAAATATGCATTTTTCAGCGAACGGAATTTTTTCAGACAAACAAACGCTAGAAGTGTCGAACTTTCCATAAATTCAATTAACAAGGAACCAGAATGAATGAATGACTGCAAGGAACCAGAATGAAGGAAAAAACTACGCTACGCTGTCAAGCGTTTTAGAAGGAAAAGATATACATTCCATAATTTATTTCTATCAAGCCACCTTAATAGGAGTGTGGCTCACAGCTATAGTCACAATAGAATACATCATCGTTCAAATCGTTATAGTGCATGATATAAAACCAAGTTGTTTTTTTAGATCGCAACTCGTGAAACGTATGGCAGTGCATTGGTGAAACTATACAAAAACTGTCCCAGAGTGGTCGCTTTGGATGGTGACACTAAGAACTCCACTCACTCCCTTAAATTGAAGAAAGTCAGCAATGACAATTACATTGAGTGCTTCATCGCCGAACAAAATTTGATCGGTGTTGCAGTTGGGTGTGGCACACGTCATCGCACCATTCCGTTTGCAAGCACTTTTGCATGTTTCTTGAGCCGTGGTTTTGATCAGATTCGCATGGCGGCCATTTCCCAAGCGAATGTTAAGTTCTGTGGCTCTCATGTTGGTGTTTCCATCGGTTAGTGTTTGAAATTTTCCTATTATTTATTACACAATTTCACATTTTTCCACGGGCAGTATTTTGATCAATTTTAGTGAATAAAGAGGACCTTGAAATTACTGGGTGTCACTGACAGTTAGAAAAAACATGCTTATAAAAATAAATACATTACCATACACGAATGTTTTATGTTTTCAGGAGAAGATGGTCCTTCCCAAATGGCCCTGGAAGACATCGCGATGTTCCGTGCAGTCCATGGTGCCTATGTTTTCTATCCTTCTGATGCAGTTTCCATGGAGCGGGCCGTAGAACTCTCCGCTAACACTGAAGGCATTTGTTTCATCAGATCAAGCCGTCCTGCTACTCCTGTTATTTATAATAACGACGAAGTTTTTGAAATTGGAAAGGCTAAGGTAATCTACAATTGCATTCTTTTTCAAACCTATAATATTTCTATGCCATGCCATGCCATGCCATGCCATACCATACCATTCCATGCCATACCATGCCATGCCATACAAATACAATACCATACTATACCACACTATGGTAAAGTACATCATGCTATTAGAAACCATACCATGTTATACGTTAATATTTAGTTGCATATTACATACCCCACTAGACATATATATGCTTTTCTTAATCAAAAATCATGAAATGAATACTTTATAAATAATCCCCCCCTATATTACTCAAGGTTGTAAAGAAGAGTGACAGTGACAAGCTTCTGATCATCGGAGCTGGTATCACTCTGGTTCATGCAATGGAAGCCGCAAATGAGCTGGCTAGCGCCGGTATCAATGCTCGCGTCATCGATCCATTCACAATCAAGCCTCTCGATCAGGAAGCCATCATTGCGAACGCAAAGGCTGCTGGGGGAAAAATCATCACTGTTGAAGACCATTATCCTGAAGGTAAAGTATTTTGAGCTTTTAGAATAGAGTAATAACATAAACTATATACTGGGAGAGGGGACTACCTCGCCACGAACTTTGTGTATATAATACCTTTTGTGTCGTCGCCAGCGGCATACACCCAAAAACTCACAGTTTCAATCCTACTTTTCTTCCAGGTGGTATTGGTGATGCAGTTTGTTCTGCTGTCTCAGCAGAAACTTCAATTTCAGTCCACAAGCTAGCTGTGAACGGTCTTCCTCGCTCTGGTCCTTCCGCCGCTCTTTTGGACATGTTCGGGATAAGCAGCAAGCATATCGTCGCACTGGCCAAGAAAATTGTTTAAGAACATTTCTAAGCAAGGAATTGCCTTCTGTTGCCATATAGGCCTAAAATTGTCTCGTTCTTACATTTAATTTTTCGTTTAAATGTGATTTGGCATAAAATTTAACGTAACTAATACATTTTTTCTTTAAATAATTGTAGGAATTTATATCTATAATATGCTGTTAATTTTACGTTATATGATTGTTCGTCTAAATCATTCCGTAGGTATGAGTAATTTTTTCATAGTTAATAATATTATTCAATAAATATACAATGTTCAATGTTGACTTATTTTGTGAAGTAGATGAAACCTTCCCGAAGGTACTTATTGTTCTACGTTTTTTTTCTTGCTCATCGCAATTACTGAGTTTAAGGTGGAGTAATACGGCAACAAAATTGCTACAACTTAATTGCAACAAAATCTGATTTCAACGCATGTTAATTGAAAATGTTTATATACATATAAACAATCACAAGGCGACATGTGTTGACATTTCTACTTAACATGCGTTGAAATCAGATTGTGTTGCAAATTGCGGCAATTTTGTTGCGCGTATTACTCCATCTTCAGGCGTGGTTTCCATTTACGATTTATTGTCGTGAACACTGAACACGTCAAGTTTGCTGATGTAATAGAACATTCCTACGTGCATGCAGCGCAGTCAACAATGACGACTTCAATAAAGTGAACTACTTCAATACAGGAAATGAAGACATCTACATTCAGATCTCATCGGTTAAAATAGCTTGTTCAGGACATAATAGGAAAATCAGGCTTGATTATGCTTAAGGTAGTGTTGTTGTCACGGGACCAATAACGGACCCCAGGACAAATTAGTGAGCTGGGGCTCCCCGTCTTGCTGTCCCAGGCAATCAACAAAGGCACGGCCAGCTATGCCTGAGGGGGGACTCTCACCACAACAGTGTTGTACTTCCAAACCGATCAGGCGACTACGATTAATCGTTGACTAATGACTAAGCTTCATCGTCACGTGCTTGGCCACTTCATGATGTCATCAGTTTTAATTTGCATCCATGAATGGAACGCATTGTCTTTCAAGATCGAGTTAATTTGCCTAAAACAGCGAGCTTTTCTTCTAAAATCTATGTTCAGCATTGCGAAGAGCTTCTTTTAAATAACGTTTCTAATTCTTTACTCTTATAACACTCGCACTATTTTCAAACTTCACTGAGACCAAACATCCACATATATCCATTGCAACCCCTCCAACCATTTTTGCGGCTTAGTTATCCTTCCTTTGTGGTCGTTCACCCTAATTATCCCCCAAAAGGCTCCAAATATGGTTATAAGAAGGCGTGTCTTAACTCGTCACGTGACAAAACAGTACGTCAACAAAAATAATAAAATCATTTCATAGCAAAGCTCGAAACATCAACATTGAAAGAAGCTGGCATAATAATAACTGTACTTTCTGGTTTTTAACATTTTTTTAAGATAAAATGTCTTCTCCGTCCCCTGGGAAAAGACGAATGGACACGGATGTTATAAAACTGTATCCTAATTGTTTTAATACGCCTAAAACCTACTCGAATCCGACAGATTTTTTCATGTATTAAAAGTTGCCACTGTTGTGTTTTTGAAATGCATCTCTATGTACGTTGCCTCCTTTTTTTTCTTAACCTGTTTTACAGCATTGAAAGCAAGCACGAAGTGACTATTCTTGGTGGATTAAATGAATTTGTTGTGAAGTTTTTTGGGCCAACAGGCAGTAAGGAAATTGTATTGTTAATGCATACTCTAAATAATATTTCGTCAACACATATAAAGTTTCGAGCATTTTCTAGTTGTGTTCCTACTAATATTTCTTCGCCAATCGCTTTGTGCATTTGGTTAAGCAAAAAATTTAGTTATTTAACTGTCTCTGTTTGGTTCGAGGATTTACTTTATTTTTCCCCATCTTACGAAGATATAAATCATTTTTAAATGCTTGATTTAAATATTAAATAATATATTCAGCCATTCCATTTGTAAACAATCTAGTGGCTTTCAGAGTTTCAGACCATACTATATATATGTATATATATAACTATTTGTTCTTAAAGCAAAGAATCGGGGAGGAAAAGGTTTTATTTTCACTTCTTATAGCTCTATGATAATTCACGATTTCCTCATACAAATTAACAGTGCATTCATAGATGAAGTTTATGAACTAGACTGACCCACATATCTTGCATATTTTATGCTTGTTGCGATGCAATGATATGCCTGTAAACCTGCTTCTCAATTTTGTATCGACATAATGCGTGGATATGCATAATTTCCCTTGTTTATAGTGCTGAAACTGGGAAAGGGCACCAAAGAGTCAATATTAAAATATATTATTAATATTTACATATTGTGTTACATAAATACATATATGCATTTACTAACCTATCTGTTCTATTCATTGAGAGTAAAAAAATACATTAAATCACAACAACATTTGGGTGCAGGTATTTGTCATATATATGTTCATCATACCCTAATCTCAACAAAATTAAGAGAATCCAAGCTGCCCTAGTCTTGTAAATAACATAATTAACAAAAGGTATTCTGAACTAACAAAAGAATAGAATTATTTATCAATAGAACAGTCAGACTAAAAGCAACAATCTTTTCACAAAAGAAATTTAACATCTGCTTTAATTATAACTTCCCAATGTTCTTGTAAACTAACTCTCTGGGGGCCCTTAGGCTAAAACATAGAAAGTTTTCTTGTATACAACAAAATAATCACACTGTGGATTTGGGAAGATATATTTAAGGTGAACATAGAAATAATATTAGGGTGTCAGTTGTATGTTTTGTGTGAGATATATCTAAATCAATCACAGAGGTTTAAAGGGTCTTAAGTGGAATTATATACACTTCAAATTCAAGCCAGGAACAGTTGATGAAAAATGAGTCAACTATAGGTCCTCCGGCAGGAATCGAATCTACGCTTTTGCGATGCCTCAATGGCAAGAGCATTGCACTGGCATCGCAAAAGCATAGGTTCGATTCCTGCTGGAGGACCTAAAGTTGACTCATTTTTCCATCAACTGTTCCTGGCTTGAATTTGAAGTTTGTATAATTCCACTTGAAATTAAGACCCTTTAAACCTCTAGAATTTACCTGAATCGAGTGAAGTGCCAAAAATCATAACTAAATCAATCACAGTTATTAACCAAAAGCAATAAAATTGTGTCCTGTCATGTGCATACTAGTACGTTTATACACTAATCTTTGCATTTTCTCCTGCCTACCCACTCCTAGTTCAAACTAACACATTGACAGAAGACTTAAAGCACTTATACAGATATAGCTGAAAGTACATACTTCTACTGTTGATTGAAATTGTTTGCTATTACCTAAAACAGAAATCCACTGTAACTAGTGTGCATATTTCGACAAATTGAATGCCTTAATCTTCATGGGATATATAACTGCAAAAGTCATGTTCTTGTAAATGCATGCAAACATTTAGCAAAGTTTGTCAATATGAATTACCCATAATAATACCTTATTTTTCCATAGAATCCTTTGATTATTATACTACTTTAAAGGGTATTGATCCTCTTGGGGTAACCCTCAAACAATTCAAATTGTTTTAATATAATATGAAATTAAATTTTTAAGCATTGTACGAGGGTGGTGTATGGAAAGTTCGTGTTGATCTGCCAGATAAATACCCTTTCAAGTCACCATCAATAGGTGAGTGCATGTGACACTTTTTACTTTTTTATTAGAACTAGATTATGCCTTTGAAAAGTAACTGTTTTAATTTTGAGCATCATTGGTGTTATGTTTTATGACCATAACCACCATATTGCAACAATAGCCGAATAAGAGCAATACTTGTATGAAAAAATGTTTAAAACAGACTTGGTTTCAAAATGATGATAACTTTAATGTTATTATTTTGCCTTGTTTAGGTTTTTTGAACAAGATTTATCATCCAAACATCGATGAAGCGTAAGTTTAATTATATCTCATTTAAAATAGTTTTTGACTTCATCAACAGAATTTTGATTTCAATAAATGTAAGAAATATATGTTAATGTATATATATTTGTATATTTCATTTCCAATGCTTCCTCAATTTTACAGATGGCATAGAATTTGGGACAGGCAGTCTTTTTATAACAATATTACTCAATTATAATACTCTGTGTTTCTTTCAGTTCAGGGACAGTATGTCTTGATGTCATAAACCAGGCCTGGACAGCTCTATATGGTAAGTTGATACAGTTTTGTGACTAAAGAAAACAGCTTAAAATCTTTGTTGGTTAGAATGTGATTTTGCTTGTGTTTAAGACATCTTTTCTATTGTAGATCTATCAAATATCTTTGAATCATTTCTTCCTCAATTGTTGGCCTATCCTAACCCAGTGGATCCATTAAATGGTGATGCTGCTGCTCTATATCTTCATAAACCAGAACAATATAAAGACCGAATAAAAGGTACAGTAGAATATTGTGTGGTTTGGTGAGTGAACAAACAAGGGGAAGAAATATATTAAAATGAAGGAAGAAAGATGGTACAATGATCAAGCACCAAAGAGTGAGACCTTGTTCAATATTTGCTTGGTGCTAATTGTCTTTATCAAGACAGGTGGAGGGTGTAAAAGAGTGTAGACATCATACAAGCTATCTCTATAGTTTTGTGTTTTCGTAATTTTCTTCTTCTGATCTATACAAGTGAGTGTGAAGAGTTATGAATGCTCCGTTATGATTGCCTTTATTTGCAAATCCGTAACTTATCCACTCGATCACATATATCAAAAGAAAAAAATCGCTCCCAAATTCGCAAAAAAATCGTCCGTGTAAACTGGCCTAACTCTACTACGATTAATGAACTTTGGTTTGCGGTGCAAAAGACAAGATAACCATTCAACCTCGTTCCTAGGGCATTCGCTCTTCGCTTACTGGAGCGTAATGAGCGGATACTCTGGGAACGAGACTGGATCAGTTCACTAGGCTGGATCAGTGGGCTGGATAAGCATTAAGATGAGCGACTATTTTACATCCGCCACTTGTCACGATAGCGAAGGCTATGAAGACAAGGCTTAAAAAGGGGATATTTCATCCTGCAAATTGTGAACGGAACCCACTCTTTGTGTTGAACACTTAATAAGCAAAATAAAACCATAATAATTTGTCAAACAGAATAATTCGTTTATTTTCAATCCCAGCAATAATTCCCTTTACACATTACCCAAAAAGCTTCTGAGTTTGATACACCGTAGTAAGGAACAGAAGTGAAAATATTTTATACTTTATAAGTGGCAATTGAAATTATTTGAAAACACTCACATCGCATATTAGCGAGTGTTTAGATAGGAGATTTACATTTTTTGCATGTTATAACATTCTTATTCAACTGTTAAGATTACATCAAGAAGTATGCGACGGAGGAAGCGTTAAAAGAACAGGATGAGATGAGCTCATCAAGCGAGGAAAGCTCTATCTCTGATTTCTCAGAGGACGAGGCGCAAGATATGGAATTATAGCACAGAAACAGAGCATTTTATATAAATAATAAATTGTACAGAAACTTTCATATATGCTTGCAAGCAAACGAGCCGTGTTGTCTCTGATCATAAGGTGCATGAGGCCGCCACAAACACGATAAACGTTTTAGTTTCAGAATAAATAGGCAAACAATCGCGCTTGATTGCAAAGAACATAAAAATCACAATGAGGTTTCTGGCATATTTCTTATGAAAAATATTTATAGAAAACTACTTCCAAGAAAGGTCTCCTTAGGTGTTCGTCAGATAGAAGAAAAATTTAAAAATATTTCACGTCAATTTTGTAAACAAATTTTATTTTATGTTTTGCGCATCGTATGTAAATCAGGACTTTTTCGCGGTCTGCATGAATATGTTTTGCAAAGGTGTAGATTACAAACTCAAAAAAATGTTAACAATGAAAAGTCAACCGAGCTTACATGGGTATAGATTTGTCTAGAAAAATAAATGCTAAGGATAATTTTGATTCTTTTGTTAGTCTATGCTTTTTTATCAGAATCAAATGGTATAGATATAGGCTTTAAAAGAGTTTATATTATATAAGAGAGTTTCATTAATATATACTAGAAAATTTGGGGACAAAGCGGTTCGTTTGCTGCCAGTCTTATTGTAAATATTAGGCCATATATAACCCTTTTGTACATTGCATTTCATATTTCCGACCTTAACCACGATGTCTTGATTCCATGGATACTAAAAAACACCGGAAAGGAAACTTAGCATTTTTCAAGAACGATGATTTCAATTATTTCAATGGAATGTTTGAGTCACGAGTCAGCTTTATTGGACAGCGAGATCTGATCTTCAAAGGAAATTTCCTATCTGGTGCTTCCAGCGTCCATTTCCCATGATTGCACACAGTGCATGTATATTACAGATTTATATACATGTATTGTGTATTTTCTCCCAGTATCCATTGCACGTAGCAAAGTCGTATATATATACATATATATAAATATTCTCAATAATTGATATTATTTAAATGCAGATAGGTAAGGCTGCTTAAATATTAAAAGTATAGTATTAAAACTTTAGGATGTTGAAATTGGCGGTTTCTCGTTGTAGTGTAGATACATTATAAGCAAGCATTTATGGGGACAAGTTTAGCCTTCAGTTTTGGTAAAAAAGAATGAAAACTACCAAGCGAAAGTTTCACCGTCTCGTTTTACCGTTTTATCTTATGCCATAAAAGTGCTATTCCGTGCAATTTGCATTTCTCATGTCAGCGACGCCTATATAGGCCTCGTTGTTTGGCCAGCTTGGTAAAATTCTTCACAGATGACCAACAATTTCGAATGTGCGCATGTCAATTGGTGAAACTTTATTTGTAAGAGCATGTTATACGCAGTGATGACACGCTCTGTTGTTTCGTAACACACAAGTTCGAGGCTGCATGGCTGGCTTTAGCGTGGCTGCACAAGTCTGCCCTAACATCTCGTCTCCATAAATGCTTTGAGGTGAAGTCTGTGTAAACCAAGGCTAAATGTTGTTATACAACCTTAGAGATTGTTATTCCTCTAATATCATCAGGAATGAGCTGAGAACATTTAGCGTGCACACGTTTAGTGGCTTAAATCTTGTACATAGGTATGGTATATGTGTATTAATGGTTATAATTGTGTTCAAAACGAGAAGTGTTCTGCTATATTAGAGAAATCTTGTATTATACTCAAATAAAAATTATTCTTCATTGATTCGAATGTAATCTGAGCTTTGACGCACGCGAAATCGGTGGTAAGGACTCCTTTCCACTGTCCCGTTTTTGCACGTACGTATATACACGCACTTAAAAGTTTGAAACAAAAGTTCCAATATAACCAAGCAGCAGCGTAGCAGCGTCTTCAAACAACAAGCATCAAATGTGGCATAACAACTGCCTAAATAGACAAAACACTTCTCGACGTTTCGACCTGAGGGCCTTCGTCAGGAGAGTTAGTAATACTAGCTCTCTTGACGAAGGCCCTCAGGTCGAATCGAGAAGTGTTTTGTCTATTTAGGCAGTTGTTATACCACATTTGATGCTAGTTGAAACAAAAGTTGTTATATAATTAATTTTATTGCAGCAAAAGCATGCCAAATCTTCAACGGAGTCCAACCCTATGCATCTATTAAATCGTAGATTTTATATATAAATATAATTTGAATGATTTTAAACTTTCACATGCGTGGACGTACGTGTAGAAAACGCAACAGTGGAAAGCAGCCCTAAGTGAGGACTAAACTTAAAGGTCTGTTCACATGACCCAATTTTGTTGGATCCAATTCACTTCTGATAGATGTTACATAGTCTGTTGACTTGCAATGTATGTGGGCAGCAAATCACTGCAGCAGTGCTGCTTTATCAAAAACCTGATTTCAATCCATAAGTCAGAAGTGAATTGGATCCAACAAACTTGGATCGTGTGACCTCCTTTCGCCTCGACCACACTTCAGGAGACCAGGGCCGTAGGAAGGGGAGGTTGTATATTCATACATTCCTGTTTACATACCGTAGAATGAATGAAAAGAAATCAGTCGAACAAGACAAATATGCAGTATGTAGGGTTAAGCAAATATGTGAATATTCACCTCCATAAATAGGGCTCCTGGCTACGACCCTGCAGGAGACTTCGGCTTTTATCTTAGAGAAGTTTTGCAGCAAATAATTCTCAGCACTACTAAAACATTCAAGAAATGAAACGTAAAAGTTAAAATATCATGTTATGGTACAGCAAAGTTCGGCCTCTTCTCTTCGCGATCTGAAATAACTCATGATGATCAGGGGCGCCGGAACCACGGGGGCAGCTGTCCCCCCTGCCCTTTGCTTACGGAGACGAACGGGGGCAGTCCTATGCCCTTTGCTACCATATAAAAGTATAATAAATTTAACATTTAATCATGATGCCCACTTTTCGCATAAAAACTAACCGGTTTTGAAAATTATTGAAAATGCGTTCTCCCGCGTGGATTTGCAAGTTCGCATGTACTTGTAAATTTGAGTTTCAATTCTTGTGGTTGCGAAGGTAAAATGAATGTGCCCTTCTCCAAAACTCTGTCCCGCCGCCCTAAACTGCTTTTGGCGCCTCTGATGATGATGCATCACTCGGCGAAATCATTTGCATTTTGCAAGAGAAGTATAATACAAATATTTGCAATGCAAATGATCCCACTCTTGCCAGCTGACTGATTCTGTATAAGAAATTGTTTCGGCCGAGTGAAAGTTGGTCTTAGTTTGTTCGATCCCTTCAAAGCATCGTATCTTTCAATTCTTTGTTCCAAGAAGTGGCAGTCAGTCTTTCAAAATCCTAATCCTATGCTTACGGACCGAGAGGTTTTGCTGACGATGTTTTTGCTATTGTCTCTCCTAGCAATCAATGCCGCTTCAGCGAGACTACCCGCCTGTCAGGAGGTATTATGAGTATATTTTTCGCCTTAGTTTGTTTTCTGTAAATTGTTGTGCGTTTCAGTTTGTAGGGCTGAAACTCGACTTGGTAGATGTTTCATTAATCAGGTAAGACATGTCTTTATGTACGTTTAGGGGGAATACGAATATGAATTTACCGAGTGTGATTCAGCTGGGGGAAGATGGCGTGTGCCAGTGCCACGTAGAGCTGACAAGTGCGAAGCAACCGGTCTGACTTCGGTCAGACAACGAAAATGCGGTAAGTCTGTGTTTGTCATACAACGTGTGGGGTTTCAGTAGGGCATTATGCTAAATTTTGACTGTTTACAATCACAGGAAAGCTTTTATAACCTTTCACATTCACATGCACGAAGCCGTTTGTTTGATGTCTATTCGGTAGCTTATATAAAAGACTCGACCAGCATATGATTTATGTTGAAAATCAAAGATAAGATGAACACGAAGATCTTCGCGCTTAAAGATCTATTACGCAGCTTTGCGGAGCTGCTAATTTTGATAGATTTCAAACAATTTTTTTCAATGCTTTGCCTTTGGAAAACTTTCAAAAGGCTTGTCTTACTGCCTTGTTTATAAACAGAGCACTTACACATGTCGTTAATAAATACCATGAATAATGAGAAATAATATCAACTGCCTGCATTATGTTCTTGTTGAATAAATAATACTATATAGAGAAAAACTGCCGACTTATACGTGCATGTGATGTGTTTTGATGCAAAGAAGTTAAAAGAAGTCAAAGAACGTTTCCCATGTTAAAGTTTAAAATCACAAATGAATTATCATCGTCTAAACGGAGTATTATATTTGAATTAAGTTAATGTTGTAGGCTATAGAAAGTTTACCTATAATGGAGGCGCTCTTGATATGATGCGATGTGGGTTCAGTTCATTCAGTTTAACCGCAAATACATGCAAGCGCTAATAAGTCAGTGATACAAGCTAAATCAGTATGCAGGCTATTTTGGAATGACAACGGTTTCTCGAACCAATTCGGTCATTATAATATCGTAAATTTAACCAGGCAAAAAAGTTTAACCAATAAGGAAACCTGCATGGTGGTTTACTCGAGGGAATGACAAATTACTCGGTTTCAAATATTCTACCTTTTTATATACCCAGGGTTGTTCGTAGAGACACGTAAAAAAAAATCCCGCAATGGTAATGCACTCAGGATCAGTATTCTATACAATCACTGCCGCTGCTCTGAAACGAGCAAACTGCCTGCTGGTTGGGCTGCTTTCAAGAGTCGCATTTTTTGAATATATATGTATGCGAACACGCACGTAAAAGTTTAAATTTTCTAATTAAGTTGTATGATTAATTTTATGCCAGAAAAAACACACCAAATCATCAACAGAATCCAACCCTATCCAACATCAGATTCTGTTCAATCGTTAAAGTATCCGATTAAAACGATTTTAAATTTTTACGTGCGAAAAACGCGACAGTGGAAAGCAGCCCTTAATAAACGTGCTCGGCAACTAACTGCCTTCTGGCTCGTGTACTTCCACGCAAAATTTCACGTGCATTGACCATGCAATTCTGTATATACGGAGAGTCACTTTAATTCCTTGAAATGATTTATAACTGGGCACTACATTTATGTAATTCCCCCAAATTTGAATTCACATGCACCCGAGTTCGCTCCACTCCTGTAGCTTAGCAAACTAATTCCAGCTCTTTTTAACTATGCCTCACACTCTTGTCTGTTTACTAAATCTAGCCTCGACTTGTGATTCTGGTGAATTTTTGGATGTGAATAGTCCCGAACAGTTATGTAAGGCGTGTCCAGCTGGCCACTATAGTTCTGGTGGTGATGTTATCTACTCCAACTGGACAACGCTGCCCATTGGCTTTGAGACACGATCGTATGATGACAGCAGCAACCTGATGTCTAGCAGCAAACAAAGTAACTGCACAAAGTAAGAAATTGCGTTCAATAAAAAATATTTTATTGGGTTATTTGTTAATAGGTTTCTTGTAGTATCGGTTTAACAAAAAAATTTTGACGATCTCCGAGCTGACTTTCCAAGTCCATTTAGAGATGACTCCCAGAGTTTTCCCGAATGCTGATATTCAATCATTAAATATTGAATGATTATTTTAGTTCACTATGGAAGGCGATGGGCGATAACGTGGTGTCTGGTTTTGACAACTGCATGTCACAATTAACACTTGCTGTAACGGTAAGAATAAAAACTGTTCCATTGTCATTTGTGATAAATTATATAAGGTTGATGCTGGTATAATTATATAGGATGCTCATTTAATAAATGTGATTAAACTATTATTGGTTATATTGGGGATGATAATCGATTACATTGGCGATAATAATGGCAAAAACATTGAACCGATTGAAACTAATAAATGACTTGTACTTTTAGTTAAAGAAAGATGGAAAAGTTTTTTTTACTTATCAAAGTCCCAGCAGCGATGTCTTTTTTAACGTTTACGTAAGTACATTGTAATAATTTATGAATTAAAAGTTGCATTTGACAATGTTTCGCTAAATTTATATATTTTCCCGTAACAGGTTCGTAATGAACAGTGCCTGATGAGTACTGGGGAAAAGTCGTATAAGTATCCACCACGAACAAAAGAATTTCAATGGAACAATGCAACGGTATGTATATTACTACAAAGGCGAGCTAAATCTAGTCTCGTTAACAAATAGATAACAATTTATAACAAACACCGCACCACAAAGCTACAAACACTGCATGCATAGGCCTCATGATCACATCCTGTCTGTGCATTAACAAGTGAATTGATTTATTTAACATTGTGATGCTTTAGGTTGAACTCAAGCGTGGTCACAATCTGATAGTCTGGCAAGCGGCTCTGTTTCCATCTAAAAGAGCTGCTGAACGTAATGAGGAACCTGTCATGATTAAATCTATTCGAGTTGAAGGTTAGTCTTTTTGAGCCAATTATGATATATGATATTGCTTTGTTCGTATACTAGCGAATTTGACCGAGTGTTCAAGCAATTAATGTTGTATGGCTATATACCACTACTATTAACATTGGGCAACAGTGCCAACAGATATATAGGGACTATTTTTTCTGCATAACTTGAAGATTTTAGTATATATTTTTGCGATGAAAGTGACATGTTTTACCATCGTATTTTTAGGAGTAGCGTACACATCCGAATGTTCCCCTTGTCCTGCAGGGACATTTACCAAATCCGTGGGGACTACAAGGTACATTGACAACATTCTGCAATACAATGCACAAAAATGCAAGACCATTCAATTGTTGGTCATTTTATTATCATGCTTAAGTACTCACTAAATAAACGCGTATTATATTTTGTACAGTTGCACGCCATGCCCAGCTGATCATTATTCTGCTGAAGGAGCTACTGAATGCGCGGAATGCGACTTGAAGACTCACTATTCCAGTTAGTTTTCAAATTTGGTCAACTTTACTATTTCAGTGAGATTAAATTGTATCAAACAAACTAGAAAGAAAGTATGAGGTGATCGACTGACTCAGTATCATTTATTATTCTAGACCCTGGCTCAGCTAAATGCAGTGAGAGAAAACCTTGCACTGTTAATGATTATATTGAAATTCACAGCAAATGCGATGAAAAGAATAAGGTACGACAGTATTTGTGTTAGACAACTTTTTGAGGTGTGTTTTATAATTAAGAATCCAGTGGCTATAGGAATTGCCGGAGCAGTATAACCAGCCTTTTAATGATTGGCAATAATCATAGAATCAAAACGAAAACCATGCAATGATATTATTGTCATCATCACTAAACTGGCATAATCACTTTTTACCACGGTCACAGACATCGCCATTTCTTTGTCATCTGTCATGTTTAAACACTTTGCAGTTTAAGAAAATGTTCCAATGGATTGAACCAAAGATCTGCCTTAACGATGTCAAAGGTTCGACTTCTCTACCCTTATCAGGCGAAGAAGAAAAATGTCCGCCATGTAATCCTGGCATGTTTATGAATGGTACAACCTGCGACTTCTGTCCTCCGATGACGTCGAGTGATGGCACCAGCACTGGTAAGAATGCAATAATGCATATACTTGAACGATAATACACTGTCTGCGATAATTACTTTAGGCCTAGTACAGCTAACCCATACCTTACTCTTCGTGTAATAAATTTTAACATTCCTCATGGGTGCATGGTACTTTTATAACTGCAAGTGCATCAATGCAAAGAAACTTATCAATAATTTTAGAATGTACGAAATGCGCTGCTTCGACCGAACCTGAATACGGTTACGACTTTCACTGGTGGAGAAGCTGGCCTCCTAATATGGATCGAATGTGTCAATCTTCATATGGTAAAACCTGACTCAATATATCAACATGCTACATATGCTGGATATATACTGCTTGGTTTGATTTGAATGAACCATCACCTTGTGTACATTTAGATCGAGGCTGTGCGTCACAAGATGGTTTCCAACTCCGTGGTACCTCGATCGATAGCGGATACGGCCATGCAGATGATGCGAGAGTATTGTTGTTTCTCGGAACGGATGGATTTAAAAGAAGCCATCTTTACCCTGGTTTGGGAACAGTCACTTTTGAGTTTGAAATGCAGTGTGCGGGACCGTGCTATTTGAGCTTTTATCAAGTAAGGCTTCAAACGGCTAAATATGCAGTATTCTATGGTAATAGTTCAACAGATATACTTACGGACAAATTCGAAAAGCCCTTCAAAGTCCAAGAGGGATATACATTCATCCTCGGAAACGACGGCTGAGTTGATATCAATACGTGTGCATTGACTCAATTTGATTGACTGCTCATTCGAGTAAATTTGGAAACGATTTGAAAACGATACTGATCAAAGGTTTTTCTATTTATGGGCGTTGTTTTGAGTCTTGACTGCGTTATCAGGCTTGTGATAAAATCAGACCGAGCAAATTGGTGAGAGTTTCGTAGATGTGGAATAGTTTTGAATGCTGCTTGCGAATCCTTTTTGACAGCAAACACAGCTGTCAAAAAGGATTGGGGAACGTCCCAAGGTTTAGGCACTTTCCCTTAGGGTTTTAAAACTGAACAGAAAAATATTCATACGTTTTCAATTTTCCCGGACCTTTACCGCGGTTTAGAAGTCAATGGCGGAAGTACAACAAAAACCTTCGTTCATTCTCACACTGCAGTACCTAAATGCCTGTGACTACTGCGAAATAACAAACGTATATATTTCTTCCTTAGTTGCACAGTAAAAAGAGCGAGGAAAGCGGTCGTTACGAGAAAATAAAAGTTTGGGAGGGTAAACAATCGAAACAGAAATACTCGTAAGCTTTTTTGCTATCTTATCAATATACATAATATACCACATAATGTTATACTTAATTGTAATTACTAATCTTTTGTACAGTAGTCAGTATACTAAAGGGAAAATCCGAATCAAATTTTTTGCTCATATGACCCACATACATATTCGGTTCGTTGCTAAATACTATAGTGGAATTGAAAAAAAAAAATTACAACTAACACACAGTCTAGTCAACTGAATTTATATATATGCATGACCATGCAGATAAGCCCAGGCATAGATAGAGGTGAAAGGATTATTCTCTTAAATTCCAGCTTTCAAGCGACAGCAGAGCACACAGAAGGATTTTATTGGGTTTTCCGAAAGGGTAAAAAAGCTAAAAGAACATTTGGAGAATACGACGGTGTTGATCCTGAAATGCACTTCAAATATCGAAATGACAAGTATGAAGGATGATTTGTGATTTTTGTATCTATACAGCCTACGCTGAAACTCCTTTTTCATATTTTGGTCTCTCACAAATTTTATTCCATGATTGATGCAGTTTTCTCTGCCTACTTTCCTGTTCCTTTCACCTGGTGGAGAAAACAAAGAGAAAATAGTGTTTATCCTGGCACTATATACATTGTATATATATTGTATATGGTCTACATGTATACGGTGCTTTTCTAGAGTGACAGTCTATTTCATCAAAGTAACGAAAACAATCGATGGTGGTGCTGCAGGGTGCAAGAAATGTCCAGTTGGAGTGAAAGATGAAGGGTGGGGAATGGACCTTTTGCATAATAGACCAACTTATGATCTATGACTTATGATCTATAGGTAACAAGGAGGAAATAAATCATCACAGCTAAAAAGAGAATACAGGAATTAGTACAATTGCCAAGTTCGGCTGCAAAATGTTATGTAGTACGGAAAATATAACCATGCGAAGTTAGCAATTTTGTATACTTTTTGCTATACGGCCGCGGAAGCGTGTAACTATAATTTAGTTGCACGCGCTTCCGGCCGTAGTAAAAAAGTATACAAAATTGGGAACTTGCATGGCTATATTTCCCTTACTTTACAATAATTCGCAGTCAAACTTGGCAATTTCACTGAGTTTAGTGTGACTTTTCGGAAATTCCCTTTTTGTCGCCTGAATCAAAAGTTGGTCTATTATGCAAAAGGTCAATTTAATATGAAGCTATTGAAAAATTCAAGTCACCATCATTACTCATAGTTCATTCGACCACCCAATCAATGACTTATGCGCTGATCACACAATCATTAAGACTAATTATCCGAACCATTTATAATCTAATTAATAATGGTTAATTTTACACCATTCGAATAAACATTTCTTTTCTTTTACCAGGTGTGTTGAATGTCCGAAAGGCAATCGAATTATTCCAGATAAGAAAAATATACCAAAATGTCAACCTTGTCCTAAGAGTGAGTCACGTTAACTACCTTTTTGTGTTTTATGTGAGAGAAAGATTTTGGTATTCATTGATTTACAAAGATTAAATAGAAAATCTCACTTTACAACAATACTTATAGAGATCATTAAAAGTTTCTGCTATTTCATTTACATAAAATGAATGTCTAGAGCCTCTCAGGCATAACAACGATGCTTTGAAAAGGCAAAAATATATTTTCGTTCTTACATGCATTAAACAAATTGTAGAGTATATACGCGCGCGGTTTGGCATATTTTCCAGCCGAGTTTAATTCGAAGCGAGCATTTTATGAAAAGCGGAACATTCTTTTCCCATCGCACCATTATAGTGCATGCATGCCAAGGCTTTTGTATTTTATTAAATTATATTCAATTTCATAAGGGCACAGATGTAGCATAACTGTATAGAAAAATCATTTCATCTTTATAGATACCTACCTTAACGTTAGCGATCCTTATGGAAGAGATGCTTGTATTGCTTGTGGGGATTTCTTGACGAGGTTTGCTAACTAATAAACAATTTACCTCCTTTAATTTACATCCTCGTTACAAAAACATGCAGTGTGAATTAAACTATTGTAATGCTTTGACTGGCCTCAATTGCACAATATTATGCATACTGATGCATATATATATAATATGTACATTATATCTTTAGTGAAAAGGGATCCACTGAGTGTGTTTCTAGTTGTAAATTCACAAGCAAGGAAGGAGAAAAATATGATTTATCACCGATATCAGGGTATGTACTACGTATACACAACAAATAAAAAAAAATTAAAACCATCCATGCACACTGAGCCCTTATTAATGAATAAAAATACTGATCACCACAAACATGTATGAACGTTGCGATGTTATGTGAAATACTCCCACAGTCTGATATGTTTCAACCAAGTTTCGGTTCCGTTCTCCCACGATGTTTTGTTACCCTAATGGCTAACTGTTGGAATATGTTTCGTCAATGCAGGATTTACAGCAAAAAGACCAGCGCGCTTTTCACACCACAAGGAACGAAGTATTACCACATGTTCAACATCAGCGTGTGTCCGCAAGATCCATCATTGAAAGCCTCCTGCCACAGAAATGTCAGTATGGAAGGAAATGCGGAGGTCAGTTCAGATATATATACACTTAACTGGTGTTGAGAAAATATTGGTGTAATAATACACCTCCAACGGGGTAAATTTGCACTTTGTGGGTGTAATATACTGATTTACACCAAAATATGTGTATTTACACTTATTCGGTGTTTGCTGGACACTTCGAAATTTAGAGTGTATTTATCAAGGCTAAATGATAAACAGGAACCGTGGATGGAGAAACCGGCACGGGACCCAGATTTTTTGTACTCATGATTTGTTTAGGAACGTGTAAACTGTAACTTATGTATTTAAGTCCAAATTTCTTTCTATATCCCTCTTCTTCGCCCTCGGTTTCTCAATCTATATAAAGATTCACTCTGTGGTCTCCAATGATATAGTTTATAATTTTAGCCGTTATCGCTGTCCTTACACGATAGCTAGGCTATATATATATATTAATCTCTTACGCAACCAATCCAAGATGTTCTTCTCGGCATTATTTTGGCATGCATATGCCAATATAATATATAGTCCCTGAGATTTTGAGAGTCCCTGATCTCCTTTTATTGCATGGGCTAACAAGAATTTCAAATATCCAACAGGCCACAAAGACGTACAATTACACAATTTGTCGTATGACCATCGTACCAAGGCCTTCCACGACTTTTGCCACACAACCAATGAGGTAATATATTGACCAAAATATTAGCGTCATGCAGTACACATATTGCATGCTTATCCGTTGCCCGATTTCTTCACGCGCAATTCTATAATTAGCGTCTCCATCTTTGGTTTAAGTCATATAGCCACCTTTTGAACAGGACCTTCATTCCTGGAAATGCACTTCTATATATATATACACACGAAATAGTCATGTTTTGCTTAGTGAGTGCAATAAAGATCGATTTTCTGAAAGGCGACAGCACTGGCCTACAATGTTTTTTGCTCATCCTAGTGTTGGTAAACAGCTGATGTTGATCTCAACAAGAAAAGTGAAAGAAAATGATGAATTACTGAGTGAGAAACAGATGATCAATAGAACAATTATCTCATTCCATTATAGAACAGACGGGTAAGTTTTAGAATGATTCATAGTTCAATTCTGAACAATTCATGAACTGAATTGTTCTCATCGACACATCGTTCTTTAACGGTAAAATTAGCAAGGGTACTTCAATTTCATTTTGTCTTTTTTTTGATACACTGCATGGTGAGGTATATTCTTTTCCGCTCGCCTGACATAAGCATGCAAATATCCCTTTGTTTTAGTGTCACCGAGGCTTGCCCAAGAGGACGATCAACTGTCATTCATCATGTTTGTGATCCACGTCGCAAGGCGAAAAGCGAGGTTCGTGTGCTTTTTTATATAAATTCTTATTTAGCGAGTGTAGGCTACTAGATACTATATTAGTATGTATGAACTTCTTAGTCAGTTTTCAGTATAGAGAACAATATATCCTTGATTGGGGGGCGAGGCATTCCACAAAGAAGACTTTCCTGTAAACCCAATACGAAAATAGAAGTAGATAGTAAGAATTTATTCGATAAAACTTATCCTGGATTGCATAATAATTCACGCCCGCGAAACTAGTCTGAATTTGAAAGTTAGCTTGCATATGCATGATACAATTTCGGTACACTTTTTTTTCGCATCAACCATGTCCATAACCCTAACAATATTTACACAACGAAATTATCTCGTCTTTCTCCCTCTTCAAGTTTTACTCTTTCTTATATCATCAGGTAAAGCTTGCAGTACCACAGAAATGTTCTGAGGGAACCTGCGATGGATGCAGGTAAACAATTCTAACAGATAATTTACCTATGGAGACCGGAGCATTGCTTTGCGACACGTTGGGCGGACGAACCTATACTATATAGTATATAGACTCCCCTTATTAGCTATTCGCTTTGAATTGTGGTCATAAGTGTACCACTAGCTGTTTTTCCGGATGTGTTATATACATGTCCTGACAGTAAAAGAACATTTGAAAACTAAGTTAGGTTTGCGATTGGCAGTGAAAACTTAGAAACCATTCATTAGTTCGCCTCTACTGAGACAACGCCGTCATTATCGACGTTTCTTTTTTTTCAGTTTCCACTTCATAATGCGTTCCGCAGCGGCTTGTCCTTTGTGTACGAGTGAACACTATTTTAGTGTTGTGACGGGCTGTGTGGTATGTACATTAATTCATGGTACATTCAAGGTTTTATGTCAGAATTAAAATTTTATTATGAAGATAAGTTGTGCATGACGTTCATTATCCTTGTTCCTGGATTGCGATTGGAAATATTGCGATATTTTTGAAAAATGATATCACTTCTTTTTAGAAAGAAAAAAAACACACGACATATGTTTGGAAGTCGCCTAAGTGAGTGTTTGCACATAATGAAACGTTTGATATCACTGTTAACATATAAATTTTGTTGGTGTGTTTAATTAAGTTTAAATTATCATGGTTAGGGTAAAGCTTAGTAAGAATTTTAGCTGATTAGAATATTTTTGTTGAATTTTCCAGGATATGTCTTGGTGGCAAAGCTTTACCAGAAGGCAATTACACCAAATGCAGCCTTTTAGAAAAACCTATAAAAGATTATGCGGTGAGATATTCAATTTTTTCAGAAGCTTACGTGACAAGTAGTTTAGCCAATCCCAGGCCAAGTATACAAGTGCAGTGTTTATTTGATTTGATTTCGGAAAGAATATTCTATAGCTACAGCTATATTTTCAAATATTTCTTCTATCAGATTGGTCTTGGTATATTTGCTGGTGCTGTGGTTTTAATGGTCTTAGCTGTCCTTATTCTATGGTACAAAAACAGAAGGTAAAACGCTATTTGTCTCGAATATCCAAGAGAGATGATATATCAATCCAAATCTCCAACCACACTGATCTCTATCTCGTGTTTTCTCAGTTTGTCAACATAAACTCAGCTAAAGTTATAATTGTACCAGTAAATTTATTAAGTATTTTGTGTCGATTGAAACCCACACAGCGTCGTTTTCTTTTTTCAGACTAGAATATAAATATCACAAACTGATTCAGAACGCGTCAGATCGTTCCGGAGAACTGCCTGGAGCTCCTCAATGTGTTGGGGATGATGAGGACGAGGATGAGGAAGAGGTGGACTACTGGGATAATTTTTACGTTAATATTAGGAGTAATAATTATAATGCACTCTGGTATGTCTTCAACTCTCCAAAGTTACATAAAATATTATGTAATTCTATACTTTTCCAAGGTTCATTTCAAGAGTGGTGAAGGCCGTGGCAAACGTTTTTTAAAAAACATCAAGAGCAAATTTGCTGGTGACTCGAAATTTTCGGTAGGTTCATGTATGGTCCGCCATTAGTTTTTGCAAATCACCGGGTCAAACTTGTACTAAGGATATTTCCCTTTTCACGGCTATGACGGTCGGGCAGACGTCGGGTGCGAACGTACGGTTGATCACATAGTAACAGTGAATGTTGATATGTAATGTTGCAGCACTAGCAATATTGTTTGTGTTTTTAGGATCAGTACAATTTCAGCAATTTTAGTGATGATGATATCGGTTCAATTGAACCAACTTCAAAGACTCCTTTAAGTTAGACAGGTAGGTATCGACTTTTAAATAATAAAGACGGCCGTCAGTGGACACAACCTCATACCCAGCATTTGTTTCTAGAGAGGACTACCCTAAAAAAATGTTGGATAACTAATTCTTTGCGTGGGGTGTTAAATTAGCATTAAAGGCTGTTTTCCACTTACGCGTTTTTCATACGCACGTACATCCACGTAAAAGGATTTATCCTTGTACATGCTACCTTTGAAAAAACCAAGTGAATAAATCGAAGGAACTTCGTTTTCTGCATATTTTAGTATGCATTAGTTGACCTAGATGTTAAATAATAAAAATTTAAAAGCATTTAAAATTTTCCGTACGTGTACGTGGGTATAAAAAACGTGTAAGTGGAAAGCAGCCTTAAGTTCTGGTCCACTATGGCTATGCAGGCCGCGTGATGCCTGGAAAAACTATATCGTTGAAGCTCGTTGAATGGCGGCTCATGAAGAAGCAATCCCTTTCCCAGCATTTCCCGAATGAATGATTGATTTCATTTTAATTTTACATTCTAGACTCGTATTTGGAAGAAAAGAGAGTTGTAAGAATTGTAAGACCACAAGAATTGTAAAACAGAAAAGCAGCACTAGAAAGCGATGGCTTACTTGTTAGTTGTTATATATATTTTGCCGGAGCATTTTTTGCAAACATGACATGTAGTTATACGTTATTAATAGTCTAAAAATTTCAAAGTGAACTTATGGTTCGGCCTCACTGTATATCATGTGTTAAAACACGGTTAATTGAAAACAAGTGGCGTAGGCAGCCAAGGGGGATAGAGGCTTCTGTCCTCCTAAGTCACACAGGGCACACTAACTGATTATCAGTACTGAACTGATAAATCTCTCGTAGATAGACTAGTCTCAACAAAATTTAACGAATTGCGCCAGAAAGTGCATGCAACGGCATTTTAGAGTCTCAATTTTTGAATATTTTCATCGTGAAGGATGCCCACAAACACAGACAGTGATTCTGTATGCGCCTAGTTCAGACACCACGAGTCCACGACTATATCTTCCTACGCCACTGAGATATCTAATCAGGAAAAGTTAAAATGATGTATTTACAATTTAGCCAGTGAGGCATTCAATTATGGTCAAAATAATGCCTTAGTTTTTCAATCGTGAATTTATTAAGTATAAAGTAAATTAATAGTTAACCCTCACCTTACGGACAATCGGACATTATGGAGACCTGGCTTTCCCGGCCGGCCGTCAGTTTGTAGATCCTCATGATCAGGGTTCCAAGTGATTGTGGCTCCCTGTATATATTTTCATTGTTCTGTAACTTCTGTTCTCGATGACTGATCATGATACAGACACATTGGGCTTGGGTGGTTTTTCCTCTGATACTAAAGCGAGTAATTTAGTTTATTTTTTATTTTTTTTCGCTGGTTATTTTGTAATTGGACCATGGCTTGAACGGCTTCCTCACTGTAAATTAAGATTTAAGACGTAGAACTACGCCCGGTTAATTTAGGCAGTGCAAACGACACTCTTTGTGTAATTACTAATTACAGTTAATTAATTAGCAGTGATGATCATTATTTTATTCACCCACAAGCGTGCCCATTGTGTAAAATACGTGCAGATGCTAATTTATGCGCGTGCTAAAGTCATGCCCTGCGTGCATCGTGCGCGTGAGCTGAGAACACAATAAAGCACCCTCTTGATTTTCAAAATGGCGTCCGATTTGTATTGCATTTGTCGTAAACCTTATGACTATTTGCAGTTCATGATCCAATGCGATGTTTGCGATGATTGGTTTCATGGAAGGTATTACTAACCTTTTGTTTTTCATCTCAGTTGTTCACACCTTGGTGTTAATTTTGAGCAGACAAACGTGATTTCTTGTTGTGTATACATATAGTTGTGTAGGCATAGAAGAGTATCAGGCGAACGATATTGAAAGATACCATTGTCCAAGATGTGCTCCACGAAATGGTCCTCTAACATGTAAGATTCTTAGAAAAATACTCAGAGAAACATTAAATGTTGATTTTCCCTTAGGTTTTCAATTATGAATTATTATTTTGCTACTGTCAGACCTCATATAATAGTAGCCGTATAGCATTTTAATGTTGTTTACAACTTCACACTAGATATGCTCCTTGATATTGCATGTTAACCTGCATGATTTGTAGAGGATATTATACGTTTAGAGCGGAAAATATACATGAAAAGATATAGCGATTTGTAGACAATGTATTTTAAAGTTTTGCTATTTTCTGGATTTGCACTTGCAGTGTGTGATTATATACTACAGTAATGTAAACAAATACATATTCGCTATTAAATAGTACTCAAAAGATCACATATTTTGATACTCTAACTTTCTTTTGTGCTTATTAACCAAAAAAAGTGGGGGAAAACCTTTAATTACTGAACATTTTTAAGATTATAGGCAAAACCACATGGCCACTACTTCCTTTGTTTAAATTATGTTGCTCACAAACGGAAAAATATTGTGAAAATTCCTATATTGTTAGTTCTGTAAATATCCTCTTTTTATATTGTGGTTTTGAGCGTAAAAATCAGGAAATATATACATACATAAAGCTGATTGTGGAGAGTCTGATTGCAGAGAATGAAGTTTAAATTTTTGTTCATTTCTGGCATTTTCTTGATGTATTCTGAACTGTTTAAGATGAATTATTTAACGAGTTTGGAAAGTGTGTTTCCCCATTGAACTAAAGTTACTGAATTTTTCTTCCCCTAAGGCTTGTTTTGTTGGATCCAATTTACTTCTGATGGATGTTTTATTGTCTATTGACTTGTGATATATATGGGTAGAAAATCAACTGAAGCCAATACAATACTGCTTTATCATTATCAAACTACATTTTATACATCAGAAGTAAATTGAATCCAACAAAATTGGATTGTGTGAACTAATCACCTTGTGAGGTAAACATTTCGCTTATCATAAAATATGCTGTACAAAATTTGGTACAATGACCTTAAGACAGCTGTGCCCTCTAGCATGTCATTTCTGGGATATATATTGGATGTCTGGGGTTAGATTTGGATTGAAAATTGCTTAGGCATGGTTTTTTCAGACAAAATAAAAGGGCAATTTAATAAAACATATTTGAAAACATAGGATATAAAATATTAATTCAGTATTTAAATTCAGTAATATTCATTATCTCAAAGTGTATCCATTAGATCAAATTTATCTTCATACAAATAATGTTCTTGTATTAATTTTCTAGTGAAAAAGCAACAAAATTTACATCGACATGACTATAGTGATGACAATGCACATTGCAAAGTATGTGGATAGATAGATAGGTTTTAATTTAAATTCATATTTTCTTTATTGGGCTGTTTACTTATATCTTCCATAAATGTCAGGCTGTTCAAGCTGGAACTGTTGTATTCATAAAGCAATTGAAGAACAAACAGTTTTCAAGGTAGAATTATGATTGACATTTTTTGGTGAGGTGACAAAATGATTTTACATTTTATTGTTCTCTCTTCAGTCCTGAGAACATTCTATTAAAGTGTCAAGGGAAAGAACTGACATTAGATTACTTGGCGAAGAAAGGTTATCGGAAACCTATCCTGGTTGAGTCTAAGGATGGTCTTGGGCTGGTTGTACCAAAGCCTACTTTTTCAATCCGGGATGTACAGCAATATATTGGTTAGTTGTTGCTTGAGTCAAATTCAAAATCATAACAAAATATTAAATTGTACCATAATTTTTGGTGGATTTAATTAGGATCTAATGTCCTGACCACCAATCATATATGATTGTAAAGTAAATAAAAATAATAATTACTGTCAGTGTTTGTATGTTGTTTTCAATTCTGCTACTATTTTTTGTGTTTAGGTGCCAATTTTGAACTAGATATTATTGATGTAGCTAGACAGGTAATTTGCCATCTATTTTGTTTAATGATTGTTCTATCAATAATATTGTAACCAGAGTTGGTAGATATGTAAATATTTGAGGCCAAATTGTCATCAACCTCGCAAGCCAGGCTCTTTTACCTACGCTCCTCGCGGCCCACGCTGCGGCAAAGACCCTGGTCAAGGCTGGTCACGTGATTATTTTGTTACGCTTCTCCCGTGTGGGGATGGGTGGGACACAAGTAGCGCATAAATCACATCAGTTAAAACAGCGTGTTTCTAAGGCCTGAATATTGAGCGCTGTTGTACCGCAAAGCGAAATAACCTGTGTCGCTATTGTTTTTTGACCTCTAAATTCGCTCATCAACGCCCAAATTCAGAGGATAGCACAGGCCTTCGAGTGTCTGTATTGAATATCAACTGAACTTGTGACGATACTAAAACCGATTCCAACGACGATGATACAGTCTACACTTGCAATTTGAATTTAAATTCGGTTTATTCCTCTTTTGAGTTTTTTGCTGCGCCACACTAGCTGTATTTATTTAGTTTATTGTGTGAACCGCTATTTTTAGTTGCGTTAGTACAAAGCCATCTGGATTGTGACAAGTGCTAAAAATAGCAGAAATAGTATAACGACTTTGCCACTCCTCCCATGAATATGAACTAAACGCTAATTAAAAACCTCCCATATTTTGGGAGGTTTTGCGATGTCACATGACCAGCCTTGACCAGGGTCTTTGCCGCAGCGTGGGCCGCGAGGAGCGTAGGTAAAAGAGCCTGGCTTGCGAGGTTGAATTGTCATTAGTGCTATCAAGAAAACAAAAAACTAGTGTGATGTTGTTTGGCCTGCATATGCATCTATCTACCAATTCTGATTGTCACTTAATTGGTTTATACAATTTAGTCACAAATGCCTTTGGTACCTGAACAGGGTGATGTGAAAATGAAGATGTGTGATTGGACAGCCTACTTCATAAGCACTAAACGTCAGAAAACACTTAATGTTATCAGTCTAGAATTCTCTCGAACAAGGTATAAAACATTATTTTTCTGTTTGTAATATGTGAATGTGTTATTAATAACTCTTCCAGTATGAAAGTGACAAAATAATTTAATTGAGATTATTATTTTGCAGTTTATCTCAGTTGGTTCATGCACCCAGGGTTGTTCGTGAAGTTGACTGGGTTAACCGCTTTTGGCCAGAACATGGTGATGGTGTTGATGAAAGGTATTGTTCGTCATCATAATAGTTTTAGATTTGACTTCAACTGCCATTACTGCAATTCTAATCATAGCATTTGATTGCTCATTTTCCACTAATTGTAACTGTGGCAGCAACATTCGTGGGAGTCAAATCTAAACCTGAGAATCTTCTTAATGACATGGTGAACTGTGTGGTGTTGCATACCGTATTGACTAAGCCATACTAATTATGTACAATGTATCAACAGGTTATCTTTAATTTTGTTTTTTAGTCCAACCCATCCAAAACCATATGTACAGAAGTATTGTTTGATGGGAGTCAAAGATTCCTATACTGACTTTCATGTAGACTTTGGTGGCTCATCTGTTTGGTATCATGTCTTGTGGGTAAGATCACAAAGAGAGACATTCATGTTTGAAATTGATAACAATATTAATAACTATATATTTGTTATATATAAAGGCAACTTGTTGATTATACTTAGGGTGAAAAAGTCTTTTACTTTGCCGAGCCAACGGAGACAAATCTTAATCTTTATGAGAAATGGACAGCTTCATCAAACCAGAGTGAGATGTTTTTTGCTGACCTAATTACAAGATGTTATAGAGTTCATGTAAAGGCTGGTCAAACATTATTCATTCCCTCAGGTAGGCAAAATACACTCGAGCACACTTTCTAGTCTGTGCCAATTTTTCTTGCAACTTGCAATGCACAGAAGTTTCGTAGTTGCCAAATTTACATCTCTCCAAATAACGAATTTTATTGCAAGTTGCATAAAAAAATTGTGCCGTGTAACAGGGCGATCATTTCTTCCGTAGCTTCCGTAATTGTTTAGATTGTGTTGCACCTAATAAACCCCATCAGAAAAATAATGGAATTAGGGGCGCACAATATCACCATATATAGAAATAAGTATATAAAATTCTGCAGTAACTAATTGGGCACAACATGCACTAATTGGGCACAACCCTAGGCGAGATTTCCGATGTCATGTTTTGCAGATATTCTCAGGTGTTAAGCTTCAAAAATGGATGCAATTGTTACTCCACAAAGTTTTAGCAAAGTGCCTTTGGGATTGATATCATCTAAAATAATGTAGATTATTTAATCTAAACGCGTATATCGGTAATGATTTTAAGGTTGGATTCACGCTGTGTACACTAGCGAAGACTCATTGGTGTTTGGTGGGAATTTTCTCCACTCCTATAATATTGGATTGCAACTCAAGTAAACAAACTTTGATATTGTTCATTTGGACTGCTTTGGATAAAGACTAGACTCTCTTACTCTAACTTCCTATTTTAGTGTCTACGATATGGAGTTGAGATTAAAGACTCCAACCAAGTATTTGTTTTCCTCTTTCGAGACCGTTCATTGGTATGCGGCAGCAGGCCTTATTGATGAATTAAAAAGTAAGTTAGCTCAAAGTGAGACATCTCGTGCACCGAATACATTTTTTTTTCTTTAATACTTTATTGGGTAAATATGAACATGATTATTTACAAAAAGACGTACTAATAATATGCATGCACAGAACATATACAGTATTACCCAAATGGAAGAGGTGCGAACGGAAATAAGAAATCAAGATCAATAACATTAAGACATTATTGACATTAAGATCAATTGGACTATGTATTTCTCCCGGTGCTGGTTATATAAAACTTTTCACTGTATTTTGGGTAAGGTAGTTGAATCGTACTTAATCCCAAAATACACTATAGTCTAATTTTTATTATAATCTAGTTTTGCACAAGCGGCCCCTGCATGACCTTGTCTCTAGTTTGTACCATCTTAACCAGATGCCTTTATTTAACTTTTGCTTGGCTAAGTAATATGGTGCTGATGACTATCGATGATACCCTAACTTCTTGAGAATAGAGAAGCAGATCTTCTATTTCATTTGCTTTCATTTGCTGTATTTTTAACTAGATCTTGACGACTCTGGTGAAAAGAAACCCCAGTTTCTTATTGAAGGCATCCATATTTTGTTGAATAAATTAAGATCGTGGGTCACTAAGAAAGATGTAAGAGTGTCCTAAGTTTATAGTCGAATACCACTGCCAATGTTTGCCACTCTTCGTTGTCTTAAGGTCTGTTCACACGATCTAATTTTGTTGGATCAAATTCACTTCTGACGGACGTTTTATAGTCTGTCTTTTCGCAATGTATATGAGTAACAAATCGACGAAAGGCCATTAATAGACAACAAAATTTCATACGTCAGAATTGAATTGGGTCCGACAGCATTGGATCGTGTCAACAGACTTTTATTCTAGTGATGCTAAAGGAAAACAACTGGGTTTTCTCTGATACGATTTTTCTCGATATATTCTTTAGGGTTCATTTGACAAACACAAGATGTTCCTTCCAGAAGGAATGGATTACAACAAAGTTATCAAATCACTGTCGAAGGAATTGAAACAGGCAGAAGTACGAATTCTGAGTTCCTTTTTAATATTATGTGATCATGATATAATTTTATCATTCTTTAATAACTGAATAGAGGGTAGTAATGATTGATCTGAAAATTTCGCTTTGTCATTTCGAATCCAGTTTTGGGATAATCTGATTTCCTTTATCACTCGACTGGACGCCATCTAGGGAAGCATAGCCTCAACAGATTTAACTATATTCTTTGAACCAAGTGAATGAATAACATAAAATTATTCTCAAAACTCTAGAAGCCGTGTGTCGTTGTCCACGAACAAAAACCAGTGATCAAAATTAAAAAACCAACGCCCAAAACTACTGCGTCTAAGAAACCAGAATCGCGAAAGAAGAGTGAAAAAAATGAGTCCAGAAATCAGAAGAAAAGTGTAGAAAAAACTGCAGAAAAAGCTCCGCTTAAACTTAAAATATCAAAGAATAAAGAAACGGAATTATCACGTAAAAAGTCGCCGGAAAATCTCAAATTGGTCGTATCGAATGGGAAAATCGTTAGGTAAAGTGAAATTTTTCGCGAATAACATTGTCAAATGATTGTTTTATCATTAGTAAGCTGTGAAAATTAACGGCTTTTTCGGGATGGAAATTTTTTCTTTAGTGGAAGCAGGAAGAAGCAAACGTCGTCAGCACATGAGGTTGTTAAGGATTCAAAAGATGACGAGCAATCAACGAATTCTTCTTACTCATGTCAACAGTCACAAGAACAGCCACTCAGATTGACGTTGTCAGGTAAGTGAGTTTTGGAATCAGAGCTTTGAAAAGAAATTTGAGGAATAAAAGTCGATTTTGCGGCAGTCAAAGTTTAATACACTGCATAACTTCTAAATCTCATTCGTGTTTTGGTGTTCTACAGCCAACGGGCGAGAAGAATCCGATGATGATGTCAATGTCGATGACTTATACCCTTCATTCCCACCAGCCAATGGTTTGCCAATACAGCAGCAGTTACAAGCATTATACAGCAGTAGAGGTCAAACTACCGCAAGCACGTCTAAAACTACCACCAGCACACGACACCACCCTCCTGTCTCGATATCAATGCCAAGATATTCCAGGTGGGTGACTACTAACTAAACTCATCAGGAATGATATTGTTCGTACAGCTCTGTTCTCCGCTCTGCATGTACACCAGGTAGATTTCTAAAAAATCATCGTAATTTTGTTGTAGTGATGAACAGTCACCGGAGAAGTACACGTCTGTTGAGAACGGTAGAAGGAGATCCAGATTAAACAGTCCCGCAGAAGATGAAGAAGATATCCTGAACAAATTCCCCAGTGATCCCGACTACGGTATGTGAAGGAATTGTTTTGGCTGTTAAAACTTTGTCACACATACACTAAACGTAAACCATCCTATGATTTTCTGCTGTTGAAACCAAATTATTTAGAATTAATTGATTTGCGCCTGCATTTATAGTTTATCCAACGATAGAAGACGATGAAACACCTGGGAAGGTGAAATGGAAACCCGGTATGAAAAAGAAGAAAAGCGAACGAGTAGATGCGACGTGGAATCCTAAAGGTAAGAATTACGTGGCTCGAGCAAGAATAGTGTTTTTTGAAGCATTGGCTACGTACAAGCATATGGCCGAGGTCAAACTGTGATCAGACAAATACATGTCTGTGGTTTCACCACAAGTTGCATGCAATGGATCGATCATTGAAAAAGGAGATTTACGTGTTATCTGGAAGAGAGGGTGTAGACCATTTGGCAAAATCAATAAAGAAGTGCCTTGGATTATAAAATCCTCGCCTATGAACTCGTTCAGAATTTTTTGGGGTGTGCTAAAATTTTCTTGGAAGATAATAAAATTTTCTAGGGAAAGGCGAACCCAGCCCTCTTGCATCTTACAGAAAATTCATGCTTTCGAAATCGTAAATAAGAAAGGAAAAAAATTATAAACAAGAGTAAAAAAATAAAACAGGTACCAAAGACGAAAAAACAAATACGAAACACGTCAATTAAACTTTTTTTGTTTAACTTTAGGTCGCGTGCCTCACTCACCAGTTACGTCAACGTCACGGCCTGTTAGACAGATATCGCGGAAACCAGACTATGAGATGAATTCATCGACAAATAATAACATTGTAAGGGACGCTGGCATGTTTTTGGCGATACCAAGTTTTGATTTACGTGCGAGCATTCTTGATGAAACCTCATGCCTTCTTGATATTTATTTTTTCAATATAGAACGAACTCAAGTCTCCTAGAACGTCATCAGAATCTGAAGGTAGCTCAAGCAAACAGGGTAGAGCCCCTTTAAGACCGTCTGGTGCCGGTAATCAAGCTGAAGGGGATAAAGGTACCACTGAATACATTTTGTATTGGACACATGATACAGCATATACCCGTGAAATAAATGTTTCGAGTTTTGTAATTGCACCATGTCGATCTTTGTTCTCCTGTCAAATGTATCGAAGCTAGTATTCAAAGATTGTTGTATATTTTATAGGTAATTCGTCAAAGCGTGGTCGTCGACCTGTGCAACTCACAACAAAGCAAAGACTTGCAAAGAAATTAAAACTTGACAAAGGTGGAATGTTTATGAGATAGAAATTATTATAGGCGATGTGGTAGCTCTATTTATTTTATTCATTTGGCAGGGTGAACTGTGTGTGTATGTGTCCTAAAGTATCTGTAGCTATAGATAGATAGATATGTTTGAACGTCAAGAGACGAGGCCACGCAAGTGAGTACACAACGCTTACGTTGTTCATTAATTCTGGCGTCTTTCAAAGCGTTTCCAAACGTCACCATCGGCACCTTATATGTATATTTCCACAACACATGAAGCTTAATATTGTAAACACGTTCGTTGTATTCTTAACCCACCTCGCACTTTTTGGCACGATACTGAAATGTTCGATCACGTTATTTATATATGAAGATTCCAGGTGTCTTCAACCCGTTGGTATAGGCAGTACGCTTAACTTCTCAGCATGTTTTTCAAAGTGGCATACTCTGCCCCTTTTTTTGTACAGACAGAACACCGTTCATACAATTTCTTCAAACTCAGTTTAGTATAGTTGGACGGGATGAATTGAAGACCTTCTATTTTTATCAATATCATGTTTTTATTCGCAACGACAATAACTCTAAAATTGGTTTTGTATTGTAAATATTTGGGTAAAAGTGTATCCATATTCGCTTCGACCTTCGATATTTATATTTTCTTAAAATTCACTTCACATATTTTACTATTCCTATACCATATATATTTTTAATATCGAGCTGAGCATTTTTCCAAGAGCATATGTAGTTTTGAGCTTGCATGTAATACATGCTCAGAGAAAAATACACAGCAAATTTTTTCTAATATTATGTCATTACGATTTCCTTGTTAGCAGTTCTAGGGCTATGCAGGTATTTTCATTTGGATGCATTTGAACTATTCAGGGGTCGAGCGAATATGGTGTATATGTATAGTCAGTGGCATTAATGCTGTAAGCTTGCAGTTAATATATTGTATAGAATGATAATAGCGTTCGCAATGAAAGAATGTATACAATTGATAGTTGTTACACGATTGAAAATGTTAGTCTTTTTAAATATATTTACAAATAATATACGTTCGTGACTTTGTTGTCTTCATGCTGAGAATCAACTTTTCACAATTATTGTTCATCCTGATGGTCTGTTATACCACAGAATACTTTCTAAATCTAATGATTCGTTCGTGGTAAAGCTGGCCACACCATGCTTCCGTTCAGTAACGCCTGTGCATTGGATTCATTCAATTGGATCATGGCCTGTGCTATAGAGCTGGTCTTCTATCTGCATGGGGTCGACGCTGTAATAGTGGTAAGTGGTAACCACCTACGTCATCTGGCGGACCACGTCTATTGACTAGTTAAACTTGACTATCAGGGAGAGTACGTATTATCAAAGTCTCAGAGAGCGAGATTGTGTTATAACGAGATTGGCTGTGAAGCAGCCTTGGTTCCGTTTCAACTTTCGATCTTCAACCCAATCTTCAACCTGGTATCCTCGTACCCAGGCAGGTAGTTCGCTATTTCCAAGATGGCGTCCTTCTCAAGCACTCGTAACAAAATACAAGCAATTCTTTCTAGTTTCATGCACGAAAAAGACGAGTTTGCTAAGGAAAGGTAAGGTTTCCATTTATTACCCATATTCTGTTCTTTAATATACTCTCATTCAGTGGTCGATTTGTTGTTTTAAAATTTTCAAATCAATTTTTCAACAATTAATATACTCACTTAATTTACGGTATATTAATATACTCATTATACTGCAAATGCTCAGATTGGTTATCGATATCATTTAGAAACAGTGATCAAGATGTCGCAGAGAATCCCGGACTTCTTTCGATGCTGTGCCAACCAAGAAATAGGGAGAGTTTTTATGAAAGAGTTGAAACATTTTCTATATCCTTTGATAAAAAAAAACTAGGTAAATAGATAGAAGACACCCAATATTGCATGATATATATTTTCTATACTGACCCACACTCAAATATTGAGTTGACTATGTCACTGGTAAGTGAGCTAATAGGCTAACACACACTTGGCACCTATAGCAATCTATTATTTGTGCGTTTACCCATAATAATGCATCGTACTGCATCCATATATATACATGTGTTGGAGCATCAATCTGTTCTCACAGTTACTATTATATAGATAGTTCTGTTGAACAGGTCTTTACCAAATCATGATATTAACCCATACTTTTCTTTAACATTTACCAACCATTTACCTGGCCAATGAAACCACTTTATTTATCCCCCCAACATTGTGCTCTTTATGGTTGGGAGAATACTGATGTGGATCTGCTAACTTGTGTCTCGTGTAAGGCTACACTTGATGGCATGGTAGGGACAGAGTGGGACACAGACACATGTGAGTACTTTAGATTTAAAGCCGAAATGCGAACTAAGAGATAATTTACTATTTAAGCTGAATAAGTACAAATTTCCAAAGATAAAATTGTTTAATTTATCAATTAATGTTAGATAATTCAACATGTGCTGAGCTTAGATCAAGTATTATAAATGGACATTCAAAATTCTGTCCCTGGAAAGAAACACCGTGCCCAGGTTTGTGAAAATTGTATCTTTGACTGTTTAATTCTTCTTAGCCATTAGTGAATTTGCGTAAGAGAAGTCCACTTCCAGTTTGTCTACACCTAAACACTGGAGGTGTTATATGCATACTAATGTTTCATATAAAACACTTGTATTTTAAAGAGTACCAGATGTTCTATTATATGATCTGATCTTTTTTTTATTTAGAATCATTTTTAAGCCTTCCTGCAAAAACATCTGAGGAATGGAAAGCAAGTTTTGAGAGTGCTTGTGTTAACCTTCTTTCACTTCAAGCTGATTTACCAGTATTGAAACGTGAGGCATTTCAAGAACTGGTAAGTGTTGTATTTGTTCAGGTTAGGGTGAGGTTGATAGAATACTGACAAATGATTGAATAAAAACACTTGGTGGTGATAGCAATCAAACTTGTGTCCTTTCAGTATGGTGTTAATTCAATTCCCTTCAATTTTCAGGCAATCACTGAGGATGTGCTATCAACTTTGAGTAACTATATTACAGAAAGTGACACATCCTCAAATCATCAGGATATTATTGATACAGTTTGTGTTTTGGCATTATGTGGTTGGAATACAAGGTATTTTATGTACTGTATCTATCACTAATGCAATTCAGTTGGCCTACATTGCATGTAATTTTAATAAAACCAAGGGTGAAATAAGGAGGTTTGCATTGTAGCCATTTGGAATATTCTCACTATTTTGAAGGTGAAGTGGCTTTCTTAAAATTAAAGCCAGGTGATTTTTGGATATTACATCTTGTTGTATAAGTGAAAGAGAAACTTCCTATTCCCTCATTTTTTCCTTTAAAAGCAGTGAGACAGACGGTTCAAGTACGCTATGCTGTGCTGCCTGTCATCGCGAAGCTGGCTTGTGGAACTTTCATTCACTGAAGAATGTCACTTTGATCCATAATGATGCTGGTCAAGAGCAAGGTGGTGATGGTGTTAGAGGGAGACACAAGGGATAATGATGGACAGAATAGGCTTCAAGGGGTGATGGAGGAAGATATACCAGGTAATTGTTTGTAGTAATTTAAAGTTGCCACTGATGAAATCAGTGAAAGAGTTAAAGATTTGCATGGTTCTTATGGGCTTGTTCTTTAGATTCAGGTGGTGATACTCTGGCGAATGTTGCAACGACCGTGCAAGAGGATATGGTATGTGATGTTGAAATAATGAGGGATGAAGATGGCTTAAATTCTGAACGATCTAGTACTCTTGAATGTAGTGACCATGAACATAGCAGTGTACAGGTAGAAACCATGGAAAATGATCAGGAAATTTCAGCGGATACTGAATGCGAAAACCAGGCGAATTTGGATGAAAGAGAGAAATTTATTTTAGTCGACAATCTAGTTGAACATAGGCGAGCTGAAGATAGTATAAACAAGAACAACAGGTCACCAGAGGATAACGAGGAAAGTTACAAACAAGACCTTAAACTAACTTTGTCACCAGAGAGTGAAAGTTGTGCTGAAGTTCAAAATACTTTTGAAGAGCAAAGTATTTCCAATGCCCAAAATATTTCTGAATTTCAAATTGCTTCTAAGGGGATAGGGATTCCTGCCACAATAGAAATGTCTAAACTATCTCCCTTACACGAAAGTACTTCTGAAGAGACACAGCGCGTTGACTCAATTTCTATTAGTCCACCTGAGCCTATGAACAATAATGGTGGGCAAATTTCAGAAACACAGGTCGAAAGTGCAATAGAACCAGTTCACAGCCAGGTAAAATTTGAAACACAACTGGTTGAAAATACATCCTTGGAAGAAAACGCCTGTATAGAGGGAGCTCTTCCAGCTGAACAAAACGCCATCCTACAGCCTCTCTTACCGGAACAAAGTTCTTCACTACCGGATCATGATATTGAGCTACCACTCCAAGAACATTTACAAGCCTCCGAGGCTGAAAACCTACCGGAACAAGTATCTCTGAGGGAAGAAAATCCATTACCTGGGGGGACCCCCGAGTCGAAAGAGGACTCAGTTGCAGGTGAAGAGCATGTGCCGGAAGATGATTTGGCGGAAAAGACCTTGGAAGCAGAAGAGCACGTAGCAGGAGAGGAGCACGTAACGGAAGAGGAACACGTGACCGAAGAAGATCACGTGGCAGATGAAGAACATATGACAAAGGAAGAGCTTCGGTTTGAAATAGATGCGGCCCAACTGGGGCGAGAATCGGCATTACAGCAAGAGCACATCGCCAGTCCTCTCCAGGACGGAGAAAACATATCTCACGTCGGTGGTGAATTACAAGAGAGCAGTGGCGCACGTGAGATGGAGGGAACTACCATTCACCGCAATATCGAGTGCAATCAGGGGGATTGTGAACCAGGTTCTGGAATGACTATAGAACCATCCAAGTTATTTGGTACTGGATTTTTTTCGCCTGCTCACAGCAGACAGGACTCGTTAATTGTTGAAATCGGAGAGGAGTCGATGAGCGAAAGAATGTGGTCTATTCAGTCAGATTTGCAGGACAGAGGAGAGACTGCCTCCCAGATGGACTCGTGTCGGTCAGTATCTGACTGGAGTGATGGTGAAGATGGTGAGCCAAGTTCGAAAAGACTGAAAACTGAAGTACGTTTTTAACAGAAAAATTGCAGTATGATTTCCCAGTTTTCCCTTTTTTACATAAAAAGACTTTCAACAATAGATTCGGAAAAATGCAGTAGCCTTGTTACGCGAAAATGAGGCCAGTAATTCTCCACTGCAAAAATTTTAAAATATTTTGTTTGGTTCTAAATTATAAAAAATTCTGAAAAAAGTTCTTAAAAAAATATTTTCCTGCAGCTGCTCCTTTTGAAATCGATCAATAGGTTCAAAATATTTAATTATTTACACTGTCATTAGTATGGAAGTTCATAAAATTTAGTTTGTAACTGAGAATCACAATGAGGTAGGAGAAGGGTGGCTGCAGTCCCCTGGATTGGGCAGAATTGATAACGAATATGATTTTCGTATCTATATTCTTAGCATATAGAAAAGATTGAGTTTGACGTCCTAGCTGAGCATCGTAATTGGTGTCCCTGGATCACAACAGTCCCCAGTGCAAGGACCACAGGTGAACCCATTCAGAAATCCACCGGCTGGCAGATCTTGCTTGAACATTTGATCCAGTCTGCATCTCCTGAAAAACGTGTGGTGAAACAGGTAAGATTTAATCTATCTTGACTTTATTGTAGTGTTTACACGTGTGTAGTGTTCTTGTTATACTAAACGGGATAGTATGATACTAATATTCTTGTTTGTTTGCATGGTGACAGTCAATAAGTAATTTAGCCTGTAGGTACACCACGTAAGTATTTAATACTGCAAAGCTTTCGCTCCGTTAACCCGGGTCTTCATCAGTGCAATATAAAGGCCCGGGTTAACGGACCGTGTGCCTACAAGCATACGTGGTGTGCCTACAAGCTAAATTATTTAGTATGATCCTGTTTCTTACCTTGTTAGTTGTTTTCCACCAACTTTCTTCTATATTTTCAGACACCTCCTACCCAAGTCTGGAAATCATTTCGACGCCTTTTTCACGATTGTCAGACAACGATCATGCGGACAACAAAGTCCCATGTTCTTGCAGGCAAGGTTTAATTTTAACTAACCAAGTTGGAAATATTTTGTAGAGAAAATTTTATTTATAGACTTAATAATCAAAAAAATATTTTAGTGATATAATTGGTCATGATATGGTCTGGAATGGTCTGAAAGAGCACTACGCGTTACACCAACCTTAGAAGTACCTTTTTATAGGTGTAATTTCGCATGTGATAAATCACACTTTTTCCCATGTTTAAAGCTGCCGCATATATGGTGCCGTTGCTCGAATTGATCATGATCGATGCATATTGTTAATTCAGCACAATAAGCTTCCCTTTCATCGTAGGTACAGTATATGTACGTATGCTTGTGTATTGCTTTCTTACCATGGGTAACCATGCGACTTGGAGAGTATGTTGCTTGTAGCCTTTATCAACAAATTTACTCATATTTTTGACATTTTTCTTGTGATGAAAACATTTTTATTGATGAAATTTTATGTATCACAATTATTCACTAAATATTTTTTCGGGCTTGTAGACCCGACAGACAACCAAACTCGTTTGGTTGTAATCTTGTAGAGCAGTCGTTTTAGGCTTCCACACCATATCTTGATTATGTATGTTTTGACATTAAACAATTATTGAATGGAGTTGAACATGATATGAAGAATCATCAAGCCGAGGTTTGATAACGACCAACTTCGGCTTGGTAATTCTTCATATCTGCATGTTCAACCTTGTTCAATAATTGTTAATTATATTAAACTAAGCATGTTTTGTTTAGTTAATACGAATTAATAGGTATATTTTATCAGCTTATCTTGTTATGACTCCAGTGTATGTACTGTACAGTGGGTTTCAGTAAGATTTACCCAGGTGGTCATCACACTTTAATCAATGCGGCAAAATATTTTTTATGTTATTGTTGTTACTTTGATAACTTTTTCTTATCTAATAAATTGTTGCAACTACCACATGAGTCATCTGAAAGTTAAATGTTGACGACTTTTCCTGAGAACGAAGGCAGAAATGTTTGACACACCCTTTGAAATTTACATTAAAAATAGCAAACAATGGCGTATATTTCAGATCACTCTTCCACAATCCATAGAACCGATGAGGGCGAAATTTAATCGATAACCTTATTATGACTGTATCGCGGCCAGGGAGTGTAAGTCATGTAACATGGGTGGCTATTTGGTTGGGGCAGGGCCGCAGAGTCAGACGTTAGGTGTGGTTATGAAGTGCACCTTGCACCGACTTGAATTTTGTTTTTGATGAAAGTTTTTACACACTTTGCCTTTGGTACGAACAACTGTATTCTTGCCTGATCTAGAGCTGGCAATTTTCTTGAGTCTTGACAAAAAAATTTTAACTCATCTAGTGCGAGAGGGGGTTACAAAATCTCGCAAGCCTGGGCTTTTCTACCTTACAAGTGACAGCCGTTCTGTCAGATGTGCTGTCGGACAGACAGATGTGTTGTCTTTTGCCTGAGAGCCATCTCGACCGGAATTATGGCTGTAACACAAAGAAACTATTATTCCTGTGTGTAACTCAGCTTTGACCCCGCTGCAAACAGTGTGAACGTGCTGAATCAGTCCAGTGGGTAGGAACTAGGAAGTAAAAATTTTCAGACTGAACATGACATCTTTTAAAAGCAATATTATTAAACAGAGACGACGCTAGAGCAGAGGCTTAATGAGGGGGTTGATATTCATACGTCCGTCTTATGCGTGAATGATTTCTTCTCAAGGGCCTGGGCGATTGTGGGGAACATATATGAATATACACCACTCAACTGAAGCTTCTGGCGTCAGCTTGTGCATGAATTTAATATATATTATGTTGAATTCGCTGATAGATTGAGCCCGATTAAATCCAAAATCTCTAAATTCCTAATTGACAAGACCTGTGTTCATACAAAAATAGTGGAAGAATTTATACCTGTGTACTTACAAAAATAGTGGAAGAAAAATTTATCACTGTGAATGATACCCCGGTTTTATTTGTGAGAGGTCTGGGGTCTAATCAGGAAAACATTTCGAAATTTGCATTTTGTGATTGTATAATTATATTTGTGTCAACTTTTGTATAGTTCCTGGTTTTCCTGTGTTTAGAGTTTAAAATGTCCCACCAAACTGGAATTCAAGGTAAGGAAGTCAAAATTTAATGAACTTATCATTTTGAAAGATGATAGAAGTTTGTTTATACTTCGGGGTTGAACATGACACTTCCAACTCGGTGTTTTATATATTGTAAGTGTTACATGTATATTCAGGTGTAGACGAAGTACATGAGCTTTATTACTTATGGTACATTATATTGGTAGCCTTCAGTAGGCTTTACAGCGTTATATGGTGGGCTAAAAGTGAATAACACGACCAGATTAGTATACATATGAGGTGCACGTATAAGATTTTCACACTTTGTTAGCTATTTAGTTTATAAGGACCACCAGCTGTGTGATATTGCTTTTTTATTTCTGACATCTCTCGAATTTGATAATAGAAATATCTGTAACTGTAAAATGATGTGTTTTTGTTCCTTTCATTATTTCAGCAAATGATGAGTTACTTAATGCTTTTGCTTCATCAAAAGATGGCTCTATTCGAGTTATTAAAATATCTATTGAAAATGGTAACTTTCAATTCCTATAGCTGATTTAACTTGACATTGGAAAATCACAGCCAGTTAATAGGTTTAAAAAACTATTTGCCAGTGTCTCATATTGTGAGATACCACAAAGAAATATTGAATACATTAGGATATTTGCTGTATAAGTTTCATTAATTTTTTATAAGGTTATTTTTTAGGATTTTGTTGTTATCAGTTACTTCAACTGACAGATATGTGTTAAAATAATTCTATCTCTTTAGAACAACTAGTCTTTGCTGAGAGTGCCTCTCCAATGGACAACTGGGTTGATGATATCCTTTGGATTAGTAAAGATTATTTAAATTATTAAAGATTTATAAAACTGTTAATTATCAAAGACTTATTGAAATTTTACCACAGGCAGCCCAGGAAGCATGCGAAAATTATGTATGCATGTTTATATTCTATACATATATATGAGCAATGAAATTTCTGCAAAGTCAACAAATTCTTACACTTTATATTAAAAATGTATGAAATTATGAATATTTTACAACAGTATATATATTATTCACATGTGAGGATATTTTCCCTTGACTAACAATACACTATGATTCCAGTGTTCTTTCAAGGCTTGAAGAAAAGCAACCATGTTATATCCTGTATCGACTTGACTCAGAAAATAACCAAGGCTATGAATGGTTGTTTATTACATATTCACCTGACAATGCACCTGTAAGTTAGTAAAATGTAAATATAATTATTTGATTCATGGATGATGTATATATTTTTGAATAGTAAAAGTGAGCTTTATATTGTTAATGCTTACAATTAAACTTCAGTCGTCAAGAATTTTATGAATCAACACTGATATGATTTTTTTCAGGTTCGAGAGAAGATGTTGTTTGCTGCCACAAGAGCAACTCTGAAGAGTACATTTGGTGGTGGTCACATTAAAGATGAATTGTTTGCCACACATAAGGTATATAAATTCAAAAGATGATTTTAAAATTGTGTATTGAAATTATTTAATACAAGCAAGTAGAAGTAGCATTACACATGTAAAATACTAAGGCTTTTTTTCCAGAGGGATGCAAGCTATGAAGGTTACATGAAACATCTTGAACATCTAGCAGCACCACCACCTTTAACTGATGCTGAAGTAGAACTAAAGATTGTTAAAGAATCAGAGGTACTTACCACCTGTTCATTAATATGATTCTCTTCATATTCAGCCATCTGATTCTAAATCCCTGCTAGAAATAATGTTATAATTGTTAATAAACATCTTGTTTTGTGTTTTATCAGAGCCGTAGCAACATTGGTATTCACACAAGGCACAGCAACCTGCCTGGTGTCAACTTCCCAATATCCGAAGAAGCCTTGCAAAAACTAGGTGCACTTCGTGACAAGCAAATTACCTTGGTTCAACTGGTAAGCAAGATTAATATGAAGTTTGATTTTAATATCAACACATGGGTTATGTGGTGTATACATATTTAACTAAATTCACCTTCAGGATCATATATTGCAAGGCATATTAGAAAGTAGAAATACCTGTTAAAAAATATCATCATATATTGCAAGGCATATTAGAAAGTAGAAATACCTGTTAAAAATATCATCATATATTGCAAGGCATATTAGAAAGTAGAAATGCCTGTTAAAAAATAATTGTGAACATCTAACATTTAGAGACAAAGTTCTTATCATAGTAACCAAAAAAACACCAGCACTTAGTGTACTGAAAAATTATCTGTTTGTACTACTTTACTGTATAACATAGTATAAACTTCTATTAATTGAAGAAAAAAACATGGTTGAATTTTCAAGAAAAATAGCCTTTGAACAACAGCCAATTTATTAATTTTGCCATATTTCTTGTCCCTCGATTTGGGTAAATTTATTTGGAAAATGGCTTATTTGCTGCCTACAAACGCACTTAAATATGCACCATGAACCTATAAGTACCTGTGCCAGAACTGATTATTTCACATCATTTTATCCCAGAGTGTTGATACAGAAGCCGAGCAAATTGAGTTACGTTTCGCTGGAGACTGTTCTGTGGAGGAAATTGCTAGCAAGACACCTGAAGAAAATCCCTGTTATAGCTTTTTCTTGTTTAAGCATACGCATGAAGGAGATTATTTAGAATCTATTGGTAAGTGTACTCCATCAACTAACTGCCCGAAATTTACAAGAAAACTTCAAGGCGTTTCGTAAAGTGTTAAAACGAGAATGAGAGTTGTGTTAGAGTTGACGAGAGTTTAGAAGCGAGAGTTTGCACGAATGTTTTCCACCAAACTATCGTGCGATGGATAGTATATTTTGTACTATTTTGCTAAGCCTGCTATTTCAAAATGCAAACCGCTAGCTGTTTTGCAACTCCCATTCAAAGTCGACTAGTTGATGAGAGTGCCGCATTCAAACGCTAGCGAAAGTTGCAACTCTCATCAACTCTCAGTCTCGTTTGACAAGGGCTTAAAACTTATTACTTTGTCTTTTTGTACAATTGCACTTCCATACTTGTTTGTTTCAGTATTCATTTACAGTATGCCTGGATATAAGTGCTCTGTAAAAGAACGTATGTTATACTCAACATGTAAGGCGCCGTTATTGGCTGGATTGGAAGAAGAATTGAAGTTAGAAATCCCTAAAAAGGTAAGTTTTAGATGGGATAGGATTTTTGACTTCGTAACATCAAATTTAACATTTGCACCAATTACCTTGTATACTGTATTAACACGAGCTCATTGTTTTAATATGTTGTGGCGAATTAGAGAACACCAGTCCATTTTATCGATATTAAATAAAAAAACTGTCTACTCGTATAGATCGAAATAGAAAACACCGAAGAAATTACGGAAGAATTTTTGCTTGATCAGTTGCATCCCAAGAAAATCCTGCATCAGCCAAAATTTGCAAAGCCTAAGAGACCGCAAGCGAGAGGTGCACGGAGAATGATTCAGAAAGGCGAAAACAACGAAAACTAAAAGCAACTGTTTATAATTAAACATTTTAATAAATGATTATATTTAGTGAATGAAGAAAGGAGTTGTGAAATATTGATTCTAATATAGACAACGATTGCATGCAGTTTATTTCATGAACCAACAGTTAATGTGTAAGTGAAAAATGTTCATTGGTTTGGTAAAATGCAGTAACCAGCCACTTGAACTTCTTTTGACTGAAGCTTGCAAGATGATTCTACTATCATAATTATCAATGAGGGTTGTCCGGCCTAGCTCGGTGAAGCATATTCATTTATGATTATAATCATTTATTAAAATAATTTTTCGTTATGTAATTTTATACCCATACTGTAAAGCAAAATTTGTATTAATTAAGGATACGTATATCAATCCACAAACTTAATTTTTTATTATTGTTATCCATCGAAATCATTTTCAAAAGAATATTGATGATCATTTTATAAGTATTAAAGTACTTCACAGTACTACACATAGTACATTCAATTATATAAAGTAAACAAATGAAGTTCATTTTGTGCACCCAAAATGCAGACTTGGCTGGTGCCAGTTACAATATGACTCAGCGGTTATGGACTTGAAAGTTGAAATGCAGAGCGTACGCCCTCGAGGCTAAATGATCTTCTGTGATGGGGCAAAATGGCGCAAACTTTTTGACGTAAAAGTAATCGTGATGACATTTTCCCATTTCCAACATTAGAACAACTCATTTTCAGTGCTGTGGAACTAAATTTTCTAAGAGGGGGGTTACCTTGACAAGGGTGAAGCAGTGGAATCGGTAAAAATATGTGACACAATCGTATGACGTCATAGATGTTCACCACTCACAACTGAGATGACTGATGACTTAGATAAGATAGATCATAACTTGAAAAAGGGGACTGTACCTCCGCTCCTAAGCGTCACCCCACTTCTCTCTCATTCTATTTTGCCTTAATCTACCAGCTACAGTGGGCAGGGGGGAGTCGTGGGAGCCGCTCCCCCCTTTGAAAAATTTATTCATAAAATATGCTTACTTCGAAATGAATTAATTTAATTAGGAAGCATTAAATCTACTCAGTCTTTCAAGTATGCTTGTTTTATTCAGCCCGGGCTGAAACTCAACTGAAACTATAGCCTCGCGGCTTCCCGCCTCTTTAATGGCCCCTGCAGATGCCCGACCTGGCATGAACACATCAGTTGAGAATCGTGGTATAAATAATAAATGTGTACTTTCTCAGTGGACTCTGCGAATGTTAGTCGGGTGATTTTCTCTGAAATAGTCTGTTTCATAAAAGAAGGTCAAAGCATGCATGCAGCCAACACTCCTAGCCACTTCTTCCTAGGTTTGCTTTTGTCCCTAACCAGTAACCACGAACTCCTAACTGAAGTGCATCTACATAATGAAAATTTAGTTTACAAAGCTAGGGCAAAGCCTGGTCTAGGGGACGATGACAAATAACTAAGGTAGCAACTAGCAAGATGTAAGTATAAAAATATACAGCATTTTTCGAGAATTTGGCGAACGTTTACGGATGACTGCCGATCAATTCCGAATTCCGATTCTAAAACAAAAATCAAAACATGGCCGACATCAGGGAGGAAGATTTCACTCGAATGCAGGTATATTATGATCGCATTAAATCATTTATCCATCCGATTGCCGTCTCAATTAAAGATCATGTTTATATTCCACTCGTAGGCACAGATCATCGAGCTACGAACTGCAAATTATGATACGGAGGTCAAATACCAGAGGCAAAATAATGGTAACTAGATGCCTTACAGTTGTACCAATCTATATAGATACCCAACGATTTCTACTTATTGTTCGTCTGTATGTATCATGAGTGTAGAAAACGTTGCTGGTCGAAAACCGGTGGAAGAGAATTGGCACAATTGTGGTCATTCTTCGACTAAAAATTTCAATTATATAAACGCGGAAATTTTGCGTATTTGACATTTTTGCATGTATATTTTTTATATTTGGTACTATTTACGAGTTCGATCATGCACAGTACAATAATTGTAACCCTGTCTGATTATTCAAGTACTGATAGGTTTCTTAATTCAATAATACATTACTTTGTCAGTTGTTGCTCATTTTACATTGCCACTGGTAAAATTTAATAGGCCATGACTGAATAGCTCACTATCTAGTAATTAAGATGCTGGTTATATGCCAGACAGCATTCCATAATTTTTGTTCACCTTGTACTTACATCAGCTGTACCAGAAGTACACCGATGTTAATTTCTTGGGTTACCACATCATGAATGTCTGATATGTCACAAAAATATTATCCTTCTAATATCTTAAATACTGGTCAGATTTATCTCTCTTGAGTTTAAATGAAAGAATATGAAATCATAGCTGTATGCCTTCGGATTAGTTACTTTGAATTTCAAACTATTTAAATTCTTAAATGTGTAATTATGAGATTTAGGACACGTTTTAGAACAATCTTCACTCTCTGATAAACCAATATACTAATTACAATTTATTCATAATTCTAGAACTTGAACAGTTGAGAGAGAAATGCTCACAGATTGAGAGAGAGTTAGAGAAAAGCAGTAAGGTGCGTACTTTAATTTAGTTTAGTTTCTTGTGGTATGAGATATATCTTGTGTGCAAAGTCAACCTACATTTATGTTTTCGTGATCTGATAGAAGGTAAAAAGGCTTAAACAATGTTAAGCTTTAGCAATACTGACATTGCTAGTTGTTTAAATATTTGTCAAAGTTTTTGCCCTCCTTGTCAAATTCTATATTAATTATTATTCTTTGAGCAAAAATCATGGGCAATGTCCTAATATAGCCAATCATGTAACACCAATTATTCACACTCTGAGGTACCAAGCTTTGCCTATATTTGAACCTGGTCTGTTGCACTGACATCACAGTGAAAAATAGTTCATTTTCTTTCAAACCCCTGAACCAGCTAAATGAACCAATTTTTTAGCATTTTTGTAATTAAATTTAGAAATTGAAACTATTATAATAGTTAAAAGGCATAAATGAAAGTAAAATTTACATCCAGGCATGAATCTAGCATGTTATATATGCAAGGTGAAACAAGTCTCAAGTCCATTTTATTATTTGCTTCATGCCAGATTTATTTTTGGGTTTTTTCATGTCTCCTTATGGAAATTAGGAGATTAATACCAACGGTATTAACAGAATACCGCATAGTAGTTAGCAGCTGTGTCATATGTATGCCATGGCACCACTGTTTAAAGAAGTTGTCTCGAGTTTGATCTGGTGTATCTGTAAGTCGCGATCGTTTTACGACTACGAGATCTTTTCTTTTAAAAACCGTTCTTCAGTTCTTCTCCGTATTGTTCTTCAGCTTGCACAAACATCTTTTTAAAAACAGTTGCACCAAATCTCGCACTATAGAACGATCCTAGTAGAAGATATTCAATGAATATCGTAGTCGCAGACTCGTAGTAGATTTTGCAGTCGTAGCGAGTCTAAAGTTCACTATTGTCGTATACACACTATTAGCAAGGAAAAATTCGTGATCGATTCGGCCAATATCTATATCTTCGGGCGACGAGTCGCGCTCTATATATGTCGCTCGATATTCACAGGTGATATTATTTCTAATTCTTCTTTGGTTTTTCGATTCTACGATTTCTATCCTACATTCTTACGTTCGCCGTTCAAACTTCGTTTTCAGCAGTCAAGGATTTGAGTGGCATTTATCTGAAGTATAAACTTACTGTAAACTTATTTGGTTCTCTTCTTAAATCTTTATCGGATGTTTTACAAATATTACAAATATCAATTGCGAATTTTTTTTTTTAGATTATTCAAAAAAGTAAAAACAAAAAGGTACGGTCTCAAGATCAAATTTGATGTGCAGTACATATATATAAACCAAAGGCTCTTTACATTTATATTCTAGAGGTCTTAATTTTGAGTGGAATTATACACACTTAAAATTCGTTTTCCCATCAACTGTTCCTGGCTTGAATTTAAAGTGTGTACAATTCCACTCGAATTAAGACCCTTTGAACTTCTAGAATTTACCTGTCTCGAGTGAAGTGCCAATATTGACAATTGTTGACAAATATCAACAAAATTATTGAACTGCCACTTTTAGGAATATGCTTTACTTTTGGAAGAGAATGAAAGTTTACAGCATCAGTTGAGGGTATGTTCTGTCTGTGACTGTGGTAATGCGAACGAGACTATTTTTCAGTTAACTTATTACCGTGGTGTTTTCTTTTTTCTTTTTTCACTTTCATAATTGTCATTCTGGTAGGATCATGAGGAAGACTTCAAACTTCAAAATAAAACACTGCTCGAAGAAGTTACGAGGGTAGGTAGAATGAAGAAATACTGTTTTTTATTTTGCCGAATGATAATACACGAATGATAATCAACAAAAGTATAATCTAAATCGTTGATATTTTCCATCAATCGTAGCTAATTCAAACTTTAAATCAGAATCCTACTTGAAAAACTTAAACACCTAAGTGTACCGTGCGGATTTTTCCACTGTTTTTTTTTCCCAGTTTACGAGGTTACCATCTTAAGGGATTGATTGCCAGATAAATAATAAGATATTTAGACATCTATTCACTGCTGCCTTTTCCTTCAAAATAGGTAGAAGATGAAAATAAGAAACTAATAGAAGAAGTAAAAAATCTCAAATCTGGAAAAGAAGGGGACGCTTTTTCTTCACACGAAGCTGAATTAAGAAGATTAAAAGCTGAGAACGCTGTTCTACAAAAAAGTCTTAAATGTGAGTATTAAATGGTGTTCTGATGAGACTTTTAAAGACTTTTAAATTGGTTAGTTGTCCATTCAGTGCCATTGGGACGATGATTGAGCAACTACATGCTGGCGCTACTGCAGGTGACCGGTGATTCTGTTCAACAAGAGAACTCTATACCAATTAAGACACGATTATGGTAGTTCCACAATGGTTCCGACTTCCAAGGATATAATAATAATAATAATAATAATATTTTACAATAATATAATAATATTTGTACTGTATTTATATTTTAACAGGATATGCCTAAACAGGCAACCATTATAGCTATAGCCAACGGACCAGTCTGTCACGTTTAAGTTGATCTTGTTTTTCGTAGAAAGACATTCTTTAGCAATCGTTTATCTTTAATTATATATTTTCTTTAATATAGCGACGCAAGCATCTTTTGAAGCCGAACCTCAGAACGTAATCGATGGGGAGAATCTGCAAACAGCTGTTAGTAAGCAACCAAATGCAGATGACGATGGACAAAGTACAGGCGAAAACCTGACGACAGAGAAAGCAGTTCAAGATCCACAATCAATTTTAAATGAAATTATAGATGAATTCACTAAACAGATTAACTTGACCTTCGAGACATTTTTTCATGATTTCGGACTTAAATGTAAAACGACAGAGGAGCAAGATGTTCAATCTCCTGATAACAATGGATCTGAGACGACTTTAGGGGATAACAATGCATCTGAGACAACTTTAGGGGATAAAAATGGTGATGAAATAAGACATTGTACATTGGATCAAGTAGAAAATTTAAATGAAAAAATTCAAAGTAAAATTTCTACCCTGCTACAGGATAAAGGTATTACTAATCTTCACGAATTTATTTACTCAATTATACATCACCTGTACAACTTGTATTGTTTCTAATTTATTTTTCTTTATTACATTATTTTTCCCAGTTGTCACTTTGAAGTTAAAAAACGAAAATTACGAAGAGGTATAAACCGCGTCTGTCTATAAAATGTGTTAATGTATAAATAACCCTAAAAATTTTGTCATGAAAATTTTCTTGTCACTTATTTTCCAATTTTTTTTCATTTAATCTGTCAAAAAGACAAACCTAAAACCGTCAACGCAATTAACTGGTAAGTTAAAAATCCTGCCAGGAGCCGGATAATTTCATGTATAGCTTTTTTACAGTACTAGTTACAGTACCCTTTTCTCAAGAAGTAATACACAGTCAATACTCCAACCATGGGAGTATATTGTCGGACAATATAGACACTGGACTGTATCTTTTGAGATAGCTTGTTCGAACTCTAAACAGTCACCACGTTCAATTAAATGTAGTTCTCAGGTGTTTCAGATGCACGTCACGGGCATTTTTAAAACACTTTCAGAAATATGTTTTTAACTAGTCAGTTTAAGCGCAAATAATAGCAAGTATTTTTATAATAATAATAATAATACCAAAATGAGTATTATTAACTATTTGATTAAAAAATATATCGTTTTATTTTAAAAAGAAATCCAACTACAGCTAGCCACTGAAAGGGAAGAGAAAAACATTTTAGAAGAACAATTAGTTACTCTGGAAGTACGTCTTTTTGCATTTTTGTCACTGTTCTGTGCGTCGAATTTTTTGTTGAAATTATACATTTCTTCACTCTTGCTTATAGGGAAATTTACGGAAAGATATTTCAAGACTCGAGGAAGAAGTCAGTAAGGTAAGTGCAATATACAAAGAGATGCATGCATGGTGAAGGAAGTTAGTAGCTGAAATATGAATCAGTCGATTGTAAGTTAGAATATACCAAAAATTGTTCAGTATTTGTATTATATGTGTCTAATACATGTAAGCCACCAACTTTGGTTAGTAAGCCGCTGTAAGAGGGGTTACAGCGGCTTCTGCGCATCCGTTCTGCTCATAACATTGGGGGACTCCATGATTTAGAAATTGCTCAAATATCGCATGTTTTGAATTTCTTTGAACATAAACTCAATCTCTTATTCATTTAGAAATATATAGTGGACTGAAATGGTAATAAATATTCTGACAGGATAGGATATTTTAAGAGATCTAGTAATTCAAAATGTAGACAAAACCTTTATTTACATGCATTACCGACTACATGTAACCCACCTTTAAGTGTTCAATAAAGTAAAAATAGTTCCATAAAATAAAAATAGTTAATAGTTAAAAATAATGATCTTCTCCTTTGTTTAAAGTTAACGGAGAAAGCCAAGAAGAAACAAGAAAGGTCAGTTTCAATTCATGTGGATGATTTTCAATGTATTAATGACTTGTTATTAAAACTGTTTCTTCTCGTTCAGCTTTATTCAACTGCAAAATGAAAAAGAGAATCTTTATAACGAAAACAGGTAATTTAGGCTTGAAATATTGCATGTAAGATGAAATTATAATACTAAATCATTACAGCTCTTTTATCATATTTCTTAATGTGCATCTCTGTAGAAAGACAATCGAAGATATGAAAATAGCGCATTCAAACGAGATTAAGGTAGATCTTAATTTATTTATAGGTTCATCCACATACATGCATGTAGAATAGTTAAATGATTTAGAATATATAAATAGTTGAAGAAATCTTACTCTTAGTTTGTCCCTCATTTAGAAATTTAAAGAACAAATAACACAGTCTTCACAAGATTTAGATGCAGCAAGAAAAGTACGTACATTTGTCTTATTTATAAGAGATTAACTTTGCACCCAATGCCGAATGATATTGAAAATTAACCAATGATCGATTCTTCAACCTATATACTGCAATAACGTTTAATTTTTTTTGTCTGATTTATTTGAAAGGAACTGGCAGACAATCAACAAACATCGGAAAATAAGGTTGAAGAATTAGAGAAAAAGCTACTTGCTCAAGAAAGTCAGGTACGAGAAAAAAACATGCATGTTCATGACCATCTACAAATTGCTCTTTCATACCATCAGATTTATTTATTAGACCAATTTCGTATTGGTTAAAACAACTAAAAACTTGGTTAAACACAATCAATTTTTGTTCTTTTTCTACGTAAAATAGATGAAAAAAGATGATTCTGAAATAACCAATTTTGAATTAATTGTTTTAACAATCTGTTTTTTAAGTACTGACTAATTTCAATAATTTTGTATTCACCCAGGCAACGTCGAATGTCGAAGAAACGATACAAGAGTTGGATAATGCCAGGTATAGCGCATCCGTATGAGAGGTCATAGGCTCTCGGCTCAAGATGGAGATAATTACAACTCTGGTTTTTCTTCTAACATCAATTTCTCTTTATATATCATCAGAATAGAAAACAGTTCTCTATGTGAACAGCTGCAATCACTACAAGAGGTACAGTTTTACGCTTTTTAACTGTATAAATAATAGTCAAATGTTTCAATGTGTCAAATGCATGGTCGCCAAAACCATGAGAATTGACACGTAAAAGAAGTTTAAACCGCGTTCTAGTTAGAGAATAGATCTATAGATAAATATAGGTTGTAGAATTTTTGCCAAAGCTCTTTCCGATACGTCATATTACTGGTTTGAATTCAAAGATCGCGATGTGAGATTGAGATGAGAACACAGGCCAACCTTCCTCTCCCTCTATTCCTTTCAGTTCATCCGATCCATTGAGTCCTAACCTAATTGTAATACCTCATCCTTCCTCGACAACAGAAATATTCCTCTGATATCAAACCGTCATGCATCCTCGTTTAAAGTTTTAAAGCTAAGCATTACGAATGTAACTCTTATAGACATTAGCCACGAAAGTCCAAGAATATGGAGCTTGCGTTTGCGTTATATTATTAACATTGCAAAATCCTTTTATATTATAAAAAAGGATTTAATTTCAGTGATATTATCAAATGATAGGTAGGATGTCGTTTAAGTATCATTATCATGGGAGAACTTTTAGACGACTTTAGACGACTTTGCAATGGAAGTATAGTAGATTATTTCTGTTCAAAACTTATTGTGGGTGTTCAAATAGCAGAAGCTTTATATAGTTGTAATATATATTTAGTGTCTACCTATAGTGTACATGCTCTAAGTTTAACTCCCAGTATATATTTGTATAAAATATCACCTTGTCGGCGTGTCGGGTGACAAGAATGCGGAGATTTAGAGCAACAAACTACGGTAGCAGAATAGCAGAAATTGTCGGTTACATATTATTATTATTTAAATGTTATATAGTGTAGTTTTTAAGATAAGAATAAACAGAACAAACTTCAATGTTTCGCGAGTCCCGTTTTTCTGTCGGTGTGAGCCACTGTAAGCTTACCTTGACTCATGCCTGGGAAATTTTTAACCGCGCTTGCTGTCCTTTTTGGAATATTTTAGACGTTGGAACTTTACCCCCTATTAGCCACTGATAACCTTCTGTGCTTCTGTCTTGCGTGTTAAGTAGCCCACGAACTGGTAGCAAATGAACTTTCCTATGTTGATTTTTAGGCATGTGAATCGTATCGTATTGAAAACGAAGACCAAAAGGTACGAAAAAATACCGTAATGCTCTTCCGACAAAACCTTGCATTTAAAAAAGGATATGAACACGTATGAAAGCCAAGGAAAGAATTGTCTCATTGCTTGTAATTCAACAAAATATATCTGTGTATACGAACTTGTCTATTTTCAGATAGGAAAAGTTGATCGTAAATTGTTTTTTGATTTAAACTATTTTAGGCAATGTTGATAACTATGCAAGATAAAATGAAGCAGATGGAGGATAAGGAAATTACGCTGAAGGCAGACAACGATAAACTAAAATCTGAGATTGAGGTGTGTTTAATTGTTGTTGTTCATTCTTGAGATGAATTTTGTTTCATTTGCACCTGATGGGTGCTGGGTGGCTCTGCGGGGTAGTTCCATTCGTAGATCATGATTGTAGCGAGGGTGACAGTAATAATTAGACAGATTTATCTTTAGGACGGAAACGTCAGAAATGACGTGAAACGACGTGGCGCGTCCAAAAATGGGCGCATCAAGCCATTTTATTCGCCATTTTTACGTCATCTTCAACGTTCCATGCAATCTTCAATCTTCATTGTCTTCATACTAAATCAGCCTAATGATGTCATGACGATGCTGATTAATTTGTAATGAATGTGGACATGTGGTGACGATGATTTAAATATATCTGTACAAGTTATGCTCATTCTTGTTTACTATACACAGGAATCCAGCCTTAGTTACGAACATTTGCGAAGACAAGTTGACGAGACAATGGGTGAAAAAGAACAGTATATACAGAGTGCAAACGAAGCAGCGAAGGTAAAAATATTTCTAGGAAAGATTTCGATAGTTGTAATCGCCATTTTCTCCTACCCCTCAATTTGTACATTATTGCGCGGCTGGCGAATTTCTGTTTAGAGAAAAAAGGACTTGAGGCAATCAACTCGATGAAGTGTAGATTTTAAGTGCATTATCAATTTTCCTTCAGCTTGCAGAGAAACGAAAACAAATCCTTGATGAATTTTCGATCGATCAACAGAAGCTCGTGGCCGAGCACAAAGAACAACTAGAAAGATTGGAAACTAGCTATAAAGACGAAGCGAAGAAGACTGAAGACGAATTCAAGGTATGACTTTCTCATGCGCAGCTTGGTTGGGGAGGTTGTAATTAACTCACGTGCAATTAACTGGCTTGCAATTAACAGGCCATGCGAGGTGGTCTATCCGTTATTGCAGATAATATGACTAGTTTTTCATTATAAGAAGTCCATTTCACCAGAATGCATGACTGGAAAAATTACCAGAAAGCACCAAATGACGCCAACTCATTTTAATACAACAAACAATCTTTTCCGTAATTGGGGATTAACGGTTCACAGTTCACACGTACTGACCGACCGAGCCTTACCTTTCCGGGAAAGTCCTGCTTAGGTTCCTTGTTTATTCATTAGGTATATTATGGTGTTTAATGAGAGACTGCCATCGTATTCCCAGTACGGAAAAAAGGCTTTGGAAACAAGAATGCTAGCTTCACGTATTTGCTACTTGTCCCCAGGGTTTTCTTTGCTAGGAGGATGAAATTATATCACAAATATCTCACCCTACATCTATATTATTTAGTTTAACTGTAAGGTTTTTTTTGTATTAGAGAACTATTGAAGATCTTAAGACGCAGCTTCAAGGTGAAAAGGTACATATATAAGATATTTATAAGATATATTATTTACTGGCAAGGAGACAGGGGTTGCAGATGCGTTCTGGTGACTGCTGTTTACCATTTAGTAAAGCAAGTTAAGATCATGCGGTGGTTCCTGCTTGCATGAGTGGGACCTTAGCGTGCTTTATAATAAAATGGTAGTATGTCGAGCTATCCACCATGCATAGAGTGGTTTAATTTAAACTTATCCTTCATGCCTTAGAAACTAAAAAAAGATCTTGAGGAGAGTCAGCAGCATCTTTCTGACGTCACGTCACAACTGACCTCTGTGGAAAGCAAATGTGGCTGGTTTGAAAGAAGATTGGCGGAAACTGAGGTTTGAATAATTTCCATTCAAAATCATTATTTATGTTTCAATTCTTCTTTTTGCAAACCAAAATAAAATGAACGCACTGTAAAGACATCACTCTGAAATACGTGCTATTCGGCTATGTTCTTTTAGGAAAATTTGAGCCAGGAAAAGGCGAACGCTGTTGAAACAATTGAAGAAATCAAGAAAGAACATGAGTCAAATATGAATGAAACAACAGCAAGACACGAGGCTGAACTTCAGGTGACTTTTTGCTAATGTTTTAAAGCATACTTTTCCGACTTTTTGGTTGAGGAATGGTGCAATTCTGTTGAGATTATTCTTAGTCACTGACCAGTAAATTTTACTAATATGTGTTCAATAGACCTTTTTCATAATGACGTCAAACGCGGAAGGTCTGATGTTACACGAAGTTTGATTGGCTCGATAGTTTTGTGGAGCCAATCAAATTTCATGTAACATCAGACTTTCCGCGTTTGACGTCTTGATAAGAAAGGTCTATTGGTTGCTGTGGAGGAGTCAGGAATGTTATATTGCTGTAATGATACGGTTGGACATTTGATTTGTGTCTCCAATGAATATAGAAATTGAACGAAAAGTTGGAAGCCGTAGAAGCAGAGAAACAAGAGCAACAGAATGTGATTGAGAAGTATAAACAAGAGATCAAAGACAAAGATGTAGAAAACGTAATAGCTGGAAAGAAAGGAGATCATTTAATGAAAGATTTAAAGCGACAGTTAAAGATGGAAAGGAAGAAAACAGAACAACTTCAACAAAGATTGCAAGAAGCTTGTTCTGAAAACAGAGCTCGAGAAAGTAAGAATTTATAATGAATGAATACAACATCCAGGGTACCTCGCGCTGATATTTTAGCCAAATACTTCTCAGAAGGGTGGTGGAAGTTGTCCATTTTGCAGTATTAAATCGAAATTTTTAATCGAAACTATTCGAAATTTTGTGATTATGCATAGTTAGCTATAAGACCTCTGACATAAATTTTTATTTGGCAACTATAGCCCCCCTAGTATAGTTTCCCGCCATTTCAAATACCTGGATATTTACAATTAAATGATTGCAGATTTTGAAAAGCTTTTTGATCCCAATGTATCAAAAGAGTATGGACGGCGAAACAGCGGGTATGTTTATATAAAATCATCATTGTGTTCTGTTTTTTAAACTTGGGAATCTTTATATAGCTACAACACGCTAAGGTCATTCCTATTTTGTATTCTATATATGTAGAGATTCATCTATGCTCAGTGGTTCCTCTTTAACAAATGAATCTCATGACACTAAGGTATAAAATATTTCATATATAAACTGTGGCCATCTAATACGCCTTGTTATTGAGGAAAACTGTGGAAAAAAAGGTTGACTCTATAAAAAAGACGGCAATGAAGACAGAATAAAGGCTCTAAGGCTGGGCAAAGTCATACTTGACGTCACTACGACGGGAAACGTAGAGCGAACGCATGTCAGGCCTGATCAACCTGTCGTTTTTCTAGGAGCCAAGTCCGGATTCATCGTTCAACACCAGTGTAAATGATGAAACGGCAGATTTAATTTCGCGCGTAGCCGATATACAGCAAGAAAAATGGCAACTGGAAGAAAGGGTAATATTCAAATAACGCTTGCTTCATCCGCTATTTGTTTGATAATGGATAGATTTCTACGAAGATCATATTTAGGTTTCATCTATACAGTTATACTGTGCATAGTGTATCACGAGTCGTTCTAACTATGTTCCAAAGGAAAACTAATAGTTTGAGTGGCTGACTTAGGTTCGCCATTTGGAAGAGAATGGTTCAGCTATGGCAGACGACTTGATGAGAAAGAATGCGGTCATTCAACATTATGCAATGGAAGCTAAATTCGGTATGAAAAGCCTTGTGACTGTCGTTATTTGTATATCCGAAAGTTAAAATAAAGAGGTTTTGATGAGAGTGCTAACTGCTAAGATCCGTGCAACTGATTTTTAAGGGCTCAAAGATTCGTTTTCTGACGAAAGGATAATGTTATAGGAACGTTGTTTTGTTATCTTGACATTAAGCTAGGGTAAAACGGTAGCAGTGTAATGAATGAAGACCCCGCATTGGTACGAGATGTTCATGTATATTATATTTTCTTTCAGATAACAGCAAAGATATTTCAAGTCCGCAGGAATCGAACTTCAAATCGCGAATGAAAGGGACGTTTAATATTGGCAAGCAAGAAATATTACTTAAAGACATGAATAAAAAGCTTCAAAACATGCTTGAAGAAACTTTGATGAAAAATATTCAATTGCAAAAGGTAAAAAAAAAGTTTTTTTAATGTAGTTAAGTGATGACATCCGATGAAATAAGCAATCTTATATAAAATTTAAATATAATGCCTGTGAAAGCGTCTGGAAAAAGAATGAAAAAATCCTAAAAATCATCGATATTTAGAATTATGAAGGTGCAAACCTTATGAAGGTGCAAACCTTATGAAGGTGCAAACCTTATGAAGGTGCAAACCTTAAATATACTTCCATTTTTCATCCCTATTTAGGATATCGATATATTAGCAGATAATCAAAGGTCAAATACACAAGAACACTCTTCTAACAGATCCAACGAAGCAGATAAGACGTAACCGTGATATCGATGTTTAGTATATTTGAAATACTCAGCGCCGACCATAATTATTAATATTGTTCTCTCACATTTTCATACTCGACACCAGACTCGACAATAATAACGATAATAATACCTATTGTAAGGTTAATCCACGTTGTACGACATGAAAATGGCTTTTTAGTGTGACGATAAACGCCGATCTACACGATGCGATGCCGTGTATACGATTCTTATCCTGACGTATGAAAAAGATTGTTGACGCCACTCTCTCTGTTCATCAGTTTATAACGAAGTTTAAAATGTGACATCTTTACACACATTTATTCGAATACATACGCCAGTATGCGAATCGTATACGACGAATCGCATCGTATAGATCGGCATTAAATAAATTTGGATTCAAAATAACACTAGATTATTTTATTATATAATGAATTTTGTAAATAATGAAAATTTAGGAAAATACATAATTTTTGATATTCTCTGCGTTGCAAGTGTCATAGTTTACCGTAAATCCCATTTAGCCTGGTTGCCGGTTTTTTAACTAAAGTGCGCGTGACGGGCTCGCGCCAACGAAAAAACAAAGCGCCTTTAGCAGAAAAAGCCTTTGGAAGAAATATACGTTAAGTCAGATTATGAGGACTCGCTGTTATATGCATGCAGCTGATTCAATTTAAATTGAATCAAATTAAATTGAATAAAAAAATTAGTATAGACTTATGAGCGATCCTTCATATATGAATATATGTATAATTTATGTTGACTCCGTGTTTTCCAAACATTTATATTCCATGTTTTTGGCAGACTACGTGTTTTCCATAATTTTTGACTCAGTGTTTTCCAATATTATTACGCCAGACTCCGTAATTTTGACTACGGGACACTGGTTCCGAAACTCCGGCTCCGAAACTCCGGCTCCGGAACTCCGACTCCGTGTTATCCATGTTGTGATGTGGCAACGTTGAATCAAAGCTAGATATTTATTTTACCCGCTCCTCGTGTTGCAAAATAAAGTCATCCTATTGGCTGAACACTCCCGGCCTGACAGCTCAAAATTGCTTCTGATTGGACGAGCATAGTAATTTGAAAAATATGATTAATTCTTTCCTTTCATTTCTGATGTTCAGGCTCAGGAGAAGAGAATTAATCATATTATTTAAATTACTATGAACGTCCAATCAAAAGCGTTGTTGAGCTGTCAGGTCGGGAGTGTTCATCCAATAGGATGACTTTATTTTGCAGACACAAGGAGCGGGTGAAATGAATAATATGTGCTTGCTCCAGTTTGAGACACTTCAGCGCTGGTCTTCGAAGAATAAAAATGAGTCTCCTCCATGCCAAGAAAATTTCAACAGAAATTTGTATCAGATTGCTATTGTCTTCAGCCGAAGAGAAGTTTAATAGAAGTTTACTCTCTCTGACAGACTGTCGTTGGTGTAAATACCAGGTAATATGCCTTTCCCTTTGCCTGTTTTATCAGTTTTTTCATCGTGAGCTTTTGGGCTGAGGTTCCACGTGTCTTTAGTTCATGTCTTGTAATGCCTCTTTCGTGCTGTGTTCAGCTTCAAATACAAACTTGTATAGCACTAACGTAGCTTTTATTCTTTTCATGCAGAATTTTGACGTATTAAAGCGAAGTTAAACGATGAAATTTGTTAACAAGAGATTGACGACCGATGAATTGTGGCTGAACTGGCTCAAGATAACTCGCCTTTGAAGAGAAAGCAAGTCTAGGCTTTTTCTGAGGAATATTGATGATATGAAAAAGGTAATATATGTCAAATCTTACCGTTGGGCCGCTAACTTTCTCTCTAACCACACGCAAATTACGTTTGAATTGAGTTCTAAAGACCTAAGCAGTGAACTAATGGTGCCTTTTATTCTTTCAGGTGGAGTTTGAGAGTTTAAAACCAAACTGAATGAAGTGAAGTGGGCAAAAAGTCCGTTACCGTAGCTGAAATTACCCGAGACAACTCGCATTTGACTCAAGATAACTCGCCTTTGAAGAGAGAAAGCACGTCTACGCATTTTCTTGGGACTTGTTGATGATATGAGAAAGGTAATGCACGCTAAATCGTATGTGAGCCGCTAACCTTTGCTCCAATCGCAAGCAATTACCTTTGAATTGAGTTATAAAGACCAAACCAGTAAACGAACATTGCCTTTTGTTCTTTCAGGTGGAGTTTAAAAGCTAAAACCAAACCGAATATAGAAATGAGCTGGGAGAGAAAACCCATAGCTGAAAATCCCCGAGATGACTCGCATTTAAAGAGACGGCAAGTCCAAAGCTGCTCTTTAACACTTGTTACTGAAATGAACAGGTAATTTTGGGTCTATTTTATTCAAAATAGGATGATAAACTTGAAACGCTTGATCAGGCATCATGCGTTCTCTCAACTGAATAATCATTGCAAGTTTTCTTCCGATATTTAAGCTCCCTTCATCGAAGGTAAATCCTTGAAATCGCTGTCTATAACAAGCATTCTTTTGGTTTTATTGCAGGTAGCGATTTAGCGGGTCAAGCCATTTGAAACAACGACAAAACCTGTTCATAATAAAACGTGAGTATTAAGCAATTGACCATTTTTAGATAAACCGAACAATGGGGAGTTTATGCATGATTCAGGTCAAGAACGACAACGGCCGCATGATAATTTGATATGAATAATGGCAAAGAAATACTTGAAATCCCAGAGGGGTTTTATAGATGTTGTTTTGGGTCTGTTTACAATCCCGATTTTACGCGTGTTTCTTCAATAAGAAAAGTTTTCCAATAAAAAATGTAGTTTGTTTATTTCTTTAATCTTATTTCAGGTTGATGGGCTCTGTTGCATGAGCTATTACCGACAAGCCAAATCGACGGCAAATCTACGTCTAAAGTAGCCGGCAATTTCGACGGCAAATCTACGCCAAATGTAGGCCAACTCGACAGCAAATCTACGCCTAATGTAGGCAACCTCGACGGCAAATCTACGCCTAATGTAGGCAACCTCGACGGCAAATCTACGCCTAATGTAGGCAACCTCGACGGCAAATCTACGCCTAATGTAGGCAACCTCGACGGCAAATCTACGCCTAATGTAGGCAAACTCGACGGCAAATCTACGCCTAATGTAGGCAATCTCGACGGCAAATCTACGCCTAATGTAGGCAACCTCGACGGCAAATCTACGCCTAATGTAGGCCAACTCGACGGCAAATCTACGCCTAATGTAGGCCAACTCGACGCCTAATATACGCCAAAACTACGCCAAATCGACGCCAAAAAGCAACGTTCAGCGATACCCGGGCATCGTTACAGGTTAGAGTAGCCTGGTGGTCAAAAAATGTGCATGCAGGGGTTAGTCTGTGCATGATTAACTTAACGAAGTTAACTAATTTAGTTAACGAACTTAAGTTAAATAAAGTTTTAAGTTCAGTTAACTAGGTTCTGGCCACCAGGAACATAGCTAATGCATGATGCATGTGAGCAAACGTTTCTTAAATTCGGTTAAATATTTTAATCGGTTTTGTGCTTAGGACTGCTCGCTTGTGCTTATAGGGCTGCCGGCTGCGCTAAGGTTTAGGTTGATAATTTGTCTGTTAAAACTGAAAACATATCACAACTGTTATATATATATATACACACATATTTCACCTAAGAAATGGCTAAAAAGTCATGCACATGCACTAACACAAACCACAGCCACAAATGGCAGACATAATCCCATAGGTTCTTTCCTCTTTCTCTATCTTGTCCTGATTGAAATCACCTTCGGCTCTCGGAAATCCGGTCAATTGCGGCTTTCGGAATTAACATTGTAAAATGATAACTATAGGGTCACTATTCGGTCTATAATTGTAAAATTATTTGTATGTAAATACGTTTTTGATTTCTCAGCAAACATTGTAAATATACGATTATATCTTGCCTTACTATATTTTTGTAATTGAACATATAATATTGTGTATGTATTTATGAAAAAACATCTTTATATCAAAATATGAACAGATACAAAACATCATGCACTATTAACTCATGATCTTTTAGCTGCACGTATAAAATAGACACGCACACGAGTAGCTAAATACATTGATGCAAACCATGGCCTATATAATGGCTTCTAGTTTATATCTCTCTTATATCTCTTGCATTCACTTAAGGCTACAGTTAATATTCAAGCCAGAAACATTGATTTTACGGCATGTCTTATACTGTCTTGCTTTTCTGAAATACATGAATTTATGCAATCAAAGTTAACACACACATGCTCTCAATTAATGAATTTGAATTAACTTGAAGAAAATAAGGAATGGGTGGGGGGGGGTGCATGCTGTTATCTTGAAACGATATATATGCCTTATTTCTACTATAGTTAGAAACCAATTACGAGACAAACATTGGCAGTGGCATTGTAACTTTATTATTTTTCCAAGGTCTCTGTGAGATTTCCAATCATTTAGCTTCGTCGAGCAGTGCTTATGAAAAGTAAGGCGCCACTTTTTGTCTGTACTGTTTGACTTTGCTATGTGGTTCGAAGTGTTAGCAGGTATCTTGGGATATCTAATAACGTTGCAGTGTTATTTTCATTGCTGTTTCTTTAAGAGCAGCTTGCTTTGGCTATATGCCTTAGCTCTAAAAGTTTTTAAACCAGATTTTCAAAGAAAAAAATGTACTCCTGTGGCTGTTTCTATAAGAGCAGCTTGCTTTGGCTATATGCCTTGGCTTTGAAAGTATTAGTCCACTTCTGAAAAAAAAATTGTACTCTTGGTGCTGTTTCTATAAGGGCAGCTTGCTTTGGGAATATCCCTTGCATGGTTAAAAAAATGTTGACTGAATTTTTTCAAAAAAATATTTGAACTTGATGCTGCACTTGGTTTCGACAGTTTGTTGCTTTGGCTATATGCCTCAGCCTCAAAAAAATTATAAAGTCAATTTCTTGTGGTATTTTTTTCCAAACCTTGTTTCTATACAAGGGCAGCATGCTCTGGCTTTATGCCTCAGCTCTGAAATGTGCAATGAAGATTTCAAGGACAATTGTGTATGCCTTCATGCTGTTTCTATAAGGGCTCATGAAATATATTCCAAGTTAACTCGATCCTTGAAATATGTGCACAGTTAGACAGCTTAAAACGAAACTATTAGGAACACTGCCTATGATTTGTCAGCAGAATAATTTTAGTTTTTGGACGAACGTAACTTGAATCTAAGCGCTCTGAACTCAGGCATTTTTATGTATTACTATATTAGTTCGTCGATCTCATAAGCTTTGATTCAGCACTCTACCAGAGTTAGTGGGTTAAGTCTATAATAGAACAAAAAAAATACACGATAACTTAGAAACACTT